TACAAAGCTGTTATCTTTTCCCCTGCTGGTGGGATGTGAGCCAAAGGAGGGCGTCATCATCCCCCCCCCCCCGCGGGCTTATGCGGCTCCCTCCAGCTGGGAGCGAGTGCCACCCTTCTTGTTTTTTTTCTTATATGTTTTTTTTTTTTCTATCCGTGCGAGTCCCACTTTCAAAATACATAACACTTTCATGTGCCCCAATTCCAAAGCAGCTAATGTGATTTAAGAGCGCAGCCTTCCTGGGATTTGTGTTTTTTTCCTTACATTTTCACACCAGATCGTGCGTAGGCGTTTGCATTCGCAAGTCCACGCTGTCACATTCAGTGACTCGCTGTGTCCCAAAAGGTCCCAGAAGGGTCGGAAACCCAGCCGATCTGTAAGGAGCTCATTACGTTTTCATGATCTACAGTCTGACATATGTCGTCTGATATGTCGGCTGATAAATTAGTTAAGAGTTGTCGTGTATAGATGGATATTACAAGAAGATTGAGCATTTAAGATGGTCTGATGGTCTTTCAGTTGGTCCCCCGGTATCGGTTCTGGCCATTTAACTGATGTGGGAGTTTCTTTTTCAGCCATCTCATAGTCGGCACTAAGCCAGCTCAGTTCGGCCCGCGTCCTTCTGCTCATTGTTGTGTGAGTCATTGTTGTCTCTTATTTTGGCTGCCACCTCATCAGAGGCGAGCTGGTGTCTGGCAGCTTAAACTTTTAACGGGCAGACCACAATGAAAGAGTGTCAAATCCCAAACCAAAAAGTAACAAGTCAGTCCTTTGATCACACCAGTAACAGTTTTTTTTCCGATTTGACAAGCATCCCACCGGCCAGCAGAGAGTACACGCTCTCTGTCCGGCTGGAGCTTCCCGGTCAAGCAGACTGTGGAGGATGTAAACACACACCAACAACAACAACAACAACAACAACCCTCAGCATGGAGGCCGGGCAGCGAGTGCAAAGACTTCTCTCAGGTTTCCTACCGTAACGGGTTAGAGCATCAATGACCAGCCAACAGGAGAGATGTTAAAGTAAAGACAGTTTAGTCAGGACCGCTTATGTGAACACGATGACGGCACTCGTGTGCAGTCAGAGCAGCAGCGATTTTTAGCGTTTAATGGATGGTGGTATGACTCAGCAGGAAACAGGTGACTGGAACCTCTGTCCACATCTCACAAACAGATCAGAAATCTGTAAAATGACCACACATTGCTAGGCTGTTGTGATTTTTTGAAGGACAGTTCTCTCAGTAACTTAGTAACGGTGACACATAAAGGTTTAAGCCCCAACCATGGCAAATAATAATAATAATGTGTAAATCTAAGTATATACAGCAGTTTCTACCCTTTAGTGTGTTTCTTTATGTCCTGATCAATCCTCAGTGTGAATACACGATGAAGTGAAAGACTCGATGTTTAACTGTTTTAAACATTACGTTAACACATAGCTAAAAATTGAGCAGCATCCCTGTTGTGTCTGTGTGTCTTGATTTTTGAGTCCTGATTGTGAAGCTGCTGGATTTGTTGCTGTGGATGAGGCTGTCACGCGCTTTTTGGGGGGAGATCAGGTTGGTTGGGATCCTCCCCGCTGTTCTATGTGTAAATGCAGCTCGCCCGAGGCAGAGAAATCAGCAGCAGAGGCCCCACGAGAGCACAGAATCGAGCTGCATCAATGACAGGCTGAGCAGAGATGAAGCAGGCATATTTTGAAAAGCATGATTCATGGCAGTGGTGTGCTATAAAAAAAAAGAAGAGCTTAAGGAGGAAGCAACCCCGGTATGCATGCAGGAGCGCTCATACTGGGCTGTAGTTATGTCCACAAAACAAATGCAATAAAAGGGAGGATCTTTTGATCGTTTACATTTTGTGTATTTGTTCTCTATTCTTTGTGCTTTGAAGAGCTTTGGCATTACAATAATAGAATGTACTCAAGTAAAATTCTGACCATGACATAAGACACAAATGTGGTACATAAATCTGTGTTTTTATTTCAGATTGTCTGAATATACATTGTATGAAATTCTCTTAAATGACAATTATTCGATCAATTCATTCAATTAATTGTATTAATCAATAATATAAGATAAATACTGTCCTTCAAACAATAGTTATTTTTCAAAAGGTGCCTTGAAAATCCATGTTGAATCTTGTTGACACGCTTACAGCAAAAAGCAAATATGAGAAATATTTAAAGAATCATTGTTGAGCATCTTGACCAGAAGAGGTTACATGAATTAATAAGAGTCAGACTGAAAATTCTTTAAACGGTTTCAGATGAAATGACACAACAGATCACTGTAATCATCAGAGGTTAGAACACTCCCATAGCGGTGCTCGTCCTAAGCAGGAGCACAGAAGTACAGAAGTTGTGATCACCGCATTTCATTGTGTTATTGCCTTTTAAAATTCTGTGTGAATGTTGAATGTTAAATATCACTGTTGTACTTTGAGTGTTTTCATATTCTCTCTGTGGCTGGAGCTATGACCGTGGGTGAGTGGAAATGCCAGTGGCCAGCCTACACTTTCTGTCACACACTGCGTGTGTGAGAGATAAGTGATCAGAGTGATAGTGACTTCCACCATGATAAAACTGGGTCAATGTAACCCCCACCCCCTCCACCACAGGCCATGCTGAAAAAGGAAAAAAATAAAAGGATGAGGATACCATCACCGGACTCTGTGCGTGGATATAAGCATGGAGACACTGGAGCATGGTGTGCTTTCTCAAAGGGTTGGTAACTGTGTTGTGTTGGGACTGAAGGCATCCCGAGATTGTTTTGACATGTTCCTTCCACCCCTGTAGTCTTTGGTTTGCAGAGTCACGTTATAATGTGCCCCCCTGTATTCTATCTCTACCCACTTTTGTTTCTGTCAGCCAGTGTTGTCCTGAGTATCTGGTCCTCCCAGTGGTCTCCCACTCCCCAAGAGATTTGTTTGAAGTATGGCTTCAAGGATCTAAGTTTGAAATGAGAATCCACCCTATAGGACACTGTTAAAACAAATATACACGTGATGTGCCCTGATCCAGACTTCTGTGTAATTTACTGTAACCTGGGTGAGGACGTATAAGCTAATTGTTGTTCACTGGTGGAAAGATAAAGTAGAGATATTATCCAGTACAAACAAATATGCATCACAGTTGTGCAAAGAGACGTCGCAATAACACCACGCTGACAGTTTTTAATTGTGCTGTTAGCATGCAAACACAGATGCTCATCACCTCACTTCTTTCATAAAAAACAGAACCACAAACAGCCCCAACAAACGATTTTGGCAGCCTGCGCACTTGAAGGACCAGTGTATAATAAGATACATTTCCTCCACACTGAAAGGCCTAAACGTTGGTAGCCACCTTGAGCTTACAGCTAATATTAGCATTCTAATAGCTTAACAACTGAGCCCCGCTACCACCCACAGAGCAAAGCTGCTGTACAGCAAAATGGAAATTAAAGCACTTCATCAACCAAACCTTGTTTAATTCAACAGCAAATGTAGGGGGTGGATTTTCATCTAAAAGGCAGTAATATTTCATTATAATGTGTAAAGGAAACCGTGTAAGGAGTATGCCGTATGAATATTAAAATCAAGTTTGTGGGTTATCTGTAGAATCCATTTATAACATTGACAAGAGGAAAATTTAAGTGGACTCTTTTTCGAAATACGTTTTATATATATATATATATATATATATATATATATATATATATATATATATCAAACAAAGTATCATATTGAAGTTATATTAAGATATTATTGCTGTGTCATGATGTGAACATTTTCTTTCCAGCTCTGTTAGTTGTATCTGTGTGCGGTGACCTGCTTATACCACGGCCTGGACTAATGCTTTTTTGTAATTGGCCCAAAGGATCTGAGTAATTTGGTTTGTAGAAGAGGAATGACGAACAGGCTAGATGGATGAGAGCAGGAAGTTTCATATCGGATGCTCACACGGCTCTGCAGTAAACTGTGTAAAGTGAAAAATTCCTCGGAGCCATTTGTTGTGAGTCACTGCGTTGTTTAGCTGTGACAGTGCGGTTCAAACACAACAGTACAAATACACTTTTTATGTCCTATGTTACACAAGCCGATAAACAATAAATTACAGGCACCCTGCACACATTCATTTACCGGATGAATTTAAATTTGAATATATTTGATACATTTTGCTATATTTATTAAAGTATTTTTGGCCATGGCTTGGTTTCACTTATTATTTCATGTGAATGCTCTTGTTAAGAATGAGGGCTCCTCAGAGGGATGAAGGTTGTTGCAGCTCTTTTCATGCAGCTTAGGGAACTGAGCTTTTAAGAAGCCTCACTCCCATCAGGATTAGCTGGGATTATGCGTTGCTAACAGCAAACAGGTACACGCTTTTGCCCCTTCAGTTATTGCTGGGATTTATTTTAGATTTTAAATGTCAAATTCATGTAAACACGATGAGGATCAGCTGTCTTTGGGCCGGCCGCGGTGTAACCAGGCACAGACTGTGAGGTGGATGTTTTAATGGATAAAAACATGTCATATCCATTCCAGTCAAACATGCACCTCAGTGAACATTGTCTTTGTCGGTTTCTTCCTGTATTTCGGCCAGTTTGAAAAAGAGATATGTGACACATTGAAACTAAGATGTTACGTTAGTGGTTGTTTTTGTACCAAAACTTTGTATGTTTTGTTGTGCAAAAGACACCTAAGACGTGACTTGCAAAACATATGAACTTTTTGTAAACATGTGTCATCCTTAGTACCCAGAATTTGGAGTTTAACTTTACATTTCAGTTTTAGATATGTCTAAAGAGTGCTGTAATACACTGTAAGAAAATAGATGTACACTCACATTTATGTTGTCATTTGGTCAATTAATCTTTTGTGAGCATGTTTGTTTTGTACCTAAATAGATGAAATGTAAAGGGTGCCCCAAATTTTTTGTGTATTTATATGACTGAAATTTTCTGACTCTTCTTTCTCTATGTCTCTCCTCTTCTCCGTCGGACAGCTTTGCATAAACCCAGATGCCTCCTCTCCCTCTCGACGAGCGCATAGTGGTTATTCAGCGCCCTAAAAACTTAGCCCTATGCGAGGCTTCCCCCCACAGCGTCCCACAGCACTCCTCTCAGATCACAGCTTCTGCCAATGGGCACGCTCCAAACGCTCCGCATCTCCATCCATCTCAGTCCCACTTCTATCCGCCTGCATGTAAATCTCTGAGTGTGGAATGCAAGCGCCGCTCATCCCGGGCGCAAAAATTCAAAGGCGAGCAGCAGACCCTCCCGGCCGGTGTCAGACCCTCGCCAAGCCACTGCCATAGCAATGGCACAGTGACCCTCGGCCCACGGCTGCCCTCCCACACGCACATTATAGACATAAAGGTATCGGTGGACAAAGGAGGACGGGGAGTGTTCAGCAACTCGTTGGGGCGCAATGGAAGCGTAAAAGGCGGCAGAGGGAAATGCGTCCCTTCACAGGCGGATCAAGGACAGTGTGAGCGAAAAACTGGAAGCACCGGAAGGCCGGGTGGAGCTGAGCACAAGCCCCAGCGAGTGCGGCAGCTGTCGTCTTGCCCCGGAGGGGTCTTGCAGTTCGTCCCCGCTCAGGCGCAGCAGCATAAGTTCCGAGGTGAAAAGGAGACGGAAAACACGAGTTTTCATAACAGAGGTGACCAGGAATATCCTTCTTTGGGTCACAAGAAAAAATCCAAACTGGGAACTGTCCATCAAAGCCATAACAGCCACGGTCCGCCCTTTCACCACAACTCTGTCCCCGTGCCCCATGCTGCCATCCTAAACTCCGGCTACCCCGCGCCCCCCCCCTCCCAGCCCACCCATGTCCCGGCCTCTTTTCAGCAGCACAGCCAGCCTCGCCCGCCCCGCACCAGGGATCACCGCCCTCACATCCTTCATGGTCTCCCCCTCTCGCCCTGCTCCTCCCAGGCCGGAGGCTTCCCCAGCCCCGACCACACCTGCACCATCGACTGCGCGCACCCGTTCAGCTGCGGCTGCTGGAGGCTGGTGAGATGCCGGGGCTGTAAAGGAGACTCTTCCAGCTTCCAGGGAGGCGGAGGGAGCACGTCCACCTCCTTTTCCTGCGGTCACAATGCCGGAGCGGTGAAGAGAGGAAGCAAAGAAATGGGCCTGCGCAACCTGGGCGGGTGCCTCTCCACCGCCTCCACCTCCAACACCTCCTCCACTAACAGCACCGTGTCGGACTGCCGGGCCGGCCTGTTTAAGCCCCTCCGCTGTGCCTCCTGCTCCGGCGAGGCCGGACATTTCGAGAGTCCCGCGATCCTACGCAAAAAGCTAGTGGGAGGATGCCTTCCCTGTGCCCCCTTGTCCTCCTCGGCCCCGCTAAGGGCCATACAGAGCTGTGTGACAGGCTGCAACCCCAAAGCCTCCCAGACAGGCAGCTCCACCTGCAGCTACTGCAGCAGCGACCCCATCGTGGTGACGTTCAACCCGCGCCGGGGCAAACCCCCGGGAAGAGGCATGGGGCCAACCCATCCCATGGCCATGTACCAAGACGATGATGACTACAGCGTTCGTACTATCTGGCCCGAGGAGCTGGCCAAGAAGATGACCCACTCGAAAGCCCAGAAGAACAACTGCGTGGGGATGGGAGTCGGGGGTGGGAAGAGCAGTGCGGGCCAGGCCCAGAACGGCGGGAACGGAGCGGGCCTCGCCCTCCTGGACTGTCAGAACCTCCAGGAGTACGCGCAGACGCACTTTACGGACCGCGCTGGCCGACGGCGTCTCCAGCAGGGCAAGATGGCCGCCCTGGATTTCGTCGGCTGTAGGCTGGGGTCCGGATACGACGACGGCCGCAGCTCGCTGAAAAGGCTCCTGAGTAAAGCGGAAGATGCCGGAATCAGCGACGGCCCCGAGCAGGACGAAGACGCGGCATATCCCCAGTCCCCCTCTCCCCGATCGGTGTCCCCCCCGTCACCTGTCTCCTTCTCCCCTCCGCCCTCAGCCCCAAGCACGCTCATCAAGCCCAAACCTTGGCAGAGAGACAGGGACGGAGGACATTCGCTGCCCTCAGCCCAGTCGCTGCACTTGGCTCTGAACTCCCTGAACCGAGAGCAGGACGAGGAGAACAACAGAAGTAAGACTGTCTTACAATTCGTCCGGGTAGAGTCAGGTTTTTTTAACACCTAATCAGTCTGTGATGTAGCAAACAAAACCTACTGTTCTATTTCAGTTTATTGTGTTTTTAGCCATGCTTCCAAGACAGTTAGTCCCTTCCGTTCACGTCGTTATAATATCTAATTGATTCACACAAACAGTCACGCTTTCATAGAGGTTAGGCGGCTAACCTCTCGTCTTTGCGCAGTGCGCCTCTCTCTACCGCTCTCCTCCTCGTTGCCCGCCTCCCTGTCCGACGAAACTGTGATGACCCCCGACGCCGAGAACGCCGTCATCAGCCCCATCCTGCCCTTCCTGTTCCTGGGGAACGAGCGGGACGCCCAGGACCTGGACCTGCTGCTGCGCCTCAACATCGGCTACGTGGTCAACGTGACCACGCACCTGCCCCTCTACCACGTCAGCTCCGGCCTGCGCTACAAACGCCTCCCGGCCACCGACAACAGCAAGCAGAACCTGCGCCAGTACTTTGAGGAGGTCTTCGAGTTTATTGGTGAGTCTGAGAACACTCAGGTAAAACTGTCAGTGAGGTCACCGTCTACTTTGACTCATTGGAAAAAAAAGAGTAGCGTTGACTTTTGTCTGAACTTCTCTCATGTGACCTTATGTTTTTGTTTTGTTTTTTTTTTCATTTTGGCTCTTTCAAATATTTGCTTTTGCGTTTTTACGAGGAAAGAAAATCCGATCAAGTCGGTAAGAGAGACTGTCAGTTTCTGGTTTAAAAAGAAACAACTAATGTATGATGGAGTCAAACCTGGATTTAGACATAAAAACGAGTTTTGTTGTATGTTTTCATGTCTCATGTTAGCTAAAGGCATGTCTGTTTAATGAAATCCTTAAAAGGGTTAAGGAAACGTGCAGCTGATCTGTTTGCCGCTCTCACCCACAGAGGAGGCATATCAGAGTGGACAGGGAGTGCTGGTGCACTGCCAGGCAGGCGTGTCCCGTTCTGCCACCATCGTCATCGCCTACCTGATGAAGCACACCCTCATGACGATGACAGACGCCTACAAATACGTGCGGAGCAGGCGCCCGGTGGTCTCGCCCAATCTAAACTTCATGGGCCAGCTTTTGGAGTTTGAGAGGGACCTCAACTCTGGGGTGACCCCTCGGATCTTGATGCCTAAACTCAACGGTGTGGAGACTCAGGTGTGAGAGAGGTCAGGGGTCAGGAGCGTGTAGCATTACAGAGCGGAAAGAGGAAAGGATCCAGATGTTAGAATGGCAAAAGAGAAATATTACACTTGGAAAAGGTCGGTCCGTTCAGCAGTAAATGCACCTTCAATACTGTGACTAAATACTAAATGGTTCATTTGTTAATGTTGTTAATTACTAAAAACCACTTGATCTTCATCCAGTAAATGGTTCGTAGGATAATGTGCCAATATTTTGTATAGCTCTTTACTCACAAAGATATCTCCGTTTATTTCTCTTTTTTTTTTCTGAAACTTTTTGGTCCCTTTGTTTACATTCACAGAAAAGGTGACTTTGTTGCCATACATCACAAATGCATGCAGAACACGACTGCAAGAACAAAAAGGTTCTTTTTTTTTTCCCTTCATCCATGTCCACTCTTCGGTGTTCCCACCACATGTAGCAGCAGACAGGTCATTACGATGCACTTTACCCACCACGCATTCAATTTACTATCACAAAAATGAGAACTGTGAAGCAGACCTGCATGGATCTGGTGAGGAAACTTATCATAAAAGGGATAACTGTTTTTATTCTAACGGCCAAGGTTAAGTACTACAGAGCTGCAGAAGCAGATGTCATTAGCACACACTGTTAATGTCGGCTGTCAAATATGGAGGTTACACAATACAACAACAAAAAGCTAAGTATAGAGGCATTTAAAGTACCACCGAAATTAAATCACAGATAAGTTTTTTTTCCCCTCACACTATTATTACACTGTATATTGCCAGACAGTGTGGGCTGGCAGGACTTATCCTGCTGTTATAATGTGCTAATGTCCTTTTTCAAATGTTTTGTTTGTTTGTTAGCAAGAATTGTCCCTTTAGTGCTCAAATTGAATAGAGCACATGGTTGTTTCAATCAATGTTAAGTAGCGACCTTTGAAATTTCCAGATGTGAAATTCTTTTCTTTGTTTTTTTTTGTTTTTTTAAGCGAGTTGCTTTTCTTACTTTCGGGATTCTACTGGCACTCAGCAGTTTAGAAATGGGGGAAATTTTGACTTGTTTGACGGCTTCTACTACATTACCAGTAGTATTAAAACTTAATTTATTTTAAATGTTATTACCCTCCATTTGACTAATTCACTAAGATTGCTACTATTATTTCTAATATCCAGTCTTTTGCCTTATAGTTCATACCGACTTAACTGATTTTGTCATGACTGTCAGAATTAAGATTTTAGCTTTTTAGAGAAATACAACCTCACATGAACAATAACAGGTCATGTTACAGGTCAAAAGGCAGAAGAAAAGTGTAAAAAAAACTGTGGAACTTTTACCAGTTAAGGAGCAAAATAACTGTTTTTCCCAGTTTTACAAAAGCATTAGCAGTGAGACCAATGGCCTCCCATTTGACTTTAATATTTTGGTATCCAGAGGACACAATATAATGCCACAGGATGTCCAGATCAGGACACAGTAAGATGTGAAGTTGTTCACCTGAGGTTTTTTTTACCTGATTTGAAGCTACATCCAGAGTTATAAACTCTACTTTTATCCTCACAAGACTGTAAGTAGGTGCAGAATGAGTTTGTGAAATTTGCCTTCGTAAAGTAGCTTAGTACTAAGTTATTACAAAACTCCTCTCTCAACAATAGGCTGATAAGTCAGTTGTAGGTTACAAAGTGTGGTCCATCTTAAGGGAGGCAGGACCCCTAAAAGCTGCTGTTTTTTTATCTGAAAGCCAACAAAGACCGTATTCAACATTTTTCTAAATGGATGTAACACACGCATTTTTATTAACGAATTGTTAATGTACCCAGCGGAGGCGCCAGCTGTGAAGTGGTGTCAAATTTAACTCACTTGTTAATAATAGAGAATTTGAAGAAGGGTGTAGAAAGCAAGGAAAAACAAAAGATCAATTGAGAACACACACGCTTATAGAAGGTAAAAGTGTTTTGTATTCACAAAAATTTGAACAAAATGAGAATTAAAGCGTGTATTTGTAGGTATTTGTTGAACTGTTCAGAAAAATCTTTATTTTATTTTTATTATTCTTATATTTGTTGCCCCTTTTCCAGCTCTTTTGACACAAAATGCCCTGTGACAGATTCTAAAGCCAAAATGCCTTCAGACTAGCCTTGTGTAACTTGGTCCTCAGTTGCTGTAAAGAGTTGGAGATGAGTTGGGTTTGTTTTTCTGGATAAATAACCACTATAGGCTTTATATTTTTGTACGCTTCAACTTCTCATGTGTTATGTATTATTTGTTTTTTGTTGGTTTGTTGGTTTGTTTTCTAATATTACAACATAATGTTTTTTTAATATATAAATATGAAAGCCATCTGGACACAATGACACCCTCCTCTGTGCCGCGACTGGATTCCCGGTCGGGCTTTGTGTGGCAGTCGCACACTTCCACTGTTATCAGGCCTCGTTGAAAGAAGGTCAACATGCCGTCCTCCTGTTCTTACCACTTGCCTTCCTTTCAGCTGGAGATCGGTCCGCCAAACGCGCCCTCCGCCCCTTCCTGTTTCTGCAGCTCAGCTCACAGAAGGCCGGAGCGTTTGAGGAGGGGCCTGTTGCTACTGCTCCCTGAATTTTGTACGGACTTTATATGCAACGTGGCTTCTGGAGCAGTTTCTTTAACGTGGACTCGCTGCGCAGTTAAGCTAACGCTGACCTCAGACGTTTGTACTCGAGAGACACTTTGAAGGAAATTGTCTTTAATTCATATGAACTGTAGGGCCAGTATTTCTGTGAGTGTCGGTGTGTGTGTGTGTGTGTGTGTGCATGTGTGTGTGTGCATCCTCTGTTTGTGTTGCATTTGAAAAGAAGAGAGGTGTTAGATGATGCGTGCGTGACTACTTTTAGGGAACATCGTACATCTGTGCATTGCTCGTGGGATCTAATTTACTCCTCTTTGTAATTTTACTGCTCATTTTTAAAAATGTGTCATTCCCCTGTACCAAATATTAAATTTAAGGATACAGGTCCACAGGAATGAGGTTGAGATAACTCGAGAAAAAAGCAGACCACCTCCTCTCTTCCTTTCGGGGGTAAGAACTCTTCAGGTATGACTAGTGTAGTAATGCTGTGCTGTTTCGCTGTGCCGCCTCCTCCAGAGAGCCAAAAGCTCATATTATCTAACCTGTGATGCTCTTCTGTCGTCCCTTACCTTTTCATAATTGACTGATTCTCTTAAGCAAATGTAATATTTTCATATTGTAATATCTTGTCCTGGTATTTAGACGTTTTTACCCTAATGTACCGGCTATACTCGTCATAATTCTTTGAGGTGCACTGTGACTAATACAATGCTGCTATATCACAGAGACTTTGAATCTGTTCATCGTATTTAGCAGACGGCACATGCTGAGTAACGTGCTTACCCTGGCTGAAAGTGGGGTGGAATCCTGAGGTTCTGATTTCGTAGCTTAATTTCATCCACACAGCTTGGTCTTCCTTTGTAAGCATGACACTTCTCAATGCTCACTGCCGTGCTATTTTACCACAGAACTGTTAATTTTTTTTTTTTTTGACAGATGGGATCGAGACTGTTTAAAATCAGCATTTATCCACATTAAATATGATGAGATCTGACAGGGGAAAAAAAGCTGAAGACAAATTAGAGAAACCTCTGAAACCTCTGGTCACTTGTAGCAAAGTATGAAAAGATGATTGTGACTTAAGCAGGCCTTCAGTTTAAAGTGTCATTAAGATTCTACTTCCAGGAGGTCTGTTGTTTAAAGTTTGGAGTTTTTTAAGTTCACCATAAACACATTCTGACATGTTAATTATTGTTGTTGGTGGTGAGGGACTGCATTTCGGTTATTTCATCCAAAGTTAGTGCCAGCAACATCCACATGGTCTCTTGTGGCTATCTTAAAAAAGAAAGATTGGCAAAAAATATTAACAATCTTAGCTTTTTCTAACACTTTATTTGTCCATATCAAAAAACAAAAGCTATTCTGTTCTCTATCACATAACTAATTTTAAAAAAGCTGGAAATCCTGACCTCTGAGAGGATGGAATCATTGGAAATGAAAGAGAAACAAAACTCACTTTTTCTCTCAATTAGATATTTGGCTGATTGTTTTGACTTTATACAGTATACCGGTATACTTTATTTCATTAATGGATTATTTAATGTTTAAAGTTGAAATATGGATTGCTTGTCTAAGACGCTTATAATTTCAGTAAAATAAAGTTAAAGTTACAATTTACTTTTATGTGTAAACAAAGATAAATTGGTAGCTTGCCAATTTTGCCTGCCAGTTTTGTGTTTTCTTTAAAAGTAGAATGCCTACAGGTTCTCAAAAAGTAGCTTTAAAAATGTGAACTTGCTTTAACCTGTTTTTAATTTGCTTCCTCATGCAAAATGTGTTGTTAACTTTTGAGATTCTTGAGATAAACAAAGTCTTAAAAAGACAACCATAGCTCCCAGTGTAGCACAAGAATATATGCAAGAGGTTCCTTTATAAAAGGATTTGTAGCTTGGAAGTTTGTCAGGAGTAATACTTTGAATATAAAAAGATTTCTGAAATCCCAGAGAGGATGGGGCGAAAAATGTGGATGTAAATGATCAGAAAATGGTTGTGTGACTGCTTTGGATACATTTCCCTCTCTGCATGGTGTCCATGTGGAGGAGTTCTCCGACCCCCTGCTAATGGAGGTTTGTAAACCAGGCCCGATCTGTCATGGAAGTGCTCTCTGGATAGTAGCTGCTGCTTCTTACTCGTTCGGTTTGACCTGGCACCTGTGTTGGTGACATGAGTGAAGTTTCCCATCAAGTGATTCTCCTGCTGTCTTGTCTCTTATGTTGGTTATAGCTGAGTATAATAATGTTACCATAATAGCATCCTTATGTGTGCAGTACAAAACCTGATGGCTGGATTGTGAAGTTGTTCACCATGTTCATTTTTAGTAAACAAACTGAAACCGGCTCTTTTAATAATAAAAACAAACCTTGAAATTATTTTGGGGGCTGTGTCTTGGTCTGTCTGTTATTTTTGCATGTGTGTGAGTGCACTAAAAGCTCTGTGGACTGATCACCAGCACTCTCTGAATGAAGTTACTAGTGTCTGGAAAGTATTGAGTAGTTGTGTTACTGTCAGTACAGATTGCAATTGATGATTCAGATGATCATCTGCTTTGCTCATCATCATTACGTAAGGCTGGTTTGGGATTCACAGCAGTGAGCTGAGGCACCCAGGGCCAGATCAATCAGAGACAAAGAGGTTAAAACAAACTCTATACGCCCGCAGTAACGGCTGCAAACAGCTCTACTGTACGCTTTGTGCTCTATATGCTTACCGCATACCAAAATCCATCTATTTTCTGTACTGCTGATTCCCAGTGGGGTCTCGGGGAAAGGCTGTGGCCTATCCCAGCTGTCATTGGACGAGAGGCGGGGGCTCGTCCTGGACAATCCATCACAGGGCAACAGACAGGCAACCGCACACACTCACACCTGGGGGTCAATTTAGAGTCACCATTTAACGTAACGTGCCTGTTTTTGGACTGTGGGAGGAAGAATGTAAAAGACTAAATATCGTCTGTTCATTGGAAGCTTAGCAGAACACAGAGATAAGTTTTGACAGTGTTGTGCAGCGACGAAATCAACAATCTATTAAAGTGTCTGAAATGAGGAGAGCAGGAGCTGGACCTTTGGGAGAGGAATGTGGTCCCATCCCACACAGGAAACTGGAACTGATTTCTGGGCTGCTTCCTGAGCCCAGTTTCAGTGACAGCAACAAATGAATGAAGGGCTGCTGGAGGGCCTGAAGAACACAGGCATTCGATTCTGATTTTCGGCAGTGTCCACAGGGGACTGGGCTGTCTCAAATTCTGTTGAAACTCTGCCAATTTCTACCTCTGAGACTCAGTATCTCTAGAATGTTAATAATTCAAGACGTGCAAATCGTTGGATTCTTTTTTTTGTTTTGTTTTTTTTCAGTGTTCCAAATTTTATTGAACCAGTTTTCTATATACGGTATCACTTCCTATGGACCATCATTTGTCACTAGCCTTCGTATACTATGTGGTCCTCTGATCAATGCATCTCAATCCTAAATGATCATTGACAGCTATCATCACCGGTCTGCAGGCTGATCAAAGAGCAGACATGTAACAGACATCAGTGCATGCAGGCTTTAGCATGTCTACATCTCCCGGTGATGCTCACCCAGATAATGCATCAAGCAATTTGTTTTTCAATATCAATGCTAAATCTACTGGGGGACTTGAAACACATCCAGCTTTTCAGTGCCTGTCCGCTACGCACTCCCATCATGGAATCAATGGCCCAAATGGCTTAAAATGAAAATCTTTTACCCACATTGTTTCAATATTTATCGACCCTAACCTGGAGGCACAGAACTGTGCTGCCTGTCTCACAGAATCAAATAAAAAAAATTTTCAGCAATGCATTGACGAGGTTTTTGCAAGTTGAATTTCAAAGCGTACCCTGGAAGGGCAATGATTATCCAACATGAGTAACTCAGGTGGATCTGATTCAAGATTCGCTTGATTGAAGAATCGTGAATTTTTTTTCAGATTTGTGTTTTTTTTCCTCATTGAAATAGATTGCAAGTGCTGAAAGAGACAGGTTGTTTCTCACCATTGACGTCTCAAGACCCAAAGGTCCTGGTGCCCCACAGAAGTAATTAAGTTTAACTTAATTAAGATCTGTTAATTAACCAAAAAGAAATACAAAAAAAAGGCTAATTAATCTATATAGACACGGCAGGGGAGAGCTTGGTGATATCCCAATTTGATTTGATAAGCGTTAGCTTATCTGTTTAACCATTCAAAGCCTGATCCAAGTATATAGAGAGAGAACTTTTTTTAAAAGTCTGTATTTGGCCCTTTAACAAAGTACTCAGAAAATAAACAGAAAACATTTTTGAATTTTCATCATTTATTAACACGTGATAAGTCAAATGTTTTTACCACTAAACGATGCAAAAGGTCTCAGATACCAAACATTTCAGAAACCATATATTTTAAATATGATACGTCTTTACAGGGTTAACTAAAAAAGTGACACAACTCATTTGTGTTTTTAATTACCTCTTCTACTTTTTATTATCACAATGACATGCGTTTATATTGTGGGGTGGTGCATCATCCCAGCCTAATTTCAGCGGTCTCCTGCAGAGATGAAAGAGGAGCTCTCGGGGACCATCTGGTGAGTGTTTTGGACCCAGCCCTCTCAGCCATGTCCTGGTTTGTACCTGCTGCTTCTGTTTCTCAGAGGATGTGCCAGGACACAAAAAAATACAAATGTACTCACAGTATCCAAACTGCCCCGAAAATGCAGGAAACCTGCCCAATTCAAATGTCCTACTCAGATGTTCTGCCGGAAAACAGTTTACAGCAGTAGATTGACCTGCTCTCTGAATGATTTCTGCTTCCTGTAAAGTCAGGCATGAACAAAAATTCTCTGTATCCAAATTTCTCTGAATGATTTCAGTACAATGATTTATCAATGAGTATGTAAAAGACTTTGGGCTTCCCTCAATATTCACATTCCTGCTTTTGTCTGCTTTACATCTGTTCATATTATTTTGTTTGTTTGGTGTTTGAGGTTTTACTGTGATTATTTTGTCCAGAAGTATGGCATCCTCCAGATGTATGGCATTCATGAGCCCCTTGATTCAAATCTCATGCATGTAGTTTATTCTACATGTTGCTAATATATATATATATATATATGCAATCCATCATGATCTCCCCTGAAATTATTTGGAGACATACATTCATATATATACATATATCATCAGTCTTTTCTGTAATTTGCCTAAGATGAAACTGGAGACAGTTTTTCCCAGGTGGTCACAGATCAGGCATGCACAGATCATCCAGCAGATGGAGTCCTTAAAGGGCAGCCCAGCTAACTTGTGAATTTAATCTACATAAAGGTAATCAACACTAACATCCATAATCTACACTTCAACAATTTTACTGTTCTAAATAAATATTTAATCTGTTTAAATATCTTAATTCACTGACATTTAGTACCAGTCAGAAGAATATTGCATTTTAAGTAAACTTCATTTCTTATCTGGAAAATAAAATTAAAGCAAATTATAAGTTAGCCTATCAATTTTATATTGAAAATCGTGCTCATTTAGTGTGATTTGATGAAGGCAAGTTTTTTCAAAAACACTTTTGGATTGTCATTTATCATGAGGGTTACAACGGTATGCAAAATTATGTATCATGCATGTAAAAAAATTTGTCTCCAAACATCAGAAACTTGGTGGTTGATGGAACTGCAAAGAAGCATAGATTTGTATTTCACTACAGCTTTGACCAACAGAAGTTTTGCAGGTGTTTCTACTGGTGAAATACAATAGGTTTTACATTTGAAATAAGTTTTTTTGGTCAAATACTTGCCACAGGCAAAAACATTACTTCAATGCAGTTACATCTATTTATCCATATATCACAGGAATATACATACATTTTATAAACTAAACTCTCTTTGGGGAAGATTAAAACTTAATTCAACAAACTGATCCGGAAAAGCAAAAGACTGTTTACATTTATGTGACTCAAGTGAGTTTTTTTTAAAAGTATAATCAAATCTGTCACTAACAGTGGTAAGACAGGTCAATAGCCTCTTTTTAGTCATGTCTTTACTCATTTGTATGTAATTTAAGCTTTCACAAGTTTTAAATTCCATAGTCATTCCCTAGATATTGCTCGTACGGTGAGCAGGAGGGACAAAAGTAGTACCTCAACCCTCTTTTTCAACCAGACCCAGTAAAAGCAGAAAGATATACCTCCGCCTTGAATCAAAAGGGCGAATAACCGTTCAGCGCCATTAAAGCCGAGGGAACGCTAGCTTAGCAAAGATGGCGTCGCACGGTTTTCCGGTACATCAATACTTAGTCACTACTTACTCACTTGTAGCTCTGCCTAATTGGGTTTACCATGTGTTTTTGTTGTGAAATATTTACAACAATATTTTTAACAAATAAAAACGTACGAGGTATTGCAAATGATAGCACAGTGTACGAGACTGCTAGCTGTTTGCAGAAGACGTGCTTCAGGATATCTTTCCCTCACAGGGTGTTTGGTCTCATAGTGTCATTAAAGACGACGTTCACAAAAAGAAACACCTATATGTTTTAGAATTTTTTCTTCATCAACTTCATTCGCACAAAACAAGGCATTAATGCCATTTTTAGTCTATGTTGATTTAGAGACGAGCCAAAATCTCTAAATTGTTAGGATGATGTAAACCAGACTGCAGCAGTCCCCATAGCAACAGAGGAGAGGATGGGCATCACATTAGGTTCTGAGACATCAAGATCCAAGCCTGTCCAGAGCATTTTCCGTAACATGTATAATCTCTTTGTACCAAACATTTAAAATATCTCACCAGCATTGACCATCTCGGTTCATGCCAGGGACCAAAACCGGATAAATATCAGTATCCCCCCCATTTCACACAATACAGATATGGTACAATCCACCCACATAAGCAAACCTTCACTTATTCACCCCCCTTCCGCTGTCTGGCAGATACCACTCACTGCTGTAGGGGGGGATCCCATCCATCCACCACAAGTCTAGAGCTCATTGTGGCAAAATTGCAGTGCACTGGACTGTACAGAGCAGGGTACCATCCGAGCTGTCGTCTGTGAGGGGTGGGGTCCGGCCACACAGATACCGCCAAACAGAAGCTGACAGAAGGACACAGAGAGGCAAAAGGAAAGACGGGCAAACAGAGAGAGAGAAGGGGGGAAGATTGCACCTGAAGAGGAATTTAAAACGGGTAAGGAGGAAAGGGGGAGGATGGAGGGAAAGGAGGAAGACAATGGGGAAAGGTCCAGAATGGTTGATGCAGACTCGCTCTGCTTTTTTCTCCCCTGTTGACAAATCCTTCTTGTTGGATTCCTTTTCCATCTTAATTCAGTCATGTGCATCACTCCTGACTTCATGAATGTCTGAATGACTGCAGCGGTTATCCCAGTCTGCATTTGACATCTCTGTGGCTTTTCTGGCTCTTAGGGGGAGAAATTCAGTGGGCCATGGACCATTCGGCCCGGTTTATCGGTCTTTATTTTTTCTTTTGCTCACATCATATGACATAATGTGGCATCTGTGCTGGTTTTCAGGCAAAAAACTGTCAGATGATCATAGTTTACTGCCAAAAACTGTTTGGATTCATGTTTGCATTGCAACCAGCTAGCTAAACATTTAAATCGGACATAAAACATTATTTGGTTTGTCTGTATAAAGGTGAAATAAATTGCATTTGTCTTTATTTTTTGCGGTGCTTACATTTGGTTAGTTTGATTAGCCATCTGAAAAGCTAATCTGCCATCGATAAACCTAAGAACACTGGATCTATCATTTCACATCCATCAGAGCAAAACTGAAAGTCATGATAGAGAGAATTGCAGAATTTGTATCAAGACTTTTGGTCTTGCTGTCTTTGTGGTCAGAATGAAAGGAGACACCCCAGTGAACAGCACCATGAGCGTCGGGCAAGCCAGGAAGCTGGTGGAACAGCTGAAGATTGAGGCTAGTTTCTGCAGGATAAAGGTAAGGAAAACCGACCTCCTCAGACACCAAAAGCGTACCAGAAAAATACCTTCAAACCCTCATTAGATACAAGAGTAACCGAGCTCAGGTTTTAAGGAACCTGTGACCTTCTCAAATGCTCTTCATGCCACTGCCTCCCTTTGGAGAGGCTCCAAATGGCGTTGGCTTCTTCGATGCTCCAAACGGCATCCGAGATGTCTCACAAAGGAACCTTGTTTCTTAAAAGGGACCCGATATAAGGTGGAAAATTAAGCCACCTTAAGAAAGAAAGATTTGACTACAGATTTTAAGTTATAGAGAGATATTTCCATAGAGGTTCAGCCCAGAAAACTGAGAAAAACTAGAACCAGAACCGGTGAAATAAAAGCAGATAAAGTCTGTCTACACTAACTGGGATAATGAGAAAACTATCTTACGCAAAAAGACAGTAATCTTTCTATTCAAGGCTGTAGGAAATATTCCTAAACTCCTCCTGCTGCCGTTTTGTGACATGCTCAGACCCACTCGATTTTCTCTTCAAACTGGTCAATAAGCACAGTCGTTATTCATGGAAGTGTCTCCTATTTTAGGTTTGATCTACAGCGTAATGTGTCGCTCAGCTTCGCACCTCTTTACGAGCAAAATCAGAGCCCAAACGCTCATTATTCAGAGCTTAAGAATGTGTGTGAGGAGGCCTGTCGTGGGCTCTTAGGCAGAGCCTGCTGCCCCTGTGCGACGTTGTCATCACAACACAATACGTGCGGTGACATGAACGGACCTCGGCCGCCGGTGAACGGATGAGTACATTTTCTCAAACGATTCGCAGAAAGGAAAAGATGCGGGAGAGGAGGGCGGAAGAGAAGATGGAGGGGGTTCAGAGATGTCGCTGCTGAGTCTGTGGGAGGACAGGAGTCACTCAGAGTTCACCAGACCCTGGACGTTAGTTAGCCCTCAGAGCGGTCACTTAAACAGCACATATATTAAATTCAATTCAGTTTTATTTATATAGCTCCACATCACAACAACAGTTGTCTCACAGCGCTTTCCAAACAGAGTAGGTCAGACCCTACTCTGAAATTAATTACAGAAACCCAACAATTCCCACCATGAGCAAGCACTAGGCGACACAGGCAAGGAAAAACGTCCTTTTTCCTTCCACATCTCACAGCTGAGAGGCAAAAACGACCATCGGGCCCAGCTGTAGATCATTTTTAGCGTTCGTCCTTATTGATAGGAAGGAAAAGGTTAACGGGATCGTCCTTCCCTCCAGGTATCGAAGGCGGCGGCCGACCTGATGGCGTACTGCGACGCACACACCTGCGACGACCCCCTGATCACCCCGGTGCCCACCTCAGAGAACCCCTTCAGGGAGAAGAAGTTCTTCTGCGCTCTGCTTTGAGACCAATCAGGGATTGTTGTGATCAGAGGTACAACTGTACAGTGTGTACATGTGTGTACAGTGTGTACATGTACTCCCCATCTAAATGAGACATCAATGTACTATAGTAACCCCCGCGTAAGAGCATCTGATGTACAGTACCTGATCAACTAGAAAATGTCTTCAGCTAAATTGTCATACGTATTGGGAAGGGGGGGTAAGCATAATTTGATTATGACTTTTGAAAATGTGATCAATAAAAAGTTGGAACGGTTACAAAAAAAAATATATATATATATATTCAAAAAATGTTTAAGGGGTGTTTAAGGGGATAATGACTTGGTTACTTGTATTGAACGAGGAGAGCGGCTGTCTGTGGCTGGGTTTTAACAAGCGACGCCTTTATTTTGAAGGTTTGTTAAAGTTTTAGCATTTTGCTCATTTCTATCCTGTTGCTGTGGAGTGGATGTGAAAGTGTGTGTACGCATAGGTGCTACTGTGAATATTAAGCAACAAACATGAGCATCCGATCACTGTAAAGTCCAGATTTTATAGTTCAACAGACCCCCAAAACAACACATTCCAGGGGTGTATTGGATTCAGTATGTTCCCAAACTAAGCCATCTCAGCTAAACCAGCCCTTCGGATTCTATCGATCTGTCACCTAAACGATTTTGTATGTCTTTAGGGTAAAGACTAAATAAAGCAGGTCTGATGTGCAACTTTGGACAGGTGTGCGTTGCCATTTTAAATGTTCATATCAGAGGCCCCTCAGTGGCTTCCAGGGAACTCCAGGATCTGCCAGCCTTCAGCGGTGTCTGCGTTTAGGACGTGCTATGCTAAAAGTCACACTCAAGAAGCAGGGAGCGGCAGCTGGCACCATCAACCCCCTTCTCCGCTACATTTAGAAAGACTAAAGTGGGTGTTTTCTGCATCCTGCAAAGGCAGAAATCTGGAGAATATGGCAGAAAAAGCAACGATTGGAAAATGAAGCACTGAAATAAAAACTTCCTGTCATCCAAGGTTTTCTGTCTCTTGTGATTTTATTGGATAAACATCAGAACAATGTATAAAGACTTCTAAATATGACACTTTAATTTTATTGTTTTAAAATCAAAGCAATATAAAAGCAGTGAGGATCTTCTTTCACAGTCGAGCCAGACCGGTGGGCGTTTGAACCGAGAGGAACACAGTGAACACATCTGCATGCAGCTGGTGACAGGTTGGATTAATGATAAAGCCGGAGCGTGCGTCTCTTACTGGATCTCATTACATCTGGCAGCATGCATTAAGGCATCTCATGTTTTAATAAGCAGCTGGAGACACCATCACAGTCAGCTTCAGAGACATGTGGGTGGAACTCCATCTGCATTCGAAATATTCAACTTCTAAACGGGGTCTTTAAACTTTCACAAAAGTGTTTGGGTTTGCTCCATCTGCACCTTCATTTCCGTACATTTCCATCAGGTCTGAGGAGGCTTTGGGAGCGTATTGCGTATTTATCTGCAGTATCAGAGGTTAAAACCACAACTTCAACATGTCCAGTTCTGAAACAGAGGCACCTGTGCGCAGACTAGAGCCTCAGTTCAGGTTTAGCTGTCTCACTGATCAGCCACATTCTTAAAAAATAAAACAAACTTTGATAGGCACTGAGCCTTTTTAACATTTCCTTAACACAAAAAAAAAAAACCTGTGGTGTACGTACAGTACATGATATGAAACTATGATAGGGGTTAAGTTTCAAAAGGATGAAGCTTCACTCAAATATTCCAGTGGCCTTGATGAGAGAGCTTTGACCGTTTTCTCATTAAGGCCACTTCACTGCTGAAAGTGGACATGGTCTCGTCTTAACCGTATGAGAAATGGCAACTGAACTACCATTTCTGTCAAAGGTTTAAACACAGGACACAGTAGCACTGTTTGAGCTTAAAGAAGGCAACATTTTCAGTACAGGACAAACAACAACTGAATCATCTGACCTGATATTTTAAGCCTTTAAAAAAAAAAAAAAAGATGAAAGTGAGCTGTTTCCCCTTAAAGAGATGGAAACTTGTTGTAACCGGGTGCTTTTCAACACATCTGTGTCCATCATAACACATTAACAAGGAGTGTCACAGCTGTGCTGATCTGCACAACTGTAACACAACTTTTTGGTATAATATCATCAATATTTTTGAGCTTTCAACACTAAAAGAGGGGTTAAAATTTTTTGCATGAAATGGCTATGTTGCTATCTGGTAATGTGACAACCTAAGAGAGTGGCTTGGCTACAATTAGTTTGGATCTATTTAAAAAGAGCATTTATCAATCAACCTAATTAGTGTGAACAGTGTGGAACATACACACGTTGCTGCTGAACTAAATGAAGATCACTGAAGAGGTAATGTACATTTTGAACTTCAGTAGAAAACCAGCCAGTAAAAGGATTATAGGAAGGCGTCACACCATTCTTTAAGGCATCCAAAGCAGTCGCCTTGCTGTTTGGAATTAGCCCCACAGGAGTCTTTCAGCCAGTCCCTGAAAAGCTCCTCATCTTTTTTAAGCACCAGAAACTGCCCCAGGACGACGTATGCCTGGGAAAGACAAGCAAAAAGAACCGTCATTACAACCAGCAGAGGTGAGTGTCAAATGAGTACATGAGTGGTGGAATGTATCTTGTAGTGTACTTTAAACACACTTAAACAAACATGAAAAGATTAATTCAAGTTGCCCTGCTTCATATTTCTGTTTTTAACGTTCAGTTTTCTTCTTTTTTATGACAAGTAATTTTTTTTACAGAGAATCATTCTCGCTCCACGCCATTTCAAATAGATAAAACCAGTTTATCAAGTTAGGCATAGTTCAACTGAATTTTCCCTCTGTATAAAATAAATAAATTTATAAATAAAGCTGCAATCGCTGTAAAAACGTCTTACACTGGTTTGTAGTAAGAAAAAAGAATTCTCTGGTTTGGGGCTATATTACATTCATATAAACCTGAGTTTTTTCCTTCCCTGAGACGTGCTATTGTGACAAACAAAAAGCAGTTCCACACAGTCACCTTGTCAAAACCTTTTTCCTCCAGTCTTTTGCCCAGGACCTCTCCGATGCCCGCCAGAGCCATGACAGGCTTCTCGCCCATGGGCTCAGCCACAAACTCTTTGTGTTTCTGTGATGTAGACATGGCTGTCCGGAAAAGCCAAATAAGGAGCTGCAACACAGAGACCACGATGGATGTTAGATATTAAAAAAAGTAACTTTTAATGTATGAAAATCTTTACAACTCAGAGTGGCAGTTTGTTTTAGACACTTGATTGGTTTTGTTTAATGTAAGTCAGCTCGTTCTTTCCAGGTAATGAAATATAAAAATTCAATTTTAATTCATAAAGAAATAGTTGAAAGGCATAATTGTTCGAAATGACATGTTCAAATCTAATCCGTTTTTTTCCAAACTGTGTGTAGCTAATGGCCTGCGCCATTAGAATTCGCTGAAGGGACATTTTTTAAACGCAAATATTGAAAACGAAAGTGAGTGGCTCCCACAGAAATGGATCCCTGATATACAGCGAAATAATTAAAATGATGTTCAGTACTAACCGGCAATTAATATCCCACAGTCACGTGACTGTCTTCAAATTGGTCATTTTCCCAAACAAAAAGGGCAAAAAAACCAGCGCTTAAACGTTGAATTGCGCGCGCAACACACTGCATGGCTCGAGCTAAAATACCTCACCTCCATGTTTACCTCTGAGTTGGTTCCCTAAATGTGACCACAGCTTACAAACCATGGCTTTATTTTTGTAACAAACACTACGTGGTTTGAAAATAATTCAAAGTCTTAATAATTAGCGCCATGGAAACCTGAAGCTCATAATTCAGGCGCCTTGGCGCTAATTTAGCTTCAACGTTGCTACGCGATATCCCGTCAACCTTCTGTCCGCTCATTACTAACGTTTCCTTTCCCTGCGTTCTTTTTCCCCAAATTCACAAACTGATCAAACGAACACGATATGCATGTATGCTAGCTTACCTTTCGATTCTGTGTCCAGGTAAAATTGAAACCGCTGGTGATGATTGAAGCTCTGCTTTCTGTTTTGAGCTAAGCACCGGCGACCACAATGCAATGCGCGCGCGCCCAAACGTCACAAGAGACGTTCACTGACGCTTTTTCTCCCCAGATTCTTCAGTGACCAGTTCAGCGAGTTAAGTTTAAGAAAGAAATAGATGCAAACTCCAGTTTCTGCAAATTCTAAAGCCCAGAATCCGTTGAAGACTCATTTTATCCCTGCTTCAAGGAATATCATCACCACCACTTATAAATGTGTAATCGCATTAGATACTATCCATTCTCCATCCTGTATATTAAAGAACTCAAGCAGTGCACGCACCAAGTCAGAGGTAGCAGATTGTAGTAGAGCTTAGATATCTTAAAGTGTAACACTTTCCCTTACTTGATCTTGTTCTTTTGAAGTCAAAAGGAACCATGGAGAAAATTTCATTTACATTTTCTCTTAAGTTCAAATACCTGTACTTATTGTGCGTCATTTATGTGTCCTTTATGGGACCTCAGCAGTCTTACATTTATAAAGATGACATGAGAATATCAAATTAAACTAACCAACTTGGAAATTTTTAAAAACTCGCACACACACACACACGCCCCCCCCCCCCCCCCCCCCCCCCCCCCCCATTTTAAAAATAAATGTAAATAAACACAAAGGGAAATATGCTTATTGCTTTGGGAGCACGTTTTATTTACTCTTATGTAACAGTACATTGACCGATGACTATGGGATTTCATGTTACCATTGTGCGCATTAATCAATCTTCAGTTTGTTCCTGACACTAGCACCCACATGACATCAGCATCAGTCTCTGTGCAGTGAAGTAAGCATGAAAGGGTTGGTAGTGGGTTTTAATAGTGCATTTTTTTATAGCAACTCGGGTCGAGTCATTTGGTTTAAAGAGCTCAGTAGAAGCCTACAGCTGAGACAGAACGTTTGAGGCCAGACTGCATGTCAGCCCAGTGCCATCAGGCTCCACGTTGATCTTCTTCACAACTCCATCTTCCACCAGCATGGAATATCTACAACACAAAATCAAATGGACACAATTCAGAAGTGAATCTATCCTACAACAGAAGAAAATATGTATGGAAAAATATACTATGGAAAAATTGGGAGGGCTGAAATTATGAAAGACCAGGACTCATCTGTGCTACAAAACTGCTCCTGTTATCAATGACCTTTGAAGCATTCAAATAGCCAACTACCACAGCTCAGAGAGCACAGGTTTTATGCCAAAAAACACTCCCAGATTCACTCCATTTTACATGTCACAGATTTCACACTCTCCATGCTGGACTAAACTGCCCAACATAATAGTTAGATAACTTATGCTACTCATGAGTAAAAGAAACAAAGCCTAAATAAGGATTACCTCTTAGATCGCTTGTTCCCCAGAACTTGCACAATCTGCTCACTGTCAAGCAAAAGGTCAACTGCCTATTGATGAAAAAAAAAAAAAAAAGGCAAAAGTGTAAAAATGGTCAAACAAAATTTTTTTTAAAGAAAAAAAAGACATATACAAGACTTCACCGATACCTGTGTGAATGCTCCAGTAGGATCAGCCAGCATTCGAACCTGGACGGAATACAAGAAGCTCAATATGATTTCAATGTGTAGCATTCTTTCACACATCTTTGAGTGAAGATCCCTCTTCCCATCTCCATTATGGTACTAGAGAACAGGTTCTGAAGTTGCCGCCTATACCTTTCCATCTGCTCCATGCTCTTTTCCCCATGCAGCCATGACAAAAGCATCGTTGACAGCAATGCACGCCACTTCCTGTATGCCTTTACCCTTCAAGTCCTCAGCCTGCTGCACAAAACCTGGCAGGTGAGTCTGAAAAAAGACAAAATATGAAGTCAAAGTGATGCACAGGTCATCGGGACATAGCAGGCACAATAAGAGAGTTGACCTCACCTTTGAACAGCCAGGAGTAAAAGCTCCAGGTACGGCAAAGAGGATCCCCTTTTTCCCCTTGAAAAGTTGATCCATTGCCACCTTGTTTCCAGGCTCGCCCTCCTGGACCTCCACAGCAGGAAGATGTTCTCCAACCTGACGAGTGATTGCGAAGAGACCGGAGAAAAATAAGGGAAGTGCCAGAATTATGGCAGGACTGTCAAACTCCATGTCTGCAGGGCAACAGACATTTCCCTGCTTCAGTATCCCCGGATTCTGAGAGAATGGGTCTACTCCAAAGACTACACTCTGCACATGCCTGCATTAATGACAATAGAGTGTGTTGGAACAGGGAAACATCTAAAACGTACAGGGCAGCTGCCCTCCTGACACTGGACACCATTGCTGTAAGTTAAAAAAAATATATATATATTAAGTCATTTTTGTGTTTGTTTTTGCAATTGAAAAATGTATGTTTCTTCAAATCACCACTCTGTGGCGACAAAACCATCATATTTAGAGCTGACAAACCAGTCGGATTTGATTTTGTGTAACACGTCTGGCCTGTATTGCATCAGGCCATTTCTTAACTGCCTAAAAGAGGTTTCAACGAGCACGCAAATATGAATTGCATAATTTGTTTAAATAAGGCTGCGGCCGTTACGACCATTTGAGTTAACCTGCCATTTCACTGTCAGGCAGGACGTCGTAAATAGTTTTAAAGGCTGTAGTACCGTTAAACGCGTGCGCCTAATGTCAACAAAATTCAAGTTTAATCCAGTTAACAAAGGAGCATAGACGTTGTATCGTCTGTTGATAAACAACCGGGTAGAGTTTAACTTGAACAAAACTATGCGCCAACATGTCGTAGCTATAAATGTGGAGCATTAGCTAATGCTCTTCATTTCTTTATTCGGGTGTCATGGCGACCGGTTTCTAAGGAACGGTTCGCATATTGAAGTATCGACGAAATCGAACCATAACGTAACAGTCTGACCGAGCAACTCTGCAGCATAACACGCCAACGTGCTTGAAGACCTCAAGGACGAACTTTGTGGCTAACGTTAGCTGTAACTCTCACCTGAATTGGCATTTTGGTGGTCGGAGTAACGTGCAGCAGTCTGACGCGCTGGACCACTCGCGTGCTTTTCAGCAGACCGGCTGAGATGGAGAGCATTATATAGGTTGCTAGCTAGCTAACTAGCGTTATGTTGTAGGACAGCTGCTTTGATTTGCGCTCCCACTCGCGGCCGGAACTGTCCCAACCCGTACACACGCAACAGCTACGGTGGTTTCTCACGCCCGAATGTGGCCGCAAGGATTTAACGCAGCTTGCAGGTTCAGGCCCGCTAAACCTTTAGCTGCTGCGCCATCTGCTAGCAAGAGGCCATATGTCCGGTTTGTTGAAGTGAGAGGAGAAGCTAAAGCGTGATTTGAGCATTGCAGATGGAAATAAGACCAAAAAGAGCAAGGCCATAAAAGCCCCCCCAAGTTGATTTATTCTGTTAAAACAGAGTATATCATGCACATGCTTCTCCATTTAGTTCCACACACGTTACAGAAAGTAAAGAAAGCAAACAAAATTCGCCCTTTGGATGGAGAGAGCACAGGTGGAAATGACTATGGTAAAACATTACAGTAAATCGGTATGCGCATGAGCAGAAGCGCACCTGAACTCACTAAGGCACTTGTGCTTTCCCTCTGTGTATTGTTGGAAAGACACCATATTTGATATGGATTTTGATTAAAAACAGTACTTTTTTGTTCTCATTCAGTGCTCATCTGGATTTCCACCTCCACCACTTTTCTTCTCTGCAACGTGTGTTAGACAGCTTACCTATTTGAGATTAAAAGTCACCAAAATAAACAAAAGCACAATAAAACACGTTTATTTGTAAAGGTCTGTCACCTATTCTTGACATCTTTATATCCTCCCAGAAATAAAAGAACTAGGTACAATAGGTATTATTCAAACATGCAACTTTAAATAAACGGATACGACATAAAACACAAAAAAGAAAGTTTTTGCAGTTCTAACAAGCTTGAAAGTTCTCCGTTCTCTGTCAGATGACCCCACACTGCTTTCTTAATGTTGAGGTCCGTGGTCGGTGAAGGATTCTTCCCCCCATCAGACCTGTTGCCACTGATTTTTTAGTCCACACCTTGCGTCATTTGGCTTTTTTCCCCTGTTTCTCTTCCTCAAGAAAGGTTTCCAGCCTTCGATGGAGACCATTTGTGATGAGGCTTTACTGAGCAGTTAATGTATCAACTGAAGGTCCAGATGTGTTTCTCTATTCTTTTATGTGTTTTTGGTCTTTTTTTTGTAGTTTTCTCACTATATCCTCAGTACAGCACCACTGATCTATGAGGATAATGTTTTGTAGACCTGGTACCTCTTCTTTTCTTCTCCACTTGTCCAGTTTGCCTGACCTTTTCAAGGACACAGCACGCTGTGCTGAGATATGCTGTTTTCAGCTAATAGCTCTTCGGAGATCAACCTATTGGTACAAAAATGTTATTTTATGGCTGTCAGACTATGTTATCTTCAGTATTTTTCACTGATTCAGCTGAAGAAATCCTAGCAAATTATTTGTTTTGTGGCGAACTGCAAGTTACAAAGTGTCTCGAGACACTTAAATAGTTTATTTGTTAAGTTGTCTTATGTGGAGATGCAACACTTGTTCATCTCCCATCATGCCTTTCTTCTGTTTGAATAACAGTATTAAATGCCTTGACAAAAAAAAAAATGTGAGGATTACAAGCAAGTTTGACCAATTTAAAGCAAAACCTAAAAAATGAGAGATGGATGCTGTATGTCCTGTTAAAGGTAAAACCAAATTATTTCAGACTTTTTGATTACTTACACTCTACAAAAACTGAGGTCACTTTTCAAAAGTTTATGATGTACCAGCTTCACAAAGCAGTCATCTATTCCTCAGACTGACTCATTTTGCAATTCAGTTCAATCTAAAGTGTTTCAGTCCACTTACCAATTCCCTTTGGAGAGGCAGTAGCTCAGGAAAACCTCCAAAAATCCTTATCTGGGGACACAAAAACTGTTGCCTTCACACAAAATACAACACAGAAACTGATTTGTTTTTAAATCTGTTGTCTGTTTAATTTTGAAGAAAATATTAGTTAATGAGTAGGGGTGGAAAGCAATTAAGAGTTATTTGCATTAATTAGACAATTTAAGGTAAGTTAATTTAAATTGAGCACATGTATATCAAATAGAACCATTTGATGAAAGGTTTTTCAATTCTCATTGCAACTTAAACCTTGCAGGTCGATTTATTGATTGATTGATGGACCCTGGATCCATTTACAGTAACACACACGTTAGTCGTGAGTCCATATGTTTCCTTTGCTCTCCTTAACGTGGTCTGGGCCTCTTATTCCTGGTTGGCAAATAAACTTCAGATGCATTGCTGCCACCTATCAGGCTGCAATTATATTCTGTGATGAATTGATGAAACTTACTGCGTTAAAGTCCCAACTCCATTTTATTCCATTGAAAAAAAATGTGCACTGTGCTTGTTTGATTCATACTTTTCACAACATGTCAGCTTTTTGGTGGAATCAGGGCTGTACAGCACAACAGACACACAGACAAACACCCACAGGTAGAGATGAGGCCATTGTTTTGTGGTGGTGGTGTGTCCATTTTATTACACAACACAAAGCACCTACAATAATCCACTCCCCGTAGCTTCAGACAGTGGAAGATCTAAAGTTTTTTTTTTCTTTTCACAGTGGGTTTAATGTGGACATGTTCAGACAAGGACATCAAACTGTTTCATCTAAATGAAAAAGAAAAAGAAAAAAAAAGCCTACACACAGAAATTCACAGCCAGTATCACACACAAAAACAAAGCAGTGTCAACAAACGACAATAAATTGAGTAAAAAATAGAATTTAATCATTTAAATAGTCTTTCAAAATACAAATAAGATTCTAATAAGATTCTAATAAGATGACGTTTATTAGCTATTTATAATTATCACTGGTCATGTTAATGTACACTGTGGCTATACAAGGAAATGTGTGAGGTTTGGTAATTTATTGTATTGCTTATTTATATTAATGTGCACATAAGTAACAGAACCTAAAACTGAATTAATAATTTAAACGGTGACACTGCATGTGACAAACCCTCCACCCAAACCCATCGTACCTAAATTAACAAACAAAAAAGAAAGTCCAACTTTGCATATATAACTAAAGTCACGAGGAAGAAACAGGGAGCGCTCCTTTTTGGCCCCGGCGTCGGTAGGAAATGTGGCAACCGTCTGTCAAATCTGACTAGTAAAAATCCATCAGAGATTAGGATATTTTCAGACTGCAGCTGAGACTTATGAAAACAAGAACGGACGGGAAATGGGAGCCACATTCTGCCCAATTTGTTAATTCTTTGGCCGCCAGTTGCTCATTCATCACCTGCATATTCAGGCTGAACAGCTCGGTGTGATTATCAAACCTCTAGGGGTCATGGCAGAAATGAGGGTCAGCGGGTCACACGCAGATCGAAGTGACTAAAGCAGAAACCAAAAAACTAACTAATGGGTTCAAATGTACCAAATATCCAAATCTTAACTGAGAAATCTAAATCCAGAGATGCGTTTGTCTCCACAGTTATTTGGCCGTCTGGCTTACGCTGCCTCCTGAGGTAGCCTCTTGTAGCCTCGTGCAAACCCTAAAAATAACAACCAGCCTCCGAGAGCACTGCGATTATGGGGTGAAAACAAAGGAAAGGAAATTAGTGTTAATCATGTCTGAAATGAAAAGCTCTAGTTCAACACCGAACCCAAAACAGAGTGTCACAATTTAAATAATATACCCTTATGTCCTAGAGGGGAAACTGTATGAAAAAGTGAGTTTCAAGTCTTTACAAACATCAGCACACTGGAAGCTGCACAAATATAATCATAATGGGAAATTAGTATTACATTTGCTGGCTTAATCATCTTTCACTACAAATTGCATGTTTATTTATATGGAACTGTACATGGCTAAAAGAGTAACAACCACTTGGCCATTAAATATTTTCTGGGATCTGATTTTTTTTTTTACAACAGATAAAGAAGCTCTGCATGTGAAGCTGTACCCTTACCAAAATTTACACTTCAGGTGTACAAACCGTCCGATAAAGGACTTTTGGGACGCTATCAGCCAGGTTTCAACATCCAAAAGGAAGATGTTGCATAAGTTTCTTGTAGCCCTGAGCCCAACACAGGACACTAACAAGTTCAAGTTCAACAGATGTGCATCCACAGGACGAGGGCGAGGAGGAGGAGGATCTCAAACTGAAACATTGGAGATCTTTTATGCAACTTTCTTCGGCGCTGCAGATAATGCAGCAAAATACCAGCACATACACACCATCACATGGGTTAGCGATTCTCCTTTTAGCCCACGTACTAAATAAAGCAACTGCTTTTTTTGTTCTCTTTTTTTAAAAACGTACGCGGCTTCATTAGAGGAGGGAGTATTTAAAAAAGAATCAAAAAATAAGCAGGCCGGGCTCCTTCGTAGCTTTTCTAATCAGAGTTGTTGCCACGCGGGGTGGGACGTCGCTCAGATGTGTTCTTCCCTGATCGCACTGCTTTCCACTTGCTCACCAACACTCATACACACGCACACACACACACACACGCACGCTGGAAGCCAGTTTTTTGTGTGCCAATAAGACCAACGGACGCACAGCCTTCATGTTCACTTCCTCTGGATGACAAACCTGCTGCGGCCTAGGCTTTAAAACACCTGCTGTTAGCGCCGGTGGCTCTCCACCCCGACCTCTAACCCTGCTGCCTTTAGCCTCTCTTAAAGAACTTTTAAAGAAGTTGAGACTACTCAGGCCTTTCTTAGCAAACCAGTTTCTACTTGAAGCTTGAGTCTAAAAATAACCAGCACTCGGGGTCCAACGAGTCGAGAATAACTGACACACATCGACTTACCAATGCCTCTTGGTATTATCCACATTTTCAATGTGACTGACAACAATCGAGTCATTATATTGCTTTTAACATTTTGAGAGTAATTCCTATGGTTTGCCTACAACGGCACACTAAACTATAGTGAATACAAGCACTTCATGTACATTTTGACTTATTTCCATTCTGGACCCTCATTTTTTTTTTGCCAGATGTGTTATTATGGCTTTCATGTGCAGGTGTAGCATTGTTCAAAAGTTCAAAAGCTACACGATTGCAGTCTGTTCTTGGGTACCTAAAAGTTATTTTCCAGTGGTTTAAGTAACTGCATATCAACGTGGTGAAAAAGCATGCCATGAAGTAGATAAAAATAAAACGGATTCCAGCTTATATGTTACACGTTTTCACTTGTGGATCATGGCGCCTTTGACTGAAGTTTGGCAGTTACATCTCACTGTGAATAGCCAATTCCTACCCAGAAACGTGAAGACCTAAGTTTTCCTGATCTCGTTGGCTTCTTTCATCCTGCTCAGAGGGGGAAAGGCGGGAAAATTTCCTCTTTAATGATTCTCTGATAAAAGCTTTCCTTTTTTTATAAACCACTCATCCACTCTTCAAGACTAAATCTCAGTTGGGACTTCGTCTGGATCCTCTAAATTTCTCCTTCTTTCCCTCTCTAAGGAGAGTCCATCATGGCTTCCAGCATCTCCAGAAAGAGTTTGTGCATGGGTACACCTCCGCGGGTCTTTATGCTGTAGAATGTGGTCAGAGCGCGGCCAGCAGTCTGTCGGAGGAGAGGCAAAGTTAAAAGGAGCCGTCCCGCCCGCTGGGGGTCATCTGGACGCCGCTGGCACTCCAGCTCCAGCAGGGCCTGGTGGAGGAGGTCTCGCAGCTTCTGCACGGCCTCCATGTCCTCAATGTAAACGGAATCTGACAAAACAGTAGGGAGCAGATACTTTACAGCATATCAGCCTCTGTCACAGAGCTGTTGGCGCTCTGCCTGTCAGATAATCCATTTTTTGCTGACTTGAAGGTCACTGAGCAATTAGATGAGAACTGATAATTTGACCAACCGAACATCACAATAATGTGAAACATGCTGTGAAATAAGTTCACCGAGTTCACTGGAAGAGCTCCAAAGCGTAAACCAGTTTATTAGCTTACACACAACTTGATGCATGAACATTTGGTCCACTAAAAATGTTTGTTTTCATACAGACAATTCAGCATAAAAAAAGCAACAGATTTATTTGAAATGAGGAGAATAATATAGAGTGATATTTCCTTTAAAACAAACAGTTTTTACTTTTCTGTCAATTTCCTGTTGATTAGCAAATCATTGGTCATGTAGTCTAGATGTTAAAAAAGAATAATAATACTTTGTACGTAGAGAGTACAAGTGCAGAGTCCCTTATAGATAAAGTCAAACTGACTGATTGTGGTGACAAAGTGCACTTAACTGTTGTTCCCAAAGCTTTTGGACCACCGCTGCTATTGTTGGACAGCGTCTGTCTCAGCTTTGCAATACAAGGATTTGTCTGCTCGACGTACCTGAGTTTGTGAGTGCGATGGCTTTTAACATGACAAATTCCTCTCGGTCCACGTTTAGTGCTCGGAAACGGCGGGCGAGCTGACTGATCGCTGCATTGAGCTCCGTCAGTCCAGCAACACGCGACATCTCCTCGTCCAGGACAAAATCCTCTGCGAACACCACCTCGTCTTCACAGCCCAGCGAGCGGTAAGCGACGCCCAGGACCAGCACCTCCAGCCACACCGACTGCAGCACCGACATCTGGTCTGCCAGCGACAGGGACAGGAAGCCTGAGGGACAGAGATACAGATTATTTGAATGTGGGGCAGGTGACGGGGTAACACATTTCCAGATCTTTGAAGTATACAGCGAGTAACTGAGTCACATTACGGTCCTCGAAAAAATACTAGGCATCCAAACAACAATAATAAGGATCCCGAACATCAACATTTCTGTGATATTCCTATTAGGGAGCAATTCTTGAGTTTGAAAAGGACTTTACATCTCTTACACTGCTGCCTCTCCTGTCCCATCTTACCAGGAATGTGTTTGGCCCAGCCGATGATCACAACCAGCTCGCGGTCTGCGAGGTCACAGAGGGTGGTGAGGGTACGCTGGGCAGTGTCAGGCTGCAGGGGGTCAGGCATGGCAAATAACTTCTCTGGCTCTGCCACTAGGAGATGGGATACGATGATGTTGGAGGACCCTTGGTAAAAAATAAAATAAAAAAAGCACAGAAGAAGGATTAATAAGGCTTTATAATCGGAGGGGCACTGACATTAAAACCTTTGAACAAAAAGTATTTTTACTCTTTGTTTAAATCCTTAAGGTTTTTAATTAGCCAACCGATTAATTATCAAATACTTCCATGAAAACACCCGAGGCAGATTAGTTAAACAGCAGACTTTTGTTAAGTTCAGTCTAATGTCTTTCAAAATTATATTGAGTGTTCCTTATTAAAGTTCTATGAACATTTACCAGCAGCAGAGGGCACCGTTTTCTATCCAAATATATTTTTGTCTGCTCATATCATTTGGTCACTGTGAGTTTTACCCACCCAGTATGTCCCACATGAGTGGGGGAGCACCACAGCATTTAAAGTAAAAAAACGTCCCCCGCCAAACAGATAAATTTAGTTAAGGAATGTTGTCAATTCTACTTTAAAGAAAGCATTTGCTGTTATTAGTTGACATAAGCATGGCACAAAAATCTAAATCTTAGTCTTTAATGAAAGCTAAACATGAGGTTTGAGATGGTTTCACAATTAAATTCCACTTTGAGCTCTTGTTGGGTAATTACACAAAAGGTTAATGTTGCAATGAGCCAATCTGAATCTCATTTGCACAAATACACCGATGGGACATCTAAAGGTGCTGTCTGTTACAATAATACCAATAATACCAATACCTTTTTCACTCTCCTTAGTCAGTGGTAGAGGGGCACTCTGGTATGTTGCATTCTCCACTTCGGGGCGCCTCTTGTACTTCTGCCTTCCACCTCTGACCCTGTCGAGGCGAACTCCTACATTGTGAAAGATAGCGTATGTCTGAGTTTGGCCAGGGAATACAAAACATATGTATAGCTTCAAATGCAAAACATTTTTTTTCCAAAAAATGTAAAACCCTTAACACCGAGCATCAAAGACTGTCCACATCAAAGACTCACCCTCTTTCAGCATGCCTACTTTGAGGCACTTGGTAAAGCGGCATGCTTGACAAGCCTTTCTGCGCCTTTTGGTGATCTCACACTCATTCGATGCAGGGCAGCTGTACTCAATGTTACCTTTATGAGAGAAAACAACATCACAGTTTTGTCATTTCTTTTATAATGTATTAAAAGCAAAACATCACCTGGATTTAACTTGCAATTAATACCTAACAATCAGTGATCAAGGAGCTCAGAGGGTCATCATCAATGTAAGACTGCAGAAAATAACTGCAGACAAAAATTTGACAAAAATATTTTGCTGGTAAAGTCGGTAAAAATCAAGGCTAAAGGTCCAAGCAAGATAGTTTAGCCACAGCCATTTCGTGTTAGGGTTTTTTGTTAAAGAACACCAACCAACGCCAAAACATAAGTACGGTAGTGACAAGAGTCAGCTGGGCTTTCTCATGTTTGTAGCATTGGGGAAGAAACTATAGCCACTGAACACACAGCAAAGATGACCATAACAGGCGATTTCAAACGTGATGTCGTTAATAGTTTGTTATTTTAATCAACATGGTTGTTGCTAACTTACAGGCTCTTTTACTATTTTTAGATTAAAAGACACGTCTCAGTTGAAACCAATTCTTCTTCTTTGAAAGCGAACACTGTTCAACTTCCTTCTGCAAATATCACTGCTTGACCTGATGACGTTTTTAACATGTTGAAGTGACAGACAGACCTGACGGTACATAGAAGTTCACAGATGCTCCAAACAGCTGACTGTTAGGCTGACAAAAAAAGCTGGTACCAACACATCAGTACGAATGAGATGGGAGAGCTGAAACACTGTGAATTAATTTACTTTTGCTATTTTTTGACCCCTTCATCTGCTACTGACTTTAAATTAGTAACAGCAGCATGTAAAGGCTTCACACGACCAGCAAACGAAATTCAAAGAGATGTTGTGACGACAGGTATAGCATCCCACCTTGAATGGTTCTTTTGAAGAATGCTTTGCAGGCCTCGCATGACGCTACGCCGTAATGATAACCCGAGGCCACGTCCCCACATACGAGACACAGCCTCTTGGGCAGCGTGCTCAGGGCATACTTGCATCGCCCTGCTCCATTTCCGGTGGAGCCTTCCTCTGCCCCATCACCACCCTCGTCTTTAAAATGACAGCGCAGAGCTGGTGTGTAGAGTGGCGGTGAGTAACGTTTAGCTCCATCTCCTCTGGCTCCTCCACCTCCGCTTTGAGAGGAGTCCGAGGAGGCCCCACCAGGGCTGGTCCGACCTCCCCCACCTCCCTCTGGACTGCTTGGTTCTGCCTTTATGTAGACATCTGTCCGACGCTCCCGGGAAGACATGATGTCTGGAAGGCAAACATATACAACAGAGAAAGGTCAAAGTAAATAAAGGTACAGAACATTTTGTCCCACTGAAGCTCCAAATCCAACCATTTTCACCAATCTATGACAAACAAAGCAGACAAGTTGACCTTTACAATTCTATTAATAATAATAATGAGCAGGTGTGTCTTTTTGATTGGAACCAGTTCTGTTTGAGTGTATATCATAGCAACACATTTTCCAACAATTGTTTGTCCAACATCACTATAAAAATACCATTCACATTTAATAAGGGACATCTCCGATAAAAGGGTCAATGAGCCATATAAATTCCTTGGTAAGATGACTGAAGAATAAACTAGAAATGCCAGCAGTTTGGTTTAATGGGCTCCAGAACTCAATACAGCCCATCCTCCACCCTTTATGTTGTACCCTGATGTGTGGGGCATGTGCTGATTTTAGTGTAAACAGTTGTCAGAAGGACCCGGGCAGCTAAAAAAAAAAAAAAATTGTCTTGGCTCAAGTTCAAGAGCTAAGATGTAAACGCTGGCCTAATCCAATAGGAAATAAACATGGCCCAACCAACAATTAAAGTACTGCTAAAAGAACAAAACAGCAACATAATCATAACTGTTATTCTTTATTAGACATAGACTGTTAAAAACTGAGGGATTTTTGCATCATCAGCATGCTGACAGCCCAAAAAGGCCTGCTTGGCTCAGCTTAGTCTATGTGGGGTTTATTTGTGCCATTTCTTCATCAGCAACACTTTCTAAGCCATTAAAAACAACCTTCGATGCATCAAACCCCAACCCTTCATTTCCAAAAACAAAGCTACTCATCTCGACCGTGCGTAGTATTTGTCAGCTGCATTTCTCGTTGTTAAAATAGCCAAGGTGACTGGATGAAGGTCACTATGCTCATAAATAGTGAGCACTCCTCCTTATCCGGAGATATGACTTTTATTCAAGTAAGGCGGAGAGTACAGCAGCAACCTGCAAGTGGCAGGGCGTAGTTCCCATTTTAGTTAAACAAGATGCAAGATGAAAAATGAAGGAAACACACATTTATGCACCCAAATTCAAGCATAAGATTTTTAAAAATAAATACATATTTTAGCATTTTTAGAAGTACACAGTGCAGAAATTACATAATTGTGTACTAAATTACATTAGAATACATAAGGGCTTTCTGCCTTTCTAAACACATTCATGACTGCATAAAAATGGTGCAAAAAATACACTTTGTTAGTTAAAAAACAGAGAATTGAAACAAGTGATTTATTCTGTTACGTGGACTCAGACTTTGTCCTTCTTGTGAAAGCATTATCATCATACGTTGATTGCCTTCAGTAATTTTGGCCCATTCTTTCAGCTTTCAGTCTCTTAGTTTCAGTGTCAAACCTTTCAGTTCATACCATGAATCACTTAACATCAATCACAATTAAGACAAATAGCAATTTTCGTGATATCAGAGGGGAATCTGTGTTATGGTTTTCTCCTTTGTCTTCAGTGGGGCAAATATCTGCCCTAGCAAAGGGTAAATCATTCAAAATACATATTTAACAATTCTGTAATAAAAATTCAAAATTCAATAAATGAATCAAACCTTTAAATCAGTCTTAGTGACTGAAGGACTTGAATGGCTGTGCTCTTACTGCAACATAATGTCAGTGCATGAGTATGATGAGATCTTTGTGGCTCAAATACCTTCAGTCCAGTTAAGACTTGAAAGTGACTTGTGAGTTTGGCTCCAGCACACACAGTCCCAATCCACCTTGACTTACACCATTGTCTGGTTTGTCAGACGTTGTTTTGAAAGTCAACGTGCAGCTCTGAACTTGTGAGGTGTCGCAATAGTAAAGAAAGTTTTATTAACCTCATGCACTTGCATTGCACACCCTGAGAGTATCAAACTCCTTAGTATGTTCTGTTCACACCACCATGGGTGGCTGCCCTGAAGAACTGAACCACTGGCATTTGGAATCATCTATAAACAAATCAATATTATCTTTTATTCGTATACTGATGACTAAACAGCAATATTCTGTTGAACATGTAACTCATTTTCTTATTTACAATATTTACCCTCCCATACCTACAGATTAAGTAATGTTCAGATAAACACTCAGCAATCAGGGGCATTATGGGATACAATCAATATAAGTTCATTCCTGACTTGCGCTACATGCTATTTGTCTATCTCAGTCTGTTCAGTCATCATATCCTAAGGGACCTAAAAAATATTAATTCCGTAAAAGCTTTTACTTTACATTCAGAAACATGCCCTACACTGCAAGCACTTGTAGGACATGAGTTTTTAAAAAAATAGTCCTGCACTCCTACGTGTAAACATGGTGCTGATAACCAAGCATCTTAACTAATCTTTTACATTCCTTTACATTTATTCCTCTGCTATGGCCTGTTCATTAAGATGTGTTTTACAGGTGATCAAAGCTGTTCACTATCAGACAAACAACATAAACTGGATTCAAGACAAGCTAAGGAAACACTGCACGTGGTAAATCAGGCAAGTTCTGAGAGCCAATCGACATTTGAAATCTCACAGCGTTGTATGTACACTGTGCAGTACTTAGTACGTGACTGTGGGTGATTTAGGAAAAAAACAGCACTTTAATACTTAATCTTTATGTTCTCACTGTAAATCAAGTATGTTTAGGTGGCATTCATGCTCACAGTCTTATAGTTACTGTTATACACGTTCTTTTGGAGTTTGCCCTCTCCGGATATGAGCACTGTTGCAAGAAGCATGGGGGTCACAGCAAACACAGCCGGTTTAAACTTTAGCTTGCTTGAGCTGAGTTTAAAAGCCGTGAGAATGGCTCACCTAAAACAAGCCGACGGACACATAAATAATCGACGATGTGGTCCAGCGTTATTCAGGGATTAAGAGGAATGAATGTGCACCGCTGTACAATTCAACATCTGCTTTTGTCATAAAGGGACGTCGGTTTAAAATATTGATACGTTTAATAAAATCATATGAACGGACGGTAATGGCTACGAGTTCTACTGACTGACTTTTTAAAGCGAAAGAAAACTGTTTGTCAAAGCACATAGTGCCGGTTTGTTAGGTTTGTTATCCACTTTACATGTCATGGAAACGTGTGGTGCTTACAGTAAACCACTGCCAGCATATTGGACGTTAGCATTAGCGAGCTTCAGCGATTGCACACCAACAGGGGGGTTAGCTAGGCTGAGCTAACTAAGCTAGCTAGCTAGTGTTAATCCTAACCGACTAGCCCTCTCCTCCTACATCTCAGGTTTATTTTTGTCACTCTAACCCGGACTAGTCTGCCGCTTACCTTACAGCTACCACAGCGTTTGACGTTAACGTGCCCCTCGGTGTGATCTCATGGCACAGGTTTGACAGAAAATCTTATTTCCAAACTCCCAGCGTCTGCTAGCTCGTGTTGGCTGCGTGTTGATATGGGCCGGGCTACAATTGGCTTTCTCTAACAGCTGGTAAGATGAGGATGGATCTGCTGTGGCTGAACACATTAGCTCCAGGAGCTGCCTGGAAATAACCATTTCTTGAAGGTCATATTAAGCTGCGGGCTGTTTAGTACACAGTGATATATCCAACTGAAGGATTTGGAAAAAAAGGAAAATCCCATGCTTTATTTTGATCTGAGAAAAATGTGTTTGCCACAAGGTCACACTAAAGAAATATTCCAGTCCCACTGGTAAAACATTTTTCAGGCCTAAATAAGATTATTGGAGCAAGGTGAATAATCTATCCTCACATAAACATTGAATCCAACATTGATGGATGTATGACACATTCAAATCTGGTTTAATTACTGTAATGGTTTGTACAGTATTTTCCTCATATTTCAGTATATTTTCTGCACAAGGCAAGATTTTCTCCAAGGCCCTTTATGTTCCACGCATATTGTCCCCAAAACAAACAAAAAAACTCAAATTTCTCGTTTCACAAGATTTTAAAGGCTATCCATCATTTTTATGTTTCCTTTTAGTCTGCGGGGTAGTCAAAAGCCATTTTACACAGATCTGCATTAACACTAAACGGACACGCCAAACCAAGCACCTGTGTTGCAAGTAATTCCAATGTTTTCCTGAGAAAGTTACCTCCTTAAACGCCTTAGTAACATGTTCTATTACCAAACAGTCTGTTTTGTCCATGAAATATAAAGCTAGTGCTTTCCTAATGCTTTGATTGTTTGGCACATTTCTCAAACCGCATCCTCCATTTGTCTATGGCTACCTCCCAAAGATGTTTGCCATGCTACAGCGACTAAACCTACATATCCACCATCTTTGTTGAAACCAAAAATTGGACCCATATGTTTTATCAATATAAAAGGAAGTGGGAGGACAGCCTACCTGTTGGGTGAACTTGATCTTTAAACCTACGTATCCTCACTCCTGATGGCAGGATAGGTGAAGTGATCTCGCTGTGGGTTGGATCCGTAGTGATCAGGACACCTGCAAAGTCAGCAAAGACTTCTGAGTGTAGTCACAGAATTTACACCCAGGTCAAGAATATAACCTAATTTAAAATATATATTTTGACTTCCATGCACCCAAAAAAGAACCAATCATTACTAACACTTTAATTTTTTACAAAGAAAACTTGTATGTATCTATGTATATAGAGACATATGTCTATATAAATATAACCCAGTATATCTGTACAGAATCTTCACGCCGCTTAACTACCCTCCCCCTTGAATGCTGCGTGACACACTCCAAAGGTCACAGTCACAGGAATGCTTGAAGGACAGACAGAGTAAAGCCAACACCTTGTCCCTCACTCCTGCAAAGTCAGTCGTAAGATGAAGTTTAGTGATAACACTCAGAAAATAATTTATTTTAAATCAAATTAACTACATGGATACTATGCCTTTTAGGTTCATTTGTAATTATTGTCCAATATTAAAGATGATGAATTTAAATGCCAGATTATTGCAAAGTGCTGAGCAATTTTAGAACCAGCTTCCACCACGAGTAAATGCCATTTGCAGGAACCATAGACTCATAGTTTGGAAGTAATGTGATGAGTTTATGTCAATAAGAGACACCAGTTTAGTTTCTACTGATAGACTACAGGCTGAAAAACTTAAATAATGACTTTTCACAAGTTAAAAAGTGACATTAAAAGCTCAAACAACCAATGGTTTCTTGGTCTCATGTGGTTTGCAGCTTTCAGTTCCTTGTTTTTTTAAGGGGGGTAATGGTATATGTCACTGTCAATGCATTCCCGAGACCTGTGCATTAAACTCAGTCCGAGGCTTTTAAATGCGGAGCTCTGTGAAGATGGCCAGAAATGCACCCCGGGGTGACCTTGCCTACCGATCTCGGACCACTGAAAGGTTAATTGCCAAAGTGGATTATGCCTTTAGATCAGTGATCTCAATCCTGGTCAAGCAGGCAAGGGAGACTTACTCAGTTCAGTATGTTAAATGGAAGAGAAGAACAACTCAGGAGATTTAAACACACGTAAAAAAGCTCAGAGTACAGTTGCAGAAGTAGATTGTGTTGTTTGCACATCCACGACTTGCCTTTAGAGTGAAGACATGTGCTGAGCCATGGGAGGACCATTAATTCGTGCATCTTTATTACACATCCCTGCATTATTAATTTTCTCGGTTTCTTGTCATATTTCCGGAGGGTTTAAAGGGCTGGGGGGTGGGGGGGGCAACAAGCACCATCAGATAGAGTGGAGCAGCATGTGTAGATTAAGAGGAAGATAACATGCGAGATGATTTGAGACTGGAAGCGTGTACAACAAATTATTACACAACATATGCAACTATTTATTCAACGGCTATTGCCCTCTGGCCCAATGGCATGGGAAGGCGAACTAACGGTTCTGCCAAACGAGTCGTGCATGCACATCAGCCCAACATTAGACCACTGACATATCCTGACACATTAAAGATTAACAGCCTAAACACACTATGCGTACAGACCTTGGATGTAAAGGTTAGAGAGGGATACTCACTGCGAACAGTAAAACCATCGCGGTGAGCCGTTTTATCTGAAGTCAGTCAAGTCTTTGCGGCTGGAAAGTCCACTGTCGGTCGAACTGGTTTAATGGCGCCGTCTGCGTCTCGAAGGGTTTCTCACATCAAATCATATTTCACAGCGTTACAGTATAAAATTATGACAACGACAACTGGCGACACAATGTCTTTGCTCGGCTGTTCGGTTCCGTACACTGGCGTTATAAATTCCCGTTTTGGCTTCTACAACTAAGGCTTGTAGTTTAATATCAGCGTCAAAACTCGAAGAAAAAAGAGTGAACATCCGCCGAGGGAGGCTAACAATAAAATGGTGTCCGCGCGCGAAACGTTTTAATTGGTCTCAGGCTGGACGACGTCTAAGACTAACATGGCGTCGAAAGCGACCGAGTTAAAATCCATGGCACGAATTTTTCTCACCATTTTCAAATACACGAACTCGTATATATTTTTGAAGCGAACAGAGGTACAGTTTTAATTAATAACCATCTGCTCTGTGACTTCCGGTGACCCACTAACCGCCTCCTGTTAGCTTGACGAAGCTGAATGACGTAGCCTCGATCTCGTGCCTTTTCTCCTCCCTCTGCTTCAATTTGCGTCCGTTGTGTCTCCGTTACGTCCGTTAACGCCGGCACCAGCGTCATCGGCTTTAAAAACGAGGGTCTGCAACTTATGAAAAAAGATTAAAAAAGCACGGGGGGGTAAATCGTCTTTCATGCTGCTACTGTCCAGGTTGGCTGCTGTCATTTACAGTCAGAGCTGATTTTAAATCTGCTGTTTACTAAAAGTAAAGCAACATGACCAAATCTGGAAGTGTTTCTTAGCCTCAAACAGGTACCCTACCCAATAAAAATGACATACAATTTCCACTCTTATTTACTCATATTTAAGTTTGATTTATTTAGGCACATTCATTTGATTCCAGTTACTCCTTTACTTCCCTTTGACTGGGAATACAATGTGTTGATAAATAGGTCAGCATTTTTTTTCCACCCCATTATTAAGATTATAACACAAAGGGCTGCATCAGAAGGAAGGGGCTGCATGTCCCAGTCGGCACACCTCTATGGAAAATGTAGTCATGCTGTTGGTCTTATGACACTGACCCGGCTCTCTCCACCACACCATTTGGACCAAAGCCAAGGAAGTAGGGTTCGGGAGTTCGCTTCAGTGGGATGAAATGGGGAAGGTGTCAAACGACACTAATCAGTTAAATAAAAGAAAAATATTGTTTGGTGAACCCAGTTTGTCTCATTCTCGATTAAAAAAAAATAGGAAAAGAATAAACGCGTGATGGATTATTTCACCAATATCTGTCGTTTAAAAAATGATTGATTATGAGAGTTTTGTGATTTTTCTTTCTGTTTAAGTTTGTAACCTCGCGCTTCTCGAAATAGGCTGCCCCCGCGCGCTCCAGCATGCCTGGCAACAGCTGGCATTGAGAGGGTACAGAACTTCTCACAAAAGGGTTGTCAACCTTGCCCCCGCTGATTTATCGCCCGAACTCCCGAGTAGAAAAATGGGGGGGGGGAACGTGGTAGCCTTACCACGGAATTGCACAATTTCCCCCCGGCAACTCGGCGTAACCTAATTTTTTTGGGAGCAATAACGAGCGTCGTTTCCCGCGGTCACGCTTTCGGCCCGGTCTCTGGGTCTCTGGGTCTGGATGTGGACGCACGAGCGCGGCGGGGCTTTTGATTGGGGGGGTTGGGGGGCTCGTGGCACGCGCGCGCGCGAGAGGAAAAACTGACGGCAGAGTCATTTCGACCTTGAAACAGACCGTGCTGCAGACACTGCAACTCTGCGGGGCTGCATCCCAGCCTTCTGCTGCAGTGGCTGCAACATTAGCGCGTCACGCCGAAACACTCTCACGACCAAAGCGAGAACCTGGCGTGGACGTAGCAGCCGACGTTTTGTGTCATTTACTGCATTGTGATCTCATTTCGCATGCACACGGGTCCGTGCCGTGTGTGGCTTAATCGGTTTTTTGAAAACCACGAGGAGCGGAAACGAAAGAAAACCCACGGCGAATGCCAGCCGGGGTCCCAGTGGGTCGTTCCTCTCCGGGTCGTGACCTCAGACAGGTGTAGGCTGATAGCCATCATAAATACCAAGTACCCACACCGAGCACTTCAGCGCACGGAAGAAAAAGCCACTGCATCAGTGAGTCATGTGTTATACAACTGATAGAAAACAATCTCCACCTATATTCCAAACACCCCTCGTTTATAATCATTATCACAGCTAAAAATAGGGCCGGGTTTGAGGGATTCTGCTGATCTTTAGTCAGGTTTGAATGTGGCGGCGGAGCAACCACATCCATCAAAGCACGAATAAAAAAACGACATAAGGAAAATGTATATTCTTTAGAGAAAAGGCTGATTGTTGCTTTGCCTCCTAAAACAGGATGTGTGGATGTATCCATATTACACTGACTGTCTACGAATAGGAGCGCTTGTTTTCCTCAAACTGAGATCTAATAACGTTGACTTGTTGCTGTTAAAAAGCTTTTCTGTCTATTTGACTGAGAATGATGCTGCATGGATGTTTTGTTGAAAAATGTCCTTTATCCATCTGAGAAAATAGCATCTACTGGTAATTTTTCAAAAGGAATCCATAATGGAGCTATCTTTTTTATATACTTCCGATATGGTATGAAGGCCGCAATCTATGTGCAGTAATGTAGAACTAACCGATGCTGATATATATTTAAAGAGGATTTTCCCCTTGAATCCAGGTCAGGAGTGTGCCGTGACACTACAAACGCTGCCCACCGTTGGTCCTCTAGTGGCCGCGCGCGGAGGCTGCAGTGGCGGTGCGGATGACGTTATAGCAGCTGAGTGTGTGTCCTCCAGTGAAAGGTCACCCACTGCTGTTGCACATCATCACTCCCCCCCAGACTTCCTGATTGCAATGCCATATCGCTGCCTTTTCTTTGGACGCATCCTGCAGGACAGTGTCGTATTTCCAAAGGCCAAGTGAGCACTCTGTTTCCGCTCCATTAAAATGCTTATTCTTCTAATCATGCAAACCTGATGGCGGATTCCACATAGTTTTTTTAAATCTCCAATGGGTTCATATGGAATCTGGTTGGAAATGCACAAACAGTGAAAAATTTGAATTTCAGGAAAAGATCACAGATGTTTGGAGCTAAATCTTGAACTTTGAATGTGTCTGCCATCTGCTGGTTGAGTTCAAAGAGAAAAAAAAACAATTAGGGTGGCCTAATGACTGGTTAGACACCGTTCTAAACCTTCTGATGCGCATTTGTCTATATATGGAAAGAAAAAGACAAACATGTGACCTGCAGCCACACTGCTGCTGCACCATTTGTCCTCGCCGGTGGTTTCAGTTTGAAAAAAGATAAGGTTTCCAGCATAGTATTACTTTCGAGGCTCATCTGCCGAGCTCCAGCACATGCTAAAAGGGGTCAAATTGGCATCTTAAAGTGCACTGATACCGTACCTCCAGTGTACGTCTGCCTTTTGCTGATTCTACAGCATATTCAGTCTCTGTTTTATAGGAAGTCACTAGACGATGATTCACTGCATAAAACGCTTTACTCATCTTCTAAATACAAAGTTTAAAAAAAGCAATTTCCTCATTTCAAAGCTGGATATTTCCTTTTTTTAAAACCTCCAGGTAAAAGGCGTTAATTAGCCGTAGGAACGTTTGCTAAATGGTAAAGTCTTTATGTCTGGTTTTCCCATAATACACTTTTGTAATTAGGGACATTTGCAGTTAAGCAATTATATTTTATACAAACACTATCTTTGTCCTCACATAGTCTTTTTTTTAAAGCCACAACATTGATTTTCACTCAATTTGGGAGTCATTTCTCACCAGAATCTTGTATTTAGGTTGTGAAAATCAAACCACTGCATGCAGCCCAACATCACAGGGATCTGGAGTCTTGGGTTGTCAGTGTGTGACATCTGATGCCTCTTGGACCACTCTCTCACTTAGTGGAAAATGCCTGTCCCACCGCAGAAGAAAGAGTCCATTGATGCAAAAACCCTTTGGTTCAGTATATCCAGGCAGTCAGCTGACCTAATTCTTTTTATTGTTGCTGAACTTAGACCAAACCAACTGAGGCAACCCCAGATCATAATTCTGACCCTACAGGCAGTATTATGTAGTCCGCACAAAGCATGATGGATGCAGAATTTAATCCACCACTCTCTTTACTCTGATGCACCCATCACTCTGAAACAGAGCAAATCCACACTCACCACATGACCTTTTTCCACTGCTTCCGAGTCCACATTTTTAGTCTACTTTGCAGACCTAGGTCTTTTTCTCTTTGATTAGACACCCAGGGTGGTGTTTTTTTATAGGCGCGCATAACAGTTTTATCTGAAGATTTTGACCTCTCGTCACATTATGTGTTTGAAAATGCTCTTTATTTCAACATTAGATATTTTCTGCAGTTCTTTCGACAATCATTCCCATTAAAGATTTCTTTCCTGACCATAGTTTTTCTTTGAGCACGATGCGCCATCCCTATCCATTTCCACGCATTAACAACAATGCCTTTTGCAGCTCTTTGTTCTAAAGTTTTCATATTTTTCACTCATCTCCTCAGTTGTTTTGTTTGCTTGATAATTTGAGCCCCCTGAAACAGATTAACATCATTTTCAACAACCACCGGACGTGTCTGCCAACACTTTAATGAATGAGAATACACTCACAGCATCAGTTTGGATTAAATGACTTGTTGCCAGCATTTTAATCACTGCAGTGCTTTTCTAGTGACAGGCCTATCTGTTCCGTTAGTCCATATGGTAACTTATTTTCTTTTAGTACTCGATTTGCCCTCGAGTGGCTTTAAAAATGTGTGCTTTTTTATGGGGCTTGTGACAAACCTAGGGAAACAAGGTATAGAGCCAGAGAAGAAGAGTGATCTACTCATATCGCGATCTTACATATTGATATTTAGGGTTTAATTTTGATAACATTCTGAACGTTGATGTGTGTGTTTCCAATAAGTGTTCAGAGTGCGTCATTCTTTGTGCATCTCACCTAGATAAAGGCTCAAGAAGATGCTTGATGTGCACGGTAATTCAAGTTTAATCTGTTTATTATGCATATGCAGTATAGAAGGATTAATGCAGAATGCCAGTATTATGGTTACACACAGCCGTTTCTTTAAAAAATAATGTAACACACTGAAAAACGTACCACGGAAAGTGTGTATCGCACCCGTTTAACTGATGGCAGGATTCGAGAATATCTGTGTCAGACTCAGGCAGACCTCTCTCCAGTATGGCATCACACCGGTTTGGAAAGTTTGTTTGTTTGTTTTGTTTTTTTTGGCCTACACCAGGAATTGTAAACGGCAGATTCTGAGAGATTGTTGTAATACAGTCTTAGTCCAGCAGAGGGCAGTAACTCATCATAAAAGGAAAGCGAAGATGGCTTGTCACCATGGTCTGTGACTGAGGCATACATACTCACATGCTTAGAGGAACATTCAAATGCAAACCACAAATGGCTATAAGGCTTCAGCATCATCTTAACTCTGCCCTAAGCAGCATATTAACACGAAGAAATTCACAAAAGAAACTCCCTCTGTCAACAACAGTCAGTGTCTTGGAGTAGACTTTCAGTTTTCCAGGTCATGGTAATCCTACGAGCTCGAGTGAAGGCAACTGGGATTTTTCTTATCTGATATCTCACAGGTAGATAATACATTCCTTTCCAAGTGTCAGTCTTAAGGCTTTTGTGGTAGATCTTGAACTGGTGTGGGGTTTCCGTTGGGCTGCTTCTTGTTGTTGTTGGAGCCGTTAATTCTGGTGCTTCTCTCCTGGACAGGCCGTCTGTGGCGCCTCCTCTTTGCATGACGTGATTTAGGTTGTGTGGGATCCAGGAGAGGATCCAGATGTAGTTTTCCACTCTGAGCGTCAGAGGACTCGTCGATGAAGGCGAGGTTCTCCCCAAAGTAGTCCAGAGGTTGAGACAAGTGGGGATCTGGAGGAGTCTCTTCCTTTGTGGGCTTTCCAGTCTTATCCTCGGCAACTCGGTCTGTCTGCGTGGCCTGAGAGTCTGTCTCCGATTCAGATTCTGATCCGTTAGAGGAGGAGGAAGTGGAGGTGTAGGATCCAGACTCTGTTTGACTCTCGCGCTGCTCCCCGGTCTCCCCGGGGGCCCCGGTAGCCGAAACGCTGTGACCGTGACTGCGAGGGCCGTGGTGGCGGCGCTTTCGCCGACGCCTTTTGAAGGGGTCGTCGATTTTCCCTGGAATGCGAAAGTCCACAGACATATTCTGGATGTTCTGGGTCCAGTCAGTGGCGTGAGCTCGCAGTTCTTCCATCTAAAACAAAGGGGAAGAAGTCAGATCCTACTTGTACTCTTATGATAAATATCAGCTCTTATACAGCATAGCATGTTTCTCATCCTTAAAGGTTTTACATCTGTAAGTATTCTGCTACAGATTATCTTCAGTCGGTGTAATTCAAGGCCTTTTGACTTAATGCTTCTGGTCATTTGACAGAGGAGAGCCCTAAAATGGCTACAATTTCAGGAGCCTGCATCCTGTGTCTTTCATTTCTAGACAGAACCAGAACTAAGGAGGGAGAAAATGAAAACTATCCCACAATAAGTGGTGCAAATTACCTCAGCTCTGGTTTTCTTGGACAAAACACGGAGCCAGTTCCCGATCATCGACAGGATAGATGCAAAGTATGCGAGACCCAGCAGGATCCAGAACCACACCAGAGGCTTGTACCAGTGCTCACTCCCTGCAAGTCCAGAATCCCCTTTGACAAAAAAAAACACAGAGGCAATGGTTACAGGCCATCCGACCACCCATCTATTCATCGATAAAGTAGATAAAACGCAGAAATGAGACGTGCTGTGAAGCAGATGAGATAATCAATAATTAATCTCTCACATGGAAATGTTGAATAATTAATGACATTTAGCAAAGTGAACTTAATGCAGTCCAGCTGACAGTTATATTTATGGATGACTAATTAAGTTACACCAGCTACATATGTGCGAGTCAGTGAGCTCTGAATACCAAAGCAGCATAGCTCGTTTTAACTGTGCTGACCAGCGATGATTTTTCCAGGGGTAAGCTTTAATTGACTGAAACCACAAAGCACTCTGCGTCTATGACAGCTCCGCAGACTCCCTCCTAACTATTAACAGGAAATAGTTGATATATTTGAGGGCGTTGCTGGATTTGATATTCTATCTAAAGTCCCGAAACAGTTTTATAGGTTAGAGTGTCTACACAGAAAACGAAACCTATTAATAACTTTGGTTTCCCATAAGCTCTGATCACTCCAGTTGATCTCTTAAATCTCACAGAAAACCATAGGACATGGTAAATCCATACCTTCATAGAAGATCATTATATGGAAATAAGCTGTGTGTGCACTAATAGGATGAAGTGGGGGTTTTGTCATGCCGCTTTTGTTAAATTGTGGTGTTACACTCACTGCCACCAATAGCAGAGACGGAGTCCCAATCTCTCGTTGAATAAATATTAACAACCAGATTTTATGATTATAAACGCACAATAGCTTTCTTTTAACATTTTTTCTCTGTCGGCGAAATAAAGGGAGCTCAATGAGAGCTTTGCCTAGGTTAATCCTTGGGTTTTCCCATTGTCGATCTGCTAAAATGTCCATTGTAATGACTGTTTACAGTACAGTGAATTAAAACAGGTTCAGTCCATGAAAAGAGATGCCCCAGTGACCATTTCATCTGCATGATAGTGAATAGGAGCGGCCGTATACCTGCGACATAGTCCCCAAAGCCCACTGTGGTCAAGGTGATGACTACAAAGTAGGCCGACTCCAGGAGAGTCCACTTCTCCACCTCTTGGAAGACCAGGATAGGCACCGCGACAAAGAGCAAACAACCCAGCAGGATGGACAGGACGGCCGAAATCACACGCACGATCGTGGGACTCACCCGCCATTTCTGCCAGACAGTCCAATCCAAGACAGTCCGATCAGAAATATACAGTAAAAAGTACAGTTATAGACGAACAATTGTGTCAATTTAGGCATCTGACCAGGAAGAGAGTCTCTATTTTGGCAACAGCTTTCCTCAGGCCGGTACCCAGGTGGTCTCCAACTCCAGCCAGCAGGATGCCAAACATGGGGATTCCCACCAGGGCATAGCAAATGCAGAAGAGCTGCCCTCCCTCCGTCTTGGGGGAGATGTTCCCAAAACCTGCACGAGATGTGTCAGAGGTGGAGAAACAGTTGATTAAAAAAGAAGAAAGAAAAATTATTGAAAAGTGATTTAAAAAATACATCATCTAAGTGAAAATGTTGTCGTCAGGCCTACCAATTGTAGTGATGATGGTCCCTGAGAAAAAAAAGGCACTGGCTAAATCCCAACTGCTGACATAGGTGGTGTTGCCGGTGGCGTCCACACCTGCACCGACAGCCTCCACCACCTCCTGAAACCAGAGAGAAGGAGGGAATGGTCAGCGCATGGGACAGCAGAACCATTAATGATACTGTAAAAAGCACTGTAAAAAGAAAGATTCATTCAGTTCCGCACACTGAAACCATCATACTCCCCAGTATACACCTGCAGATGTGCATACATCATCATACATAAACAACAACTTTAAAAAGTAGTATGACAAAGTGCTTAGCTGTCATTAACACACTCTCTGAGCAGAAAGCAACTCTGACCAAAACAAAGACTCATTTAAACATTTGACATTTGGCTCAGTGAAACCGGATCCACAATGCCGACATCTGAGGAATGAGTTTACGAGCTTGGCCCACCTGAGTCATAAATTATATCTGTTAATTTTATGTAAACTGTCGTCAAGCGCGCTGGACTTTGTTGTAATAGTTTAAGTATTTTTAGTAGTTTCCATTTGTGAACCCAACTGTTTTGAACCCAGCAGGTACTTCTACTTTAAAGTAGGATGTGACATGTTTACTTATTTTGTATTGGTGCGAAAGAGACCTTTTTGAGAACGAATATTGAGAAATATTTACTCACTGAAACAGTAGCATACCTAATAAGAAGGGAAAAACGTCTAATTACAGCAGAATGATGTGAAATTTCATGCTTTTTATTCTAAAGTAACAGATAGTAAAATCAACCTTGTTGGATCAAAGATCAGCTCCCCGATATTCTCCAGTCACTTTAACCTTTTTGCAAATGTCATCTGCTACATTTTTAGATCACTTTAAAGCTAAAAAAAGGAATTTACGGCGGCCATTCTGGAGCAAGGACAGGCCTCTCAGGATCACAACACACTTGCCAAACCACCATCATAACACTCAACTTATGCCTGGATCAACTTTCATGGGCTTGAACTCTCCGGCAGAGCCATCCTCACATAGCTGCTCAGAGCACACCTGTTTTCTGCCCATTCTGCTACAGGTTCAAAACGGCCACGCCGATGACCCGAGGGGTCATGGGACACGCCAAGGGCCTGAAAGGTTACACACAAGCAGTCGAGCCAGTCCCCAGTGATGATGTCAGTTTCATTATCTATAAGTAAGAATCCCTCTTTCACAAAGATTCAGTTGCTGTTTGGAGTTCATTTGCGTGGTAACAACATGGAGACTGGATATTGACAGGTGCTCCAATCAGTAACTGAGAAGCCAAAATAATGTATTTTATATTATTTAAAAAGTATTTGTTGGGATTGATTAAGTCCTTAGTAATATTGTAATATATAAATACCCTCTACACATTTTATATATATACATTAAGATAATTTTCTACACTGAGTTCATCACTGGGAAACTGTGACGAGTAAGAATATGTAGCAGAGTTTGGGCGGCTCCTGTGGTGACGGAAGCAGCTGTACCTCTATAAGGGCCTGCAAGTTTTCGGTGTCGACGCAGGAGAAGTTTGAGAGGAAGTCCTGGCGTTTGTCCTGCAGGCGCATGTGCTTGCTCTCTTCTCGCGGAGCCTCCAGGGCGCGGAACACCACGGCTCCCAGCACCAGGTACAGAATGACTCCCGTAAAGATGGCTAGCAGGGTGGAGCAGCGCATGGCTGCACCTCCGCTCAGTCCTACCGCGGGCTGCTGCTTCTCCGGGCCAGCCCTGGTACCGGCGCGGCCGAGATCCCAGCTGCTGCAGCTGAAACAACCAGCATCACAAAGGCGGGTTTCATTATGTTAGCAATTATGTTAGCTGCACCAGACGTTAAATCGACTGAGGCTTCACCACACTGCTGACACACAGCAGAACGCAACGTCCAAGATAAAGAGCCCGTCGTCAGAGTGCTCAACGGTTCAAATAAATGTCATTGTGTGTTGATAAAACATGAATTATCCATGAATACATGCAACCACAAGAGCTGGGCTCACCTGTCAATGCGCCTCAGCTGCCCACGCCTTCGTCTCTTCCAGTCCCCCTTTGCACCAGCTCTGATGATGGAGTCCCTGGATCCGTAACCACCGGGAAACCCGTCTCCCTCACACTCTACGGAAGGAGACACTACACAGGAACACAGACTTGTTCTCATGCGGTTCAGTCTCACAGAACAGAAAAAATACAGATATATCAGCCATGAGGATGATGAATGACAATTTGCAATATGGTGGAGCTCTCAGGCACACACACTCACATCCCGTTATTTATTGTCTTTTCTGTTTTCATACTAAAAAGAAAACAGATTTTAAGTTTAAGTCGGTGGGGAACCAAGTAAAGGCTAAAAAAATAAAGATGAGGGTCACTCCTCTTTGGATGATGATGTTCATCATTTGGAGGAAAATAAACTCTCAAGTAGAAGTTTGGTATGATGATGTTAGTCCCTGTAAGCTCAGATAAGAAATGCTCTCTCATTTATTGTGTCTGAAACTGAAGCCAATTCATTTTACCTTGTTAAAGCAACTCCCCTTCCATCGTCCAGGAAGTTCAGAAATGATTTGACGGGTGAGGATTTTATTATTTTGACTGGTAGGCCGGCCTCTTTCAATTGATTAAGCAAAATTAAAATGTACGCCAGGAAAACAAAAAAACAAGCATCAGTCCCCCGAAGTTCGAAGATTGCAGCTCTTTAGTCAGCAGATCTCTTGGTCTGGATCCAAAATTAGAGCAATAAACTGTCACACCGTGGCAGCAAAATATAGGCTTGCACTCCAAACCCTGCCGGGACGCACAAAGGGACGGTCCACTTACAGAATTGAACACGTCTCAAACAAAAGTTGGCAAGATGTGCACACTGTTACTTATATTAACACAATATTACTCCATATGCTCTGTTACTAAATACATTTAATCAATATCCCTTTCGAGCACAAAATGTTGAAAATTGCACCATGCACTTGGACTGAAATAAAAACATAATGAAAAAAATGGTCCACAGCTTTCTTAAAAAATTCTTCACATTAAACACATAAATGCTGCATATTTGAATTTAAACCCGGAAATATTTCATCATGCATTAAAGGAGATTAACTAAAGGAGCCAACCAATGCCCCGTTTGCCTGCTGCATAAACATTTCCGACTGTAAGACAGAAAGCAAGACACTTGGCATAAGGAAACTGGATAAAGTCCCGGCTGTGCAGCTGCACCAGTTCAAACACAACCAGCTACAGCAATCATCATTTATCACCAGACCCATACGAGATTCATGGGACTGACCGGTGGTCCGGACAGTCCAGCCCATGTGCACTTACCTCAGTCTGAAGGATCATGAGAATCCCGGGCAGCAGCCGCCTCACGCAGAGTTTCCTGTGAGTTCAGTGTGCAGCCGGTGTGTGTGTGTGTGTGTGTGTGAGCGGGTGTGAGGAGGGAGCTTTGTGCTGAGCGCACAAGAGAGGAAAAGGTGCTCAATCAAACAGACTTTATGTAGCGAGTGAGCGAGGGGGGAATTAAAGAGAGAGCGCATAGAAAGGTGGAAAATGATGAATCTGGGCCAGCTGCAGCCTCACAGATCAGACGTTTTTTTCGGAAATACGTGAAATGAATTATTTCATGTGAGCTGGTGTCCAGCTGTGTGTGTCCAGTACAGCAGCGGTGGCTGGTGTCGCACATTTGCATAGCTATTAGTACCATCATGAGATCGATTACCGAATCGTTGAGGTTGGATTGGTGTTGATTTGCTGACTCTGCAGGAAGCTTCGCCACGCTTCCCTCAGCCCTTATTATCACATCTTCATTAGAGGGAAGAAGAAAAGGCAGCTGCACCCTTCGGGTGTCCACTTGATTTACCATATTTGTGGGTTTTGAAAAAGCAAGAGAACGCCACGATTGTGGGGTCAGACACCTTTGCAGGGACAAAAGTGCTTGACCATTGAAGTTGAAAAGGCTGCTTAGAGGTCAGGCCTCTCGGGGTTAGAATTAGACAAAGTTTAGGGTTGGTGTAAGTGAGTGGGGGCCTTGGTTTCCTTCTTTGTTTGTCTTGGTTAACTCTAAATACTCCGGCTTCTTCCCACTCTCCAAAAAATGCATGTTGGCTAAATTGGAAACTATAAATTGACCAGAGTGAGATCATGCCTCTCATTAGTGTCACTGTTGCCATGTGATGTACTGTGACCTGTTCAGGCTGGGCCCCCCCCTTTCCCCCAATTAAATCTGGGTAAGGCTCCAACCCCCCCCTCTGACCCCTAAATGGTCTACGGAGGGTATAGAAAATGGATGGATGGAGCAGGTGACTGTTTTATGATTATAAGTGGTAACAAATGTGCAAATTTGAACAGTTGTGTCCCTCACAAGAAGAACCAAACATGGTTGGAAAAACTTGCTCTGCATGATAAAAACAAATAAGAGATTGCACGAGATAGGCCAGTAATAACATAAAACAAAGACAAGGATGTGGTCAGGATTAAAGAAAATCCAGATGGACTGGCACAGGGTGGAGTTTCCACTAAATCAATGAAGGTGTGGTGAGTGGCCACTCAGGTAAGCTGTGTGTGGAACGCATAACGCAACACTAAGGACGGAATAAAAACAAGGAACAGACTCTGGTATAAACAAAGAACTATAAAACAGGAAAAAAAACTGTCAAGGAACTGAGAGACCACATGCACCCACTGTTTCCTTTAAGGCTTTGAACCGGAAAGTCTGTTAAATGATAGTGGAGAATGAAAACAAACACAAAGTGCGCAAACGTCCTCCTGACTCATCACTAAAACCCTGAAAGGATGGCCCTCAAAAAGGGCATCTTTAAGGTGTCCCTGCAAAACAGTGTTCAGACAAGAACACACATAGAGCAAATACACACCGAACACACAGAAAACTGAGTTAAGTTTTCACTTTATGAATAATTTCAGATGCCAAAAAAAGCCATTTGCTTATCAGTGATGTGCAAATTCAGAGGGAAAATTTTGTTTCAGCAAGAGAATTGACATTATTTGAATCTCTCTGGTAATAACACAATAAAGTTAAACATTACTTCAATGTGTCAAAAACAAAAAACCCTAAAATGTAAGATATTTTCAACCCTGAACAGGAAATTCATTAAGGCTTTCATTTGCTTTTAATGAAAGATAAAAACGCAGCAAATAAAACTGAATTTTTTTTCTGTTCTATAGTTCAGCTTTCAGAAGAAATGGGCAGCACATGGCAGCTTTATTACGTACAATCACATAATTTACTGATTTCAAGCCATTTATGATGCCAGTGAGCCATGTTTGTCGTGAACAGCTAACCTGCAAAATGCTGCATCATGCAGTACAGTAACCGATACATTATTGCTGTGTTACGAGATTAAATCGCAAAAAAACCCCAACACGAAATAGCAGGTAAACGTAGAGTTACAGACATCCAAGACAAGTACACCCTGCTGCAATGTATTTAGATGCATTTGTCAAATGAAATGAGCTGGACACGCCTACAACTTCTCCGTCTTTTCCTGCAAATCCCCCCCGTCTTCTACTGGACCTGTAGTTGCTGAGAAGCCGAATTGGATTTATCTCATGCACTCACCAAATAAACTGCTAAATACATTTAGCCACTTCAATTCAATCTGTGTGAGAGCTTTTTGTCTCTTGCTAAAAAAACTGAACCCTGTCCAACTGCGCTGGAACAGGTGTCTTATTACTCCGGACGCATAAATCACAGCACAGCCACGACAACGCAAGAGGGGGGTCAAGTTGACTGTCAAACATGAGGTTATTTGACATTATTTTACAGTCAGGCACAAATTCAATAAATCAGTATTAGCTCTGCAATAAGGGGAATATATATATTTTTTTTTGCCATCAAAAAACTAAACTATATTGAGAAATGAAGCCACCCAAACATTCATTTAAAGATAATGAGGAAACCCTTACTTCTTGTGGATTCCAAAGCTCCTTTAATAATGTGCTTGGTTTGGTTTGAAAGATGAAAAGAAATGGATCAAATCCACCCAGCAGGAGACCTGGAGGCAGAAGCTGATCATGGACACTCATCTGAGACGGATCCTTTCCCAGAATAGTTGACCTGATGACGCGTCCGCTCACAATTATAACAAAGGTGGTAAATAAAAAAAGAAGGGAAGGAGGCAGCAGATCAGACATAATGTGAGGAAGAGGAGGGCCACACTGATGTAATGAGCACTTTATTTTCAATTAAGCCTCCTTGCATCCACTGGAAGATCACTTTCTGGAATTTCTGATGAGGCAAGGACTTCTAAGACTGGATATTGCGAACGTCTGCAACTTTGGTCATTAAAGGGAAGAAGCTTTTTTGACGTTAAAAAAAAGCTTGTTTGACTTCTGTAAGATAAAAAGTGCCTTTTTCTAAGGAAAGCAGAACAGATTGATTCATGGTTGACTGGCAGCTAATCATAATTTCATTTCTGGCTCATATTTTTGTCACTAAGTCATGGCCTCACACGATCCTAATCACAAACGCGCACATGAGAGTTGATGCAGCTATCAGAGAATAGTTTCTGTACATGTTCAGATCATAAAAACAATAATATAAAAAATGTAAACAATCCTTTTTGCACCACTTTCTAAAAGGACGTGAAGTTTTACCACTTTGTGATGGTGATCTTTTAGGATGAAAGAGTTTTCCGGATGTTATTCTATCCTCTTCTTTCTACAAAAAAGCATCCGGAGAATGTTGCTGTTCCAGTCCAGCCTCTGTACCCTCCTCTTCCTCAGTTACATCATTGTAATATGTGCAAAATACATCAGTGTCTTTCTATACTGAAACCTAAATATTGGTCCTTTAGATAACTTTGTCTGCTTCATTACTGGGTTTTAATGCAGAAAACAACATTCAGTGCTGTCATTTCCTCCCATTTTCATCGTGCCATCTCCCCACCGATCGCATTCAGCTGCATAACGTGTTGGGATCTTTGTCCCGGGTTTATAAATGCAGACCCAAATGACACGCCGCCCTCCTCCATCCCACTGCTGTCCGGGATGAGATGCAGCGCTGGTAAATTACAGTGACTGTAAGGTGCCTCAGAGGTGTTAAGAAGGAATTTCTGTGAAACTGTAGAACAGTTGAACTTCCCATTGATTTGCAGGAGAATCTACTTTACGCTTTAATCGAATCCGTCCAGATCAAAGAAAGCTTTTAACGAAGGAAGTCCACACACCAAAGGGCGGGCGTGAAGAGAGAAGTATTGGAGATTACGGAATGTGCTGGAGAGAGGAGCTTGAGTTTTAAACCTTGATATGATTTAAAATATCATCAGGATAGATAAGAGATCATTACAAGCAAAATATTTGGCTTGGGACACTATTCAACAGGTTTGATAATCTTTCAGGAAAAATCGGCAAAACCCCCAACACTGACATGAGGGCGTGCATTATTTTTGTATGCTTTCACGCGCAAGTAACTGAAAATAATTACCCAGAAACAGTCAACAAGACAACTTTTTATTTGTAATAGCAGGCAGCAGAAGGTGTGTTCTGTATAACAACAATGCTGTCACGCTGTCAGGAGGCCAAGGCCTGGTTTTAAAACTTGAGCTCCCTCTAGGAATTATTCTAAAACAGCTTCTTCACAGCTTTAATACATACTAAAAGTTGTTGTATTAAAAACTTCCCAACAGTACCGTATTCTCCCAAAAGATCCCCATAAAACACAAAGACTTGTGTCTGTTTATTGGTGGATCTGTAAATTTATGTAAAAAATTAAGTGAAAAAAAAAAAGTGTGTAGTAATCAGTCAATCTCAAAGGCTAAAACATAATTGGTATCAGGTACTAAAACCATAAATGACTGAATAACATTAGCCAGGCTTTAAAATGAATAAATACAGAGTGCTGTTCTCGGAATGTGAGAATGAGATCTGTGGAATGGTGGGAGATGGGACTCAGAGCCGTGGGTTAAACGTGAAGTATTGTTGGTGAGGCTTCTCCTTCTAGACAGTTTGTGCGTTTCCGTGAGCTGTTGGCCGGATCAGAACAGCTTGATCATGCTCTCTCTGGACTTGCCGACCCCGACCCACTTCACTGAAACCAGAGAGAGAGCAGAGACGGTGACTGGCCGGTTTTGGCGAGGCCCGGCTCGGCTCCCGCGCTTCCATTAGCCCCGGGGGTCTTTTTACCAACCTGGCACTTGCAGGAAGTCCTCGATGAAGCGGATGTAGGCCTGCGCCTGTGGGGGGAGGTCCTGGAAGCTCCGCGCCGCCTCGGTGCTGCAGCACCAGCCGGGCAGCGTCTCGTAATCCACCACCACCCGCGTCAACACGTCCATGTTGGCTGCAGCACAAACCAGAAAGAGCTTTCTGGCTGATGGATTCCTCAAACGACTCCTAACGACTGTTGGCCAGGCAACGGCAGCAGAAACATGCGGCCCGCAAAAAAGAGGAAATCTGCCCGAATGCAGCTCGACTGCCAAATTAAGAGGCAAAATCAGAGCGGCTGCTCATCGCCCTCGGGCTCATTTACTTAATAATTCAGTTGCTTACTTTGCAAATACAGAGATTAATTGGATAAAACAAGCCCTTGAAGGAGCTGCGAAACGAGACGCCAGTTTACTGCTAAGCTGAATGAATTACAGGGTAGAGACGCATTCATCTACCTGTAAACTCATTTCCCAACAGAATTTCTCTTCACAGAAGGAGATATTAAAGACTTTGAGCAGCAATGTCTGCCTTTAAATCGCCAACTTATCTTCAGTCCCAAAAGAAGTGGGAACATCTCCCGTTTACCCCTTCGGGAGTGGGGGGGGTATAGAGGAACAGCTGCCTGATGCGCAGTGTGAGGATCAGCCACCTGTTGGCGAGCATGGCTGTGCATTTGTTTCCATCTCTTAATATTGAAAATTAATATAAGAAGTGGAGAAAAATTTGAAAATCAGACAGTAGTTGCAGCCTTTTGGGATAGAAACTCCGCCCAGCTGTCCCTTTAAATGAGATATGTCTGAAGCTTCAGAATCAGCCACATAAATCTACGGGTCGGTCAACTTAATTGGTTCCTTAAAATGTCTAAAGCACGCAGCATTATCTTTTACTTTGGCCTTTTTTGCTTTGCTGACAAACTCACACTTCCCCAAAGAAAACACATCAGCCTTCTTAACCAGACTTAAGTTTACAGCTTATTGCAGACGTTTGGTGATTTTAGCGCTCAACAACCCACCTGGGAAACTTGGCAGAGGTTCACCGTCAACCTTGTAGGCCACGCCCACTTTGATCTCCGGTAGCGTGTCCAAAATGTCGAGCTTCGTGAGGGCGATCCTGCAAAGACAAACGGTGGCCGGTGACCTTTGATCTCAGGCAGAGCGCCGCATGAGGTGTGAAGCCGCTCGGGTGCTTACGCTGAGAACCCGTTGACCATGTGGGCGTATCTGACCAGGATCAGGTCCAGCCAGCCACAGCGCCGCTTTCGGCCCGTCGTCACGCCGAACTCCCTCCCTCTGGACTGTAAAAGCTCACCGACTTCCTGCAAAGCGGAAGAGAAACAAGCTCAGAGCGGGTTTTTTCCTAAATGGCATGACCCAGGCTCTTCGGACCCTTCCTTTGGCTGATCTGAGCGGCGGCGTGCATTTTGTTCATACACAACAAGCCTCAAATATCTGAGCTGCGCTGCTGACCACAGAAACCTAAACAGCCGCAGTTGTCATGGCAACCAGGAAGCAGCTGCTGTCAGACAATTTATTGGCGGACGGGTCAATATCTGGCCCAGAGCAGCGGCATCTCTCCTCTAACATCTGCAGCCGAGCCGATGGCTGGCGCGCTTCCCGAAAGCGTTTCCGTGGCGACCGCCGGTCTGAGAGCGGCGTGACGAGTTTGTGGCTTTAACCGAAAACTTCAAATCTCTTTAGCCTGCGGACATTCATCCGCAGCCGACTGGTTCACTTACGTTGTCCTGCTCTGTCGGGAAGGCGCCCACGCCCACCCGGGTGGTGTAGGCTTTGACCACGCCGTAGACCCGGCCCACGTAGGACGGCGGCACGCCCAGCCCGGTGCACACGCCTCCCACCGTGCAGTTGGAAGAGGTCACAAACGGGTAGGTTCCTGCAGAGGAGACGGCCATCAGGCGAGCTCAGCGGGCGGAGACACACGCCCACGTGCACGGCCAATGTTGCTCACCGAAGTCGATGTCCAGCAGAGCCGCGTTGGCTCCCTCCACCAGGATTTTCTTACTAGGTCCAGTGAGAGCTTTGTGCATGAAGTACACGCCGTCAGTCACCAGAGGACGGAGCCTCTCTGCAAAGCCCTGAAGAAGACAAACAGGCATTAGCTTTTTTCTAACAAAGTACAGAAGAACGAGCAGGAAGGAGAGCCAGTAAAACCCAAACAGTGGAGGGTTTAGTGGAGGAGCAGCCTGACGGAGTCTAAAGGCGTCTGTGATAATGCAGCCGGCTCAAACCTTCAGCTGCTCCAGTTCGCCCTCGATGTCCACGTTGAGGTTTGGGTACATGGTCTGGAAATGCTCGGCCAGCTTCTGGAACCTGTGGGGGACGAGCAGCGCAGCGGCTCAGAGCTCGGTCGCTAACAAACAGGTGGGTGCTGCCCCCTGCTGGCAGCCCCGGACCAGCCTAAAGGTCCTCACCCACAGGGAGGAAACTGCTCTGTTACATTAGTTTTTAACGGTTTGTATTTCCGACACAGAATGTGTTTATTAAGCTCAAACAAAACCGAAATACATGTCTGCTAATTTAGATTCTTATGATAAATGATTGGCACGAACACCAGCTTTGTTTACTCATACAGGCGCTAACTGATGCTCATAAAAACAAACCAGCTGCTTTAATACTAGAACTAATGAGGAGTATTTTGTTACCACAAAGCACTATTCATACACATTTATTTAAAGCGTATATTTATGAACTCCAACAAGCTCACAGCTCTTCATAAGAGCACTGACTCTGTCTCTGATGTGTTCAGTTCATATCGGACAAAATTTAATCCAATTAAATTAACTCGGTGCTTATTGAGAGCTGCCAACGCTGCTGGAAAACATCTCAAAAACAAAGATGCGTTTCACTTCAGCCAGTTTGGGGGTGGGACTGAGCTTTGTTGTGTAAATACAGGGGCAGAGTGGGGGGAGGATGTGTTTTTTTAACCAGCTTGCTCACATTTTGTTGGCCCTGAGGAAAAGGCTGTGTAAGACACAAACAAGCCGCTTACTTGTCCTCAAAAACCTTGAAATCTGAGACAAGGTCGCAGACTCGCAGACCGTTCCGCGCAGCCTTGGAGGAGTAGGCCGGACCGATTCCCTTTTTAGTTGTTCCTAAACTGGGGAGCAGAGAAGAGCCAATCACGACCATGGAAGCAGTCAGGCTTTGAGACGTCAGTGGAGCAGACACATCTGTGGCCTTTAAAGTTTCCGGAGAAGACATACTTCTTCCCTTCTTGCTGCTGCCGCTGCTGCTCCTGGATGCCGTCGGCAGCTTGGTGGAAGTTGAACACTAGAAACGGAAGAAGGAGACGGTCAATGAATAAATAAATTTAAAAAAATATTTCATGTTTGAAGACTTCAATGAGAGAACGTACCAATGTGAGCGCGGTCTGAAATCTTTAACCTCTCCTCCCATCCTTGTAATCCTGCAATCAGACACAAGAAACATGTTTAGCCTCTCATCTGTTTTTTTTATTTTTATTGGAGTTATTATCTACTGAAGGACAGTGCTGGGCAAAAGCTTTTGGAACACATGAAATCTAAATGTATCGAAGCGGGAGCAGACAGAGAAAAGGCCACAGGCATGGCCCAACAGCAGATGCCTCCAACAGGGCAGGAAACACTGAACTCTGTTTTCTTAATGACTGAATGATTCATAGGACAATATCAAACACATTCCTCTGGATAAAAAAAGCTGCCAATGTCCTGGGGGGGAAAAGGGCCTACAGATAACCAGGAGAAGTATTGATGTGGAACAGTTTAAAAGATTAGAAGAAAGTCTGACTGCTTGGAAGATAAATATTTAAGAATTAAAGAGGGATTTCAAGGAAGGAGACGCTTTACCTTTGCCTTTACGCAGGTTCTTCTCAGCCTCGTCAAACAGACCCGGAAGGTGGATCACCACTCCGTTGCCTGCGATGCGGAAGATGACAAACGTGTCATGCACGTGACCCCCTTATGCATTTCCTCTTTTCACATCCTCTCATTTCAATGGTCCTGGAAAAGGCTCGTGTAAAAGGGGCTCCTGACTCATGTAAAAGACGCAGTATTACAGCAGTGACACATTAAACAACAATGAGCGGCGTCCTGTTTTCTTCTACGTTGCTCCTGTGTGGACCGGCTTAAAGTAGGTCATTGTGGCGGCTGCCGCTTGATGCCGCTTTACCGTCCCCCAGAAACTCTCCCATCTGTGGTCGGCTGTTACCGAGACAGTGGCTTTCCTACCCAGCGCGATAAGGCCGCCGGCGGGAGCTCTGATGTCTGAAGCTTTATGGCTTCAGCCGGACCTTTTACTCATCCCGCCTTCAGATAGAGGCGTCGTTTCTTACCGATGAAGGAGACGGCCTTCTTGTTGAGCACCCCGCTGGGCAGCAGGTGGAAGTCGTACTCCACTGAGTCCACCACCACTGTGTGACCCGCATTGTTGCCTCCCTGCAAACAGCACACAACATTCAGCTTTTCTCTGCAAACACAAAAAGCTGGGGGATGACAGCAACAGCTCAAAAACGCACATCCTAACCAGGGCAGCTATATTGCCACTAAGAAACGAGGTTCAAATGTGTCAGCTGGCTACAAGAAGGCAGCTGGGCTGCAGCTCTGAGGCAAACGGGGGCAGTCAGCTGGGTGATGACGGCCGGTAGGTCGATGGCTTACGTAAAAAAAAAACACTGCAGTCAGTTGAGGCGCTATCAGCATGTGAGGGTCATTTGCCGGATTAACCAATCGTTTCAGCACGTCAATAACACTGGAAAAAACAACTGTTAAATAAACGCTAGCGTGAATGTTCCTACATTAAATGGGAGACTTCTGACGTCACAAGAAATGTACCCCCCCTCCCCCCTCCTTCCCCTAAATATTTAATGCTTCCATTCAAACGCGAACGTTAAAAAAAAAAAAACGGTTAACGGGGGCCCCCAGCCATGTCGTAAAAATTGTTTGGGTGAAAGGTGGTCGTTCCGGTGGGGTACCTGGCACCTGCACACGATGTCAGCGTCCATGGCGAGGACGTCCACGACTTTTCCTTTGCCCTCGTCGCCCCACTGAGCCCCGAGAACAACCGTCACCTTGTTCTGGGGCTCTTTGTGGTTGCGGAGCGAAGCGTCCAGCTGCACCGCTTCTCTCGGCCGTTTAACGGCCGGCTCGCCGTTCAGGGAGCCGTCCCCGCGTCCGTTCACACCGGCCACGCTACGACCAGAAGCCATGCTTCGCTTCTTTTGGAAACCGAGGTGAAATTCCGTCGCCGTGAACAATCTTCTCCCATGTGCTCGGATACAGAACAGAGGCTCTCAGACCGCCTGCACGCGCTCATGCGCCGTTCAAACACTTTTGGCGCAAAAAAAGCAACTACTACAGGAAGTAGTTTGCCACTAGATGGCGATGTTTCCCTTCTTATCTTTCACTGTCTCGAATCAGATTTAACTATAACAGTCGTTGGTTTTGTACTTTAATAAACCAGCTTATTTGTAATGCCAAATTGATTAGGTACAATGTTTCACAGACATGCATGTAGCATGGTTCGCTCCTCAACGTCCGGTTTCGGATGCAATCCTACAATTTAAAATCTAATTAAAATGAAACATTGATGATGGTTAATTGTTGTGTATATTTGTTTGTATTTTGTACATACACTTATTTGATTTTGTTATAGAAATTATGGGAGCCTTGTGTGCTTGGTTACTGCAAATTAAGGCAGAAAACAAACCTCTTACTTTGAAGGATTAAATCTTGATATAATAGAGAATGGAAATAATCCTTACCTCTTACCTTAAATATTGTATTTATTAAATTATTTTCATGAAGGTTTTAAAACAGAAAAAACTTAAATTGCCGTATGTATCCACCTGATGATGCCTAAGCCTTGTATTCACAAGTGTACATTTTCTAACTGCCTAAATTGGATGTCAATTTCTTTGAACATGAAGTTATGGCACTTGGCAGAAATTACTCTTTATTATCTTTATAGTCTTTTGTCCTTCAAAGGTTCTAAGTGAGGAATCTACATGTGGCTTATAAGTATTTAGATAAGTTACATCCAGCAAAGTTCCATATTTGATCAACCAGTTATCGTAACTCTATAGCACATTGTCTGATTCACTGTTTAGTCTTGGTTTAAGGTGTTTTTATAGTTCCATATAGATGCAGATGGGAATTACAGATGATCTGTTTTGTTTACAACAGGAGCAGCTCAGTGTAGGCAGGTTTATCTCACGTTTGGCTTCAAGTTTTTCTGAAATAATCAAGTTTTCGTGTCTGTTATCTCAAATGATGGTCCCAGAAGATTCTGGCATTTCTCATTTTATGCCGTTTTGGGAAACACTTTGCAACATTGATAAGAAAACCACCATAAAAATGTGTGACTTTATCAAGAAAATCTTTTTTTCTGTGAACAGATGAGAAGAGCAGGCTGCTGCAGCCACCTACATCTGGCATTAACATTTCTGTCATTATCAAAGACTTAATCTGTGACGTGAATGGAGTGTTAATGCACACAAACTGCTGACTGCTAATATTTTGTTTACTATTTATCCCCCATAACACCAAACATGATGTTGAACATGGTGCATTTGTTAAATGGGGACATATTAATGGAACTCCAAATGCGAAAGTCGCACTTTGATGGTGTTGATCACTCAAAGTTGTTTAATGGTGATTTAGTAAGCATCAGAGTTGTTTTCAGGCTGGGCTTGGAAGACCATTATCTGATTTATTACCTCATCATATCTTATGAGAACATTCATCTTATCGAGTTCCATGGCCAAACTTGTTGCTAATCATATTTATCTTGCTTTTAAATATTAACTTGTAAAATATGTGATTGCATTCATGAGAAAATGGACCTGTGTATTGGAGATGTGGGTGTGAACTCTGAGAGGCTTGGGCCGGAGTTGCTTTTTAAAATCTTCTTCCTACTTTCACCTGCAGATGTTGAAAATGTTCCAGCTGTGAAACTATTGTAAAGCTCCAATTTGTCACACAAGATGACTTTTTTTTTTACTTTTCAGTTGATTCAGATTGAATTTATGGTCAGACATATTAAACTGGCACATGAAAGATTAAAAGACTAACACATTCAAGCTTTATTTACATTGAATTTGACTCATAAAAAAGCACTCAGAGGTTGACTCACTTATGCTCCGGCTCTGCGAAAACAAAGGCTTTTTTGCACACGCTCGGGGGGACAAACACAGCAGTGGCCTACAGAACTGACAGGCAGATTTGGAAAATAACTGGCTGTCAATTCATAGGTCATCCCCTTGTGCCCCATCACTTTGCAAATACTTCAACATTAAAAACCCAACACTTCACTGGTGAGGAAAGCTTCGGGAACTCTTCGCAAAGGGAGGAAAAAGAAGCCTTTGAGCGGAGTGGGGAGGAGGCGTTTGGCGGCTCTCTGCAGGTAACAGCATCTCCACTGGAACAGACACACAACTTCCACATGGAGTTGCTGTTACATCCAGCGAGCACCAGAAACTCGTTTGTCGTCAACGGCGTTTCGCTGGCGTCACAGATGCCCGAACTCCCGGCTGGCTCCCGCCTCCGGTTTCCTTCCGGCTGAAGGGGAAAGAGCAGAGGTTGACTCAGGATCTGCGCTTGGAGGCAGCTGCTTTAGGAGGAGTGGAGTTTCTGCTTTCGAGTGACTTTGACCCGGCAATTTCCTCCTCCCAGTTTTTATTGCCCCGAGGTATAAATGGCATCATTGCCCCGTGCTCCTCTAACAGCACGGCCAAAGGGCCAAGGCCTGAGGAGATAACACAGATTTTATGGTAGCTGTCAAACATGAGGGCGAGTATAAGGGTGTGTCTGACCTGTTTGCCTGCAGGGCCCGCGTTTCCTGCTTTTACTGACACATCGTTGCTCAAAAACTGGTTTCACAGTTAATACTCCCTGTTTAATCGTATAAAATTATTTCGAATTCCTCTAGTGAATTTTTCTCTTTTTCATGACGCCGACATGTGAGCATTCACCCATGCATGTCGCACAAAGTGGTCCAATTAGCTGTTTTTTGTGTTTTTTTTTCTCTGTTGGATTTTGTTGCAGTGGTTCCAAAGAGCAGACTCTCCCCACTGATGTCAGTTATCCGAACACTACACCTCGTTGGTCCTGTTTAGTTAGTAAAATAAGCTCTTTATAAAGGGATTAAACCTGAGCTCCTGCAAGGCGTTCACCACAATCTTACAACAGAGAAGCTGAGGCTTCGGTTTTATAAGTTGTTGTTGTTTCTGGACTCACCTTCAGGTTCAGCGCGGCCTGGCTGGCGGATGAGGCCAAAGGTTCAGGGAGCAGCAGGGTGGCGCCGGGCGGAGAGCGGCGGGGGGGCAGGAGAGCACGCTGAGATGACCAGAGACGCACCGGACAGGGCCGAGGCCGGTGGAGACGCGGGCGGCGAGCGGCAGGTGCAGTTCTCGATGTGAGTGTCAGCAGTGACAGCGAGGCAATGGCAGCGAGGCAGAGCGGCCAGTTTAAGAGATCAGGAGTTGGTGGCAGGTTAATTATTACACCTGCAGTCAATATTTAACAGGCCCGGCGCCCTGCCCCTCAGTCCAACATCCTGATTCCTCACTGACTGACACCGTGGGTAGGGCCCGTGTCAAGCACATCTCTTTTGTCCCCCTGCAGAAAATATGTATTCACCTCGCCCTCACGTGGTCACGACACCCTCAGGAAATTGTGACTTTTAAAGGTTGAAATCCCTCTGTAAAGAGAAATCTGATTTCTAAACCCTCATTGTTTCCTTTTTTTGGGAAAAGACACCCACTTGAGTCTCCACCACCAGAGAAAAAGGGGACTTGTTCAAAGTTTTAGCTCAGAGTAAGTTGGTAAGATGGACTCTAATGGACACAAGCAGAAGTAAGGGTTGTGGAGCAAAAGCACGGGAGGAAGCGGCCGACTGAGGGCCACAGTCATCATGTGAGACTGAACCAGGGTGGGCAATGAAAGGCAGGATGAATGTTGTGTTGAAAATAGGCAGAGGGCTCTCGGATGCGCTCAAACTGACGAAAAGACACTAGCAGCACAAACAGGGTCCAATCGATTCTCCCACTTTTAACCTGAAGGTGTCTAATAAAAAGACACAAATCTCCTTTTCTGTCTCTTAAATGCAAAAGGTTTTAATTCTACTAGTTGGCATCCAACTGTTTCAGTCTTCTTTAATGGAGCTGGTATCTGGTACGGTCAAAGGTCTCATTGTACTCACTGATTTAATTCATAACGAAAGTTAAAATAAACACAAAATGCTCTCCCCTCGTTTTCTTGGCCTTTGTTCATTCTAACTCTGCTTTTAACCTTCTTATTGTCCAACACAGGGCCCAGTTGGTTTACACTTTAAACACAAATATAAATTTATGTGTTTCTTGGCATTTAACCCTTCTTTTATTCATACACCCGGGCTATCTTATCTCAGCAGGATTGGCCCACTGGAGTGCAGAGTCCAGCGTCTTTAAGAGACAGAATACGCACACAACATTAATCTTCCATGCAGATAAAGCTGTTTTTTGTTCCCTGAAATGACAGGGACTAAGGTCATAATAATTTCAGATGTAATTCAGGTCAGATAGGCCTATCACATGTCACAAACGGCCCTCAGGTTGCGGCTCAGCTTGTGGCTGTGTGATGATCTCAGAAATGATTGACTCTGTTAGGGCTGTTTATGCTGCTGCTGCACTTTCAGATCTCAGATGTGTCATTTAAGTTTAAAACAACCACAATTTCACTCTTCTTTTTTTTTCATTTGATGCATTAAAGGAAGCCGAGATGAAAGGCCATAACACAAATAAAAAGATGATCAGTTATGGGACTGCAGTTGTTGACCGATGCCTGAACGGATATTTCAAGCCACAGATTTATGATATCTCTCTGATTTATTTTGATAATATTTTTTTATAGGTCATAAAGCCACATGGAGTAATGACATTCTTTTTTTTATTTTTTATAAACAAAGATAATCTTGCAGCATCTAAACTGATTCTATAAATTCTCTTTTTATGAGCACTTCCTGCTGGTTTAGAATAGGTGGAGCTGAACTGGAAAATGGGGTTTCAGCATGGTTCTGTGCACAAACCGGGAACTGAAAAAAGATCTGATAAACCTTTGAGTTTGAAGGTGCCCAAATGGCCTGGTTTGATTGGTCAAAACGTTCTCTGAGGTGTGAGCAGATCCCGCCCTCTGCAGGTGCAAAATTCCGTGTTGCTCCACACTTCACAGAAATATGTGCTGGAATTGGAGTTTGTCGTTTGAGTGAAATAAAGCAGGTTTGGGACTCGTAGTCAGAGTCAAGCAGTCGTTAGTAATTTGTGATTCCTTGGTGAAAATAGAGTAAAAACAATCAGAATATGAAAAAAGGTGTGGCTATTGTTTTTATAGGTTTCATATCGTGATTGACCTTTGTCTTCATACTAGTGCGGCAGCTTTGAACTGTTTTGCGCCACATGTGAAGATGTAAATGTGAGGATTTTCAGGATGTATGAACCTGAAAGGGAAGACCGAGAATATGTGTCATGTTTGAAGAAGGAATTTTGTTTGTTTTTTGCCATTTCCAAAAGCATTTTTAGTCTTTCTGCTCCAGTTGTTTTACCTCTCTCTTTTTTCTTTTTTACATCAAGAAGTCTTAAAAGGATTTAAACAAAAGTTAGACAATCTTGGCAAGATGTCTTAAAGGCCATTTATTTTCCCACAATCTGAAGAGACTAAATACATACTTAAATAGTGTCACATTGTGATGCAATGTGACAGTTTGCTGTCGGTGTTCACCTCCTCTGCACCAGTGAAAGATAGCGGCCATGACAGGGGCACAGAGTTTGCATTTATGGCAGGTACACGTCCAGCATGTGGGCCTGAGAACACACTTACAGACAAACAAACATTAGCAGGACCAGAGCAGTTAGGAAAATAAGTCATTTGGGGCTTTCGTCTGTGCTTTTCTGTGAGGAAGTAAGTCAGCAAATAGACGAATCAGGACTTGACCTTTACCGTATTTCAAAGTCACATGACAAAAGTTCACCCCCTGAGTGTGTGGCTAAGGATCGGAGCTCTGTGTAATGGACGTTTGAATTTTAGTCAGAGGGGTCTGAAAAGCAGCTTAATCTGGTGGAGTCTATCAATTTTTGAATGTTGTGAACTCATCATTTGGGACGTTTTTTTGCAGCATGTGAACAGGGACGTGTGGCACGAAAGTGTGTAAAACTGTGTCAGTGTGTGAGTCCAGAGAATCGTGGTTGTCATGATGCCTGTTTGCATCCATTTTACATCCATCCTGTTTGGTCCGTTCTGGGACCTCATGCTCATGTGCTCAGCGGATAGGTAAATACATCAAATTGTATTTTTACCTGTTTTATGCCCCGTTGGCCATAATTGGTGGTTGTTAAATGTCACAGTGTCCACTGAAAACTGAAAGAGAACTGGTTCTTAGTCCAGTGTTTTGCAAAAAGGGCTAGGAGCTTTAAGGAAGATCCTTTTCATGAGGCCTGTCCCCCCTCTTTATCGAAGAGTCAGGTGAAGGGGTTCGGGTCAGGATACCAGAACCTCCTTTTCTTTTCCCTCTCTTTAGATTTCTCTTGGGACGTCCAAATAGGATGAGGCCCATGGGCCCAAGACCAAGCTGTCTGGAAAGTGGGAACAAGAAGTCTTCACCCTGATGGCAGCCAAAGGCAAAGATGAGTTAGTACAGAGTCTGAGAGTACACAGCCCTGCAGGGACCTGCAAACATCAATAAATCTGGGAAGCTGTCGTAATCGCTCTCTCCCTTTGATCAGCATAATCTTTTATTCTTCTCCCTTGCAGGCATCGCGCCATATTTATCAGTCTGCAAATACCAGCACTTCCCCCGGTCTCCAAGCCATTTTCTCCTTTATGCTAAACACATAATTGGATTAAAGAAAAAATCAGACGACGTTCTCCATTTAAACAAAGTGAACGACAATGTGCGAGGCTTTCTCTGTATTTACCTCAGGATGCAGACACATGAAAGGAAAAGGAAAATGTGTGTCAACATATTAACTTGTGGTTCGAAAGGAGGCTTTTAATGAACTTTACGCCCTCTACTGCCAGCCCAGGGGCAGTACAGACGGAGGCTCGACCCACACACACACGCTGTGTATACAGAATTTCTACACCGAGCAGCTTCTGTTTCTCACATTGTTTGCGGGGAGGAACAAAATAGTCTTTCCCATCAAGAGGAAATAATTGACTCCTCACAAAACTTCCATCATCCTCTAATAGCGCTCTCATGTGGAACTTTGTGCCACCATCATACCACTACAGTCACAAGCCTCTGCTGTGTTATATGAGCTGTCATGGGACTTTGGTGTTTTGATATTTTAGGATTAAACCTCCACAGAAAGGCACAAGAGGGGCTTCACCAACAGGAAGGACTCCTGTACATCAAGCATCAACATCTGATCTACTTTTAGCTGATGACCTGGCGGAGCTAGAGCAAAAACATCCGACACGGCTGAGACTCTGGTTCAGTAACACTAAAAGTTTAGTGACCCTGTCAATGATAATGCATGGAAATCCCCCATATTTTAAAAGCAGAAACTACCAAGTGTTGTTGATTTTGTTGGATAACAGCCTTCATAAATTCTCTAGTTTCTATACTCGCTCATTCCTGGTAGTTCCCATTAGTTCCTGTCATTGAGCGAGAGGGGAGGTGGGGGGGGTGACAGGTCAACGGTCAGTCAGAGGGGTGCGCAGAAAGCCTTTTATCTAAATGATTCAACAAGGACACACTCACATAAACAACTGCTGAATTAATTTCACAATTTTATTGACCTGATAATGACAGAAATGTGGAACATGTGGAAGGTGCGAACGAGCCATCCAGAGGCTGTGAAGTTTAGGCTTTGATTAACCAAAGGAAACAAAAGGCTTTTGTTATATATACGGCTGTAAAAAATTAAGAGACAAATAAAAGTATGTTAGCAACGAAAAAAGAACCAGCTAAAGCCACTAACGTTGGAGAAATCAGAAGAAAAGAAAAAGAAAACCGTGAGGGGAGCGGGCTGGTTTTATTTAGTGTAATTTACTGCTCGATAAGGCAGAAAAGTATCTTCATCATACTGCTCAGTCAGATCCACATGTACACTTACCTAGAACTGTGAAATGGGACAAACGTTTGCCACCACATAATAACCACATCTGAGAAACAGTAAGGAGTAAAAATATTAGTAGCGACAGACAAACTGAAATAAATTATTTTACAACACAAAAAAAGGAGAAAAAAAACAATTGTTTTTCATTCAAATATAAGATTTGCCTCTAAGACTTTATTCAGCTCTGGTGCTAAAAGCAGTGAAACTCTAATGACACATTAAAAGTTATGTACAGGCCTCCTGATCATCTCATTTTGAGTTTCAGTACGTTTCGAGCTATTCACAGTCCTTTTGCCACCGTCTACAAAACAGGGACTTGTTCCGGACTACTTTTCCGATTCAGTACACAAGAGTTACGCCACATTAAAAACGACACACAAACATGGAAATGACAACACACTGACGTCTAAGTTAGGGTTCCTCTCTAATCGGAGTGCAGCCGGAGAAGAAGCTGTTCTGAAAACTGGTCAGGATCCGTTTCTTCTTATGCAGGAAGCTGACTGACTGTTGGTCCTCCTGTTTTTCCTCCTCGTCCTCGGCTTTTTCTCCAAAGATTGATCTTCCGACCAACTTCAGGTCTGCAGAGGTGTGGCCGATGTCTCCGATTTCCTTCAGCACCTGAAATGCCACGCGTTAGAGCAAATGCACTAAAAGGGGGCACCTATAGCTTCATGTCAATAGATAGTGTGCACGTTCAGGCAGCCTCTGACCTTCTTTGTGGGTGTGCAGGAGGGAGGCTTGAAGAAGGTGGTGTTCTCGGGGCTGTCGGTGGCCATTTCCTGCAGAGAGGCGGAGTCTCTGGAGAGGCTGTCGGTTTGACTGTCGTCCTGAAATGAGCCAACGGCCCAAAAGCAGACTGTTAGCTGTTTGCGTGTTATGCTGCGATAAAGAGGGACGTTTCCGTGAGCTACTTAAATCTTTACGCGACAGCAGAGGACGGCCTACCAATGAGTGAACAAACCAAAAAGTTGCCCCTTCAACTGCTGGATTCCCCTTACAACAATCTTTATCAGAGGTCTTTATTAGAATTTAAAATGAAGACAGATAAAAGTTTGATCTGGTGCAGTTTGGGGGGTGGAACATCTAGAAACACCCTTCATTTTAACACATAAAACTTTTGTTTAAAATTAAAAAAGGAGTCAGTATCAGTATTGAGAAATAAATATGATGTAATCAGCCCATTTCTAGCCACATAATAAGATTTATTTGTCAATTTTACCTCTGACAAAACCTAAATTAAACAGGCTGTTTGTTGTTGTTTTTTTACTTTAAATGAACTCTGTGAATGTTTCTGTCAGCTCACACTGTGTCCCCGGGAAACGGGGTCAGGGAGCCGTACTTCAGCAGGCGCCTGGCTGTCCATGTTTCGACATTTCTCGTGGTCGCACTGGCAGTTCTCCCCGCACGTCGTCTTCCCTTTGCGGCAGCGGCACTGCTTGTTGCTGCAGCGACCTTTGCAGGCACACTGGGAGAGAGAAACCCCTTTTCATCACGTATCTGATCTCCCACGGCTGAATGGAAACAAACAGAGCAGCCGCCCGGCCTTACCCCCGTCGGTTTGGGTCTCCTGGAGGGTCGGCGCGCCTTCTCGGGCTTCTCGGGTCGCCACTCGTCTTCTTCCTCCTCGTTCTCGTCCTCGCTGGGCGACATCAGCTCTGCCACGTTGATGGCCGTGCTCACCGCTGCTTTGGCGGTGGTGAGGCGCTTGGGTTTGGGCTTTGGATCGGAAAAGGGAACGGTAAGAACACTTGAATGGGTGAGCTGACAGGTTCCACTCTGAGGTAGAAGAGATGAGCGTGTGGTTTGACTTTCCATTGCAGAAGCTCGTCTCAGAACAAAACGAGCAGAGTTCAGCGGCTTACTTTTGGAGGAACGTATTCAAAAGAGTCGTCCGGGCTCCTGTCGTTGCTAATGGTCGGCAGGAGGACTTTCTTCCCACTCGCCATGTGGAGCAATGACAGTTTCTACGGTGAAAGAAAAGACAGCGTGGTTCATAAGAAGCAGAACTTAATTTAGAGAATGTATGAACTGAAAGAAAAAGAAGGGCCTCGGGCCACAAAACGTCTGACTAATTATGCCAGTAAATTTCAATCAGAACTTGAATGAAGCGATAACATGGATTTAGGTCTTACTTGTCTGTACACCTCCACTAGTTTCTGATTCTGCTCACTCAGTGCTCGGAGCTTTTCCAGCTCCTCCTCCTGCCACAGTGTAGAAAACGACGGTTTGAGTGAAACGAGGACGGAAAAGTGGAGCATTGCTGATGATCCTGTGCGGACCAACCTGAAGTCGGAGCCGCTGGAGCAGCTCCCTCTCCTTGGAGCTGGCCTCCTCTCTCTGCTTCTTCTCCTCCGACTCTTCGAAGATGGGCTTGTTTTGCAGCTGGTTCAGCAGGTAATGGACCTGCAGGAGGAGTAAAACGAGGAGTGAAGCGCACTCAAAACAAAACTAACGGGGAGGGGAAGGGGGGACGGATGGAACACCTTCTCTTGGTGGCCCTGCTCCAGCTCCACCAGCTGCTGCTGGTGCTCCATGTCCATGGTGGACATGACGTTCCTCTCGTCGGCCAGCATCTTCCTCAAGTCCTGCGCGTTGGCCTTCTCCTGCTTCATCTCGCTCTCCAGCTTGGAGGACGCCGTTTTGGCCGACATCAGCTGGGTTTCCGAAAGGAAAAACAAATGATTTTACCCCTTCATTTATGCCCGATGCCGATGCGGCCAAAACGAGTGCCTTGGCGTTTGTGTACCTCCGTCATCAGAACCCTGAGCGCGCACTTGGCGTCCACGATGCTGGTGATTCCGTCTATGCGTTGCTTTAAACGGCCCTCGCCGTCCGCCACCAGCACTTTCTGCTGCAGGTCAGCTATTTGGGCATTCCTAACAGGTGACAGGAGACGCGCATTTCGGACTCTCGGTTAGCTTTAGCTCTCATTTCCTAGAGCCACTTGGCACCAACGTGGACGTTATCTATAAAGCTGAAATCAGATGAGGGCTTTGGTCCTGCTGGGTTTTCTGACGCACCTGAGGGCCATTTCTGTCTCCAGGTTTTCCACTTGTTTGGCCAGAGGCGTTTCCAAGGCCCCCTGGGTCTCCAGCTCAGAGATGATCAGAGTCCGGCGCTGCGTGGAAGACGCCACAAAGCAAAATGTTAGCACATTTCAACGCCCCACCGGCTGGATTCCTCTCCGACAGACTCCCCATCTCACCCTAATTTTGGGCGCGGGCCTGTCCCCGGCCTCTATCTGCTGCTTCAGGTGGTTGATCTCCTGGGCCAAGACCTTTCTGTCCTCCAGCAGGTCGTTGAGGTGGCGCCGGGCCTCCTCTGTGCTGGCCATCACTTCCACTTCATTGAGAAGCCACGTCTGATGACATAAATGCAGAGTTAACAGCCGTTTGATGGCAAACAGGAGTTAAGACTTTTTTTATTCCCACAGAAACATCTAGACATCTATATATTTTTTCTGGTAACCAACAAAATTGACCACATGAGCCAAAGAGAGCACTGAACCACCTTAACTCGTGCAGCAACCCCCTCGGTGCCCCTGTTGTGGACGTCTTTGCGTTTCTCTGCCACCTCATTTCTCCTCTGCAGGGCATCTTTCAGCCTCTTGTTTGCAGCTGCTGCCTGTAAGGAAAGACCGCAGAGCTGAAAGACATGCTGGGAACCATCTCAGGTCACACAGACCTGGGCAGATGTCGGATTAATCCAAAGAAGGAGAAATAAGGGCACCTCACCTCTTCAGTTTTGCGGCGCAGCACGTTGGCCTGCTTCTGGAAATCCCTCTCCAGCTTAAGCAGCTCGTACTGTCTTTTACGATCCTGATCAAACAAAGGCGTTTTTTTGGTTTGTTTGAATATGAACCGTTTCACTCACTTAAATTACGATTTGAAAGGGTGAAAAAAAGACTTCATGCTTGTATACCTTCTCCTTCAGCTGCAGGACTTCCCGGTCTTTCTTGCTCTTCCACTGTCTGAACTTCTCGGAATCATCCCTCATCTGCCTCATCAGCTGCGTCCGCTGAGTCTTCATCGCCTATGAGAACGGTTTACTTTAATCACGATGTTCATACCATAAATTTAAACGTCTCAAATTTCATGTAGAAACACACACATGCAGTGGTTCCTCTTTAAGCCTTGAAGGAGTTATAATGTTTTAATGAATTTAAGGTATGTTAGAAACGGGATGGCGCAGGATTAAAAAAAAAAAAGAAAGAATGTGTTACAGACCCATTCAAAGTTCCTGGTTACCTGTATCTCCTGCATGAGCTTGCTGACTTTCTGCATTGACGATTCTTTGACTTTCAGCAGTTTTGACTGGTCAAGAAGTTTCCTCTTCATGTCCCCCAGCTGCGCCTCCAGCTCCTGCAGCCTCTTCCTGCGCTGCTCGCTGAGCCTAAATAAGGTTTTTTTAGTGGCAGACGGAAAGGGAGAGAGTGAGATCACAGCTGCTTACCTGACCCATTTAGACCCATCTAAACAGTTGGGTTTGTTTCAGGATGGAAATGTCTTCATACTTTGCCTGGTTGGTGTCTTTCTTTGCAGACTGAAGCGCCAGAATCAGGTCCTCTTTCTCCTTCTGCAAAGAATCCACTGCAGACTGCAGAGTGTGGACGTTCCTCTGTTGGACGACATTTTCAGAAAGTTTAAAAATGCGGCCTGTCGCCTCGCAGAGAGAAAGGCTGACGAACCCCTGGTAAAAGCCAGATCAACCAACCTGGTGCTCTGACTGCACCGTATCCATCTGACTGTCATTCTCACACATCTTCCTCATGAAGGCTTCCTTTAGACTTAGCACTTTGTTCAGCTCGATCAGTTCTTTGGAGAGCTGAGCTTGCCGCAGTGCATGATGGGCCGTGAAGGCCTCCGGGGACCCCTTTTTGGCAGCGCCGTCCTGACGGAAGAATGTTGAGAGACATCCAAGTTAAAGTTGAGGCCCAGAAGTTAATTGCTTTCCGTTTTCAGACAATTTACCAACGTGTCTGTACGTACCGACGGGGACTCATCTTCTGCACTTTTATCGGCGCTCCCGCACCCCTCAGCTGCCTCCTCCCCTGCAGCCATGGCGTCGATGGAGGCAGCAATGTCCGCACTCTCGTTCTAAAGAAAAAAACAAAAACAAGATAACATACAACTTTTTTTATTTTAAAAAATTAATTTAAAAAAGCTATCCAATTCTAATTTCAGCTGATTAATTTCTGTACCTTCAGCTCTAAGATGATGTCTTGCAGGTTCTTCATAACTTCTATGTTCTCCTTCAGCTCCTGGTCTTCCAGTGTCTCCAGCAACTTCTCAAGATCAACAGTGCATCTGTAAATAAAATAAATAACAAAATAAATCGCTTAGCTTGATACTGAAAACAAAATTTGACAGCTTTTTTGGGGGGCTCTGCAAACACGAGTGCACATCAAAGCACTTTGCAGCCACTCAGTGGAACTGTTCAAATGCCAAGAACCGGGCAGTTCCAGCTCTTTATGTCAGTCCTTCTTGGATAAGGGGGCTGGTGATAAGACGGGACTGAGAGGGATTACTCGTCGCTTTTAGGACTGTGCGTCTGGGCTGCTCTTCCAGGACCTCAGGCGTGTAAAAACTCACGCTGCATGGTGCTGCAGCTGTTCCAGTTTGCTTTGCAGTTTCTCGTTTGCTTGTTCAGTCTGCGAAGCAAAGAACAAAAGCCGATGGGTGAAAAAGGCAAAGATTATTCACAGGCTGTAAAACTGGATCATTTCCTGATCCATTCAGCCACGGTCTACTTCCAAATAGTAGGAACCAGCAGGTTTAGCTCTCCTATCCGCCATGCGGTCTGTAAAAGTTTCTTTTGGGTCTGGCTCACCATGATGATCTTCTCAAACATGAGAGCTGTCTGTCCAGCCGCCTCCCCCAGCTCTCTGCTCAGTTTTCTGTTCTCATCCTTCAGAGCTCGATTCCTTTCCAGCAGCTTCGTCACGTTCTCTGCCGACTCCGACCTGGAGCAGAGGGAGGAACAGGAGTCACTGCTTTGGTCTTCTTTCTGACGGCTAGCGGTCACCTCTTAGCGGCGCCGGTTCTTCGTGCTGGTGGGACTTTAACGGAGAGGTGTTCGGCCTCACCCAGAAAGAGCAGGAGCCACTCCTCCCCGTGCATGCAGCAGCATCACCTGCAGCTCCTGAACCTAGGAAAGCAGACGAATACATTTGGGTTCAATTACTATATGTTTAAGAGTGTACATTATCTTCCTGATATGGTTAATGCAACAGACATGCCTAACTAACCTGTCAAATGCTACTTCTGGTGGTTTAAGATTTAGGGAGTGTTTTTTTGGTTTGTTTTTGTTTTGTACCTGCTGTTTTAGTCGGTTCATTTCCGCAGCTCTGGGGTCAACGTTAACGATAGGTTTGTTTTTAATCTTTCGCGCTCTGTCAGCGTATCGCAGCGTGTTGATGGTTTCCTCCATGTTTGAGTCAGCGGGGCTGATGCAGGCGATCATTAGGGTGTGGCTATTGCCTCCCAAAGAATCTGAGGACACACACACACAGTCTCTTAAAAAATAAACCATGAGATCATGTGCGGCAAAATCCACATGAAAAAATGGGATTAGCCCCTAAGGCAGACATAAAGACCACCGCCAGCTCTGAATGTGTAAATTTGAGTCTACCTTGGAGCAGACGGGTGAGCTTAGAGTCTCTGTATGGAACAAATGTGTGTTTCTTGCTTTCATCTCCCAGGGCGCTGATCACATTACCCAGACATAAAAGGCCTCGATTGATGCTGATGCCTGCAGACAAAAAGGAGCATCATCACATGATAATGTTATGAAAGACACCATTTTGTCACAAAGAGACATCATATGCAGAGTTTGGACACTGAGCAGATTGTAAAAAAATATTTCAACTAAGAGACGACAGAATTCTTTTTTTCTTCTTCATTCTTATGATTTGAGTTTTAAAATAACCTTCTGACAAGTAGATTCTGGTACAAATCTCCATTATGCTGGAATCAGTTTGTAACAGCTTTTTTCAGAAAGTGTGAATCTGTGTAGTTACCTTCTTTTAAACGATCCCCTTCCGCCTTGGTTTTCTTTTGTCTCTCAGATCCAGCGAGATCCACAAGGTGCAGCTTTGAAACAACCGAATCCACCCTGTAACCAAATATTGAACAGACACTCTAGTTCAGCACATACAATACATGTTATGCCGGCTTCAGAGCAAAGGCCTTTTAGTTTCTGTTATTATATGACATTTTACAGATTTTTCTGCCGATTCTGAGTCACAGTTCACTTTTAGTGAAAATATACAATTATCGATATCCCAAAAGAACATATATACTCAAATGTATAGAAAGAACACATCTTTCCTTTGATCAGATTATGTTAATGACAGTCTTAACTAAACATTCTGGGGATCTTTTCGGGTCATTGAGTGTCCAAAAATTATTTGGGTTAAAAATATAATTAAAAATAGTAAACAGCTGACTTGTTTGTGCCCCTGCGCTGCTCCAGGGTGATGGTGAAGATGGCATGAGAACGTGAGGAGGCAGCGTTCATGGCCGTGGAGCCTACAGTGCGAGCAGAGTTTCCAAGTTCCAGGCAGCTCACCATCTCTTGGTCGGAAGACACCCTCCTCTCAGTTAACCCGACAATCTGGACAGCACAGGATTATCAGCAAAAGACACGCAGACACAAACACAGTTATTTGAAAAATAACTATTAATAACAATAAAAACAAATTGCTTATTTATTACTTACTTTTATGCCATCTTTAGGGTCTTCTCGAATGCTGATGGCAGGTTTATCTTTCGATGGACATAGTAGATCCAATATTTCTTCATTATAAATCTACAACCCAAAAAAGTACAAGATGAGGCTGGGGAGAAAAAAAACTGAGGGCCTTGTGTACATCACAAAATGATGGCGAGCTGAAAACTTATTAAATACTCTACTTGCAGCATTTGAAAAAAACTGTTTTTACACATGTAAACAACCCGTCAACCAACCTCCAGATAAGAGACGGAAAGAGAGAATTCACAGTCCGTTCGCTTCTCACTCTCTTCAAAGATTTTTTTGATAACTCTGGGAATCACTCCGACTGAAGGGTCGTTTTCCTGAGCTGAGGTGAATGTTCCTCCCATTGAAAAGGTCTTTCCGGATCCAGTCTGTCCGTATGCAAAAACCGTTGCATGGTAGCCTATCCAAAGAATAATGTTCAATATTTGAGCTAATTTCACCGTTTCATGGACAGATTTGATCAAATAGTAATGTTTGTGCAAGTCCCGACTGAACAAACGTACTACCAAAAGGTGGGTTGAAAAAGGAGAAATGTATAATACACAGATATTCTGTCCTAAAAATGCAGATGTACCTTTGAACAGCCCACAGAGGAGGGGGGACACAGCTGTGCTGAAGACCTCCTCTTGTTCAGCAGTGGGATCAAACACATAATCATAGGTGAATGCCTTCTCTGTGCCAACAATGACCTGAAAGAAAATGCGTATATTTCTTAGTTTTCTCGTAATCTGCGTGTAAAAATGTTACAAAGAAATTAATTTCTGTTACAGCGTTGATGAGGACATTACCTGTGGCTCTCCTGGAACAAAGGTGAGGCAGCACTGACATCCCTCGTTGATTTCTTTTGGTACTAAGGGGCGACACCGCAGGGCCACTCGAACCGGGATCACCTTTGCCTCTTCATTTGTCATGATGCAAAATTCCGATCAACAGCTTCCCTGAAAGAATGATTAAGATATACCAGATTAATCCAGATAAAACTAAACCTATGATGCAGTAAGATGGTGTGTTATTACGCATTTAGAGTGGGAAATGCAAAGGTCAATAATACAGGTCAACCATTTAAAAACCCTTTGGTTTTAAAGAGCAGGACAACGAGCAGCATAGAATTAAAAAAGGCATATTTTAAAGGACAGTAGGACTTTGACAAATATCTCTGCTCTCACTGCTGATCAAAGGACCAAGGATTTTTAAAAACCAAAATCAAAAAGCCTATTGGATTTAGAGGCATCAGATCATGCTAAAGTTAGACAATTCGGTGTAAGAGATAGCACTGATGTGAAGGATCAAGATTAATGTTAACTGTGACTGGATGCTTTGGTTAAGTATGTATTAATGTGGAATATATGTGCATTAATGAGACGAAATAAGCAGTAACACTTCATCAAAACACAAAAAAACAGCACATACTAAAAGGCAAGCAACACTCTTCTCATTACCATAAAAACTGTATGAAAGTACAGAAAACCTGACCTAAAAGAAGTAGCAGAGTCATTCATGTTACTTAGAAGTAACATCAATGTCTACAAATATGAACAATTCGAACTCTCCATAGTTTAGTGTTAACATTTCCGTTTGGTTGGTTTATGGTTATTTCACTAATTTAAGATGTTAATAAAAAAGTTTCCCACTATCTACATGAATTGTCCTTTGCATCACATAAGAAATCCGTGCAGTCACCGTGTACCGTTTGGCAAACGTGCTTTGTGCCCAATTAACCCTTTAAACTGGTGCGTTCACGTACTCAACCGACAGCAGCTAAGATGCTCAGCGAAACGGGTTACCATCCTTATGGTTTGGAGGCGTATTTTTCTTGAAAACCAAACCAGAATTACAGTGTTGAAACCATATGTCGTCAAGTTAAGTTATAGTCCGTGTGTGTGCTTAACATTAACTAGCCTGCTGCGGTTGTTTGTGAGACGTTAACTATCACGTACCTTTTCAAGTGTCCCCAGAACTAATGTCCAAATACAACGAAAATTTACATTCAGTTGGTTGGTTTGACAGTCAAATAAGCAAACATACAACGTTGTGAAGACCCCTTTTGCTCTCGAAAATCACTCGATATTGCGTCTCTCTTCATATAATATGCTCTTTTGTTACACCATTAATCCTCAATCTATGCTTAGAGTTGTTGTCACCGCCCGCCACTTTCAAATTTAGCTCCGCCTCCACCTTCTTCTTCTATTCATAATTTTATGGTAGGGTCGTCGTGGAACATAAATGTTACTGACCTCTTCAGGCAGGACTCGAAATTGCACGTTAGCCCCAGAACGGGATGCTGTGCTTAATTAATATTCCTTGTACTTTAATTTCGTTATCACGAAAATGACAATATATTTTAAAATATGGTGTGAGTCTGAGTGAGGGTGTAATCAGGGATACGCTGCCATACAGAACAACATTTGATTCCGGAACTATAAGGTTGATATGCTCGATCAAAAAGTGTAAAATTGAATCAAGACAAGCTGATTGGGTGGCATAGCTTCCCTTTTGATGAGATGGGCTTCAAACTACAATGGGAAATGGAGAGTGACTGCACTGGATGGATGAGAAAGGTCATTATACTAGGAGCCAGAGGAAAACAGCTGAGTCCAGATAAAGTGATGACAAGGCTTCTGCAGGGAAGAGAGAGCTAAGCTGGCTGTTCAGTGACAGAAGCCGAACAATGGACTCACACTGCACTTTGTGTTCTGCCGACAATGTCCCTCAATGCTTTCAGAAAATCATCAGTTTCAGCAATAATGCGAAATTATTCTCCTGAAACCAAATCTCTCCCTGACAACGCATCAGAGGAATTACTCAGCATGCAGGACAAATTAACACACACGGCTCGGGGAACTGCAATAACATAGATAGAGCTTATCCCCTCCAACCAGCACAGATGTCTGACTCAGCCTCCACCCATTCTGTGACAGATGATGTTGACCCAGCACATAAACAATGAAACACACCTCACCATGTGACAGAACGAGTTGTGCTAAAACGAGGACCCTTTTGACATGTAATTGTTAATCACTTACAGAAATAATTTTTTCTCGACACCATATCTTGATTATTTATAGAGTTGATAAACCTGTACAAGTATAAAATACCCACAGAGGTTTTAGAAATGGACTGATGATGCACTGAAAGAGAATCAAGTGAAAGTATTGGTTCTCTAACGAGACTAAACGTGAACTCATTGAACCCAAAAGGATTTTTCGAAGCCCTTCTGACATACTTTAATCGTCAGTGATACTTTGAGAAACTATCAGTACTACTCATCATCCTCATTCAGCAATTATCTCAGAGGTGAAAGAGGTCTTGCTGCTGTGGGAAATACTACCACAAGGCATAATGAGAACACACCAGATTGTCCCTTGTTCCAATAATAGAAATGACTGTACATCAAAAATGTTATCCGCTTCAAATACGTTCAGTCAACAGTTATTTTGGATCTAATTTATGTTGGTAAGAAAAAATCCCAGCATTACTGACTCTTAGCTCAGCCCGCTGGTCTAACAGTAGGCATGCTGTCCTGACCTTGTTGCTATGACTGACTGGAAGGGTAGGAAGTTTGCCTGCTTTACCCTTTCCTGTTGTAGCTCTAGGAGCTAATCTGGACGTGATGGATTGCATTAGAATGACATCATCCATGTCTGAAATCCAACAGTTGACTGAATGGGGTTTTGAGCAGCGTACACACAGCTCAGTGGCTCTAAGCCACACACACATTCCAGCTTTATCTTGGGCTGGGCTGCACAGAGTTTTCCATCAACTGTAGAAATTAAAACATTCACTCGAGATAATTATAAGAAACTGAAATACTGAGCATCAGTGTACTCTTATGAATACACTGATCTAGAACTTAAGCACTGACATGTCAGTGGGGTCTTTTACATAAATTATGACTGCAGTCCAAATAGGTAAGATCTTGTTTAGCCAATCAAAAGGAAAATAAGTAATTAGAATTTCAGACATATATACCGGTAAGTTTTCTCGACAACAAAAAACCCCAGTTCAAATGGGTACTTCAAATACATATACAAATATTAATTCTTACATTAACTTTGAATTATCTTTCTAGTTATTTCACTATGGGCAGCACAAGCCCACAAATTCAACTTTATCTAACAGCCATTTTAACTGTGAGTGGTCAGTGTCCAGCAGCAGCTGCACATGGTGCAGTTGGCTGAACCAGCTTCTTTGCCAACGCAGCCATCTGACAGTTGGTTATTCCACATTTTAGAACCACCTAAATAAACTGGTTTGTGCTCACGGTCAAATGTATTTTTTCTTTCGACATGTCCTGATGTTAGTGGCTGAATAAAACACTGTTTGACTTGTTGGAATTGTCCGGCACGTGAAGTGGGCAGAGATGGCTAAAAAAATTGTGGATAAAAAGCTTCCACGTCAGTTTTGATAAAAGTTTAATATTTTAAATGAGCAGTCTGCAAATAGGTATTATGTCTTGTGTCACTCTTGGTAAATGGTGCTTCAAATTTTTATGACCTTGATGCAAATCATGAGAAACAAATGAGATCATATATTATGTATTCATGTTGTAACAAAAAAAAGAGCCTTTGAATTATTCATGCGCATGCAAGCCATCATTAGCTCCTCTGGTATGACTGATATAAGTTCACGGAAACTACTTTTCTTTCAAATCTATGAAGCTGTGCTTGTTTAGAGTATAAAACTTTGTTGATCCTGTAGGAAATTGCTTAATTTGTAACTGCACAATTGTGGTAAGTATTAAGTGGGAAAGGGTACACCTTAAAGAGGACTGAGTAAGTCCCTTAAAATAATATTTCCCCCAGAAAAAAACGGTACTGACACTTTCAGGAGAGAGCAGACCGCAGTGGTCAGTTACACAATCCTTATCCCAAGGGCAGCTGGATGGATGCATCTGCTTATAAGTATTTTGGATGCATAGAAGAAAGGAGGAGGGTGGAAATCAAATCACTCAACACAGAACACACCCAAACATTGTTTAGCTCTTTCTGGCAGACATTGTTTTCATGGCAAGCCCTCTGAGACAGGGCAAGGTCATTGTCAGCTGGTCCTACTGTTTCAAATCCCTGACATTTAGAGTGCACGAGGATAGAGGAAACAGGCAGGAGACATTCGTGATGAGGTTGCAAAATGCATTTATTTCCAGTTGGGGGGTCTTAACGGTGATGTGCTGCAGCCTAATGGATCTGCTTTCCGCAAAGGCTGTCCCTGGGACATCTTTGACTAATAACGCTGTCAGAACACTCGGAAACTGGAAAATCAGGAGTCATGGTGTAACCCCACTCTGCTCCTACGCCTTTTACAACTCCCCTACTTTTCCATGCACGCAGCGTACGCGCGGACGTCACGAGCGCGATCGCTTCCACGGCACCGCACATTTCTCCCGAATTGCACATTTGATACCCCTCGCAAGCAGCGCGTTCCGCGTAGTAAAGGGGCGCAGACCAGTCTCTGAATCCCGTTCCGACGTGCCGACGACACGGATGCCCGTGCCCACAGAGCGATCGCAGGGCTTTTACCCGACCAGCACAGAACTGTAGCAGCTGACAGACGGATGCGGAGGGAGGGTTTTTTTCTCAAACCCAGGCGGATTTCTCACGGTTCACGGACTAGAACGCTCGTTTGTATGTGTCCCCATGAGCGGATGACAGCCTCCAAACAAACGTATACAGAAAAACTTTCAGCTCTGTATTTGACGCGGGGGTGTTATTGAGATTTTTTTTTTTTTTAACCAGGTGCAAGAGCAGTAATGATGCTGGTGCAAACTGTGGGCTAACGGTTCTGAAATGACTTGCTCGGCGCTGACGCGTTTCATTGTGCCATGCCAACCCCGCATAGTCAGATACCATTTTACTCTGCGTTGCCCCGGCGTCTGGAATCCCAATATTCTGGGCCTGTTGTATAATTAGAAGTTCGCGAGGCAGTAGCAAAAACAAGCTGGTGCAATGAGAAGCGACGCTGTCCGAGACACTGTGCGCAATTGGGTCTGAAGCTTATGGGTCCTGCGTACTCAAGCTCCCGGCTTCCACTTGGAGAGGTGTGCTGCGGGGCTACTGGCTGTGGGCTTCACATCTGGACCGCCTGGCTACTGTCCTGTGCGGCCTGTTCGGACCGTGCACTCCCTGAACTTGTGCGTTTATGGGAAACCGAGTGAGATCGCAGCAGATGGTGTCGTGTTAGGTTTAAAAAAGGGGGCTGTATATTTGGCTCGGACGTAGTGTTTATAGGTGATCCACCGGAACACCGTGGTCCAAAGCTTGGTTGGCTGACTACTGAAGGAAAGAGAGAGGGAAAGAAAAAAAAAACGCTTATCCAGCTATGGATTTCGTGTAGTGAAGTCACGCATCTTTAAAGGCAACGCTACGGTGACATTGCAGTCTTCTCTCCAGATCGGTTATTTAGTCGTCCGACAAAAAAAATAAATAAATAAAAAATACAAAAAAAGAGTGAAAGTGGAGTATTGTCCGTTGTACGTCTCAGCGCAGTGGGATTTCTACGTCTGGTCGGCGTTCCCCCCCACCCTTCCCGCGGTGACGGTTATGGGTCGGAAGCGGTGTGTCGGTGCAGATTGTTCCAAGATGGCGGCCGGGTGCTGCGGGGTGAAGAAGCAGAAACTGTCGGGATCGCCCGGATCGGGGGGTCCCGGCGGGGTGGGGGCGGGAAGCGGGGTGGCAGGAACCGGACATTGTGGCTCGGAGTTGGGGATTGGCTCCTCCGCGACGGTTGCAGCAACGGCGAACGTGAGCAGAGCCAACGGCCTGGGGGGACCCGGGGGTAACGTTAGCGGCAGCAGTAGTAGTAGTGGGAGCAGCGGTGGCACAAACGCTCTGTCCCCAGCCCCGGCCGGTTACACTACATCCGGCCTCTCACCGAATCTCAGCCCGGGACCAGGTTCGGGAAGTGGTGGCAGAAAAATGGTTGTCTCAGCGGAGATGTGCTGCTTCTGTTTTGACGTGCTTTATTGCCATCTGTACGGATACCAACCTCCGAGAACACCCAGGTTTACAAATGATCCCTAGTGAGTATTTTTTTTTTTTTTGTGTGCCTTTTGTTGTTTTGCTGCATATCAAAAGCTGTCAGTTGTATTCTGTCAACAGATGTCTAATGCACCATACTTTCTGCCTATCGTTTTGGGCTCTGCTTCAGTGTTGATAGCTTAAACTGTCACACCGAAACAACATTTCAACTTTCTCAAATTTTACTAAAAAAAGCCAACGATCACGGCTTAAGTGGACCAAGTTGGAAATCAGGCCTAGTCGAAAAGACTATCTGCACTGGCCTACTGCTAAACAAGCCAACACACTAATACTGTTGTCAATTATTTTATGACTTATGTATGTATTGTTTAATATAAGTACACGTGAGCAACGTGTCTTTAAGAATCATTGTAGGTACTTCTTAAAAACGGTCAATTAACGGTATTTGTCGGTCCAACTGGCATAGCAGAGGCTAAAAGGGTTTGCTACTAGCGTTAGCTAGTATCGGCTAACGACTGATAACAGAAAGAAAACAGGGAGGCACGGAGTTTATTCTTTCTGTTTTAAGTTTGACTTTCGCTTGTTAGGTGTGACAGTTTAACGTGTGACATCTCAAAACACTAAGTGTTCACGTTACTATCTGTAATATCTGAAGTTACCAAAAATGATCCCTGGTTTACCACATACAGGGATTAGCTTTATTAGCTGTTTAAGCTACGATAGCCTAGTAACGAAGCTGTAATGAGTTTGTAGTGATTAATTTAGTGTTTGGATATACCCAGTCTCCCCCTTATTATGACACCTCGGGGGATTGACTTTCTCAGTAGTTTCCTATCGTGTTGTATTTGGTATTTGTGAGTTTACCGTCGAATCACGGACAAAATACTTACTGTATACTTACTGACTTTAGCACCAACCAACAAAGAAAAGGTGGTTTTTGCTAAGTACTTAGCACTTAAGCTTTACTTCAACTTGTGAGAAAAGGACAACTGTGACAACGATGGGTACATAAAACAAGCCAACTAAACAATTTAAGGCACTCACAATAATTGATATTTTTTTTATCGTATTGCCAAATAAAGCGTATGGTGGGGAAATGTGTATATGTACATATATACAGCCCGTAACGGCTCTCCTGCGCCCTCCACGGAAACATTTTGTCCCCACCTTATAAGACCACAGTAATGTGATAGCACGGGGCTTCTGGTTTGTCTTGCTCGCGTTTTGAAGCGGTTAAACTAGTTTTCAGTCGTTTGACACCATTGCTGACATTTGCGGTATGACCCCAATTGTGTGACAAACGCTATAGAAAACAGAAATACTCAAAAGTTTGCTTACTGTATGTCAGTTACTGACATGCCAGACCAATGACAGCCTAAATTTTCCCTGTTCAAATGAAAAACATCTCCATGTGTATATACATATATATAGTTTGAATATTTGCTTTAGATATGTACATTTCATAATGCTTTTTTTCGTGTCATGGTTCATTCAATGATGTTAAAAACCATCTCAGAGACCCCTTGTAAAAAACCTGGATGTTTCCAATGACGTGTTAACAAAAATAATATACTCTAAAACCCATTAAAAATGTATCTTTGAGTTGTCTTATTAGGCTGTAAGCCCTCCACAACTGTGTTAATAACATTGGTAAGTGCAAAAAGTGCTCCACTGAGGGGATGAGGACTGAATGTTTTAAAGGGAGCTTTGCATTGGGCTCCTTTGTTGTCCTCCAAAGTAATTGTGAGTGAGGGGAAGTCAGTGTTAAAGGTGAAGACTGCATTTACGCTTTAGCACCCGCATACCAAGCTCACTGAGGTTTCGTGACGAGAAACGCGGCGAGCTAATGCCCACCGACTGTGAAACCTCTGGCATATTTGAGAAACTCTTAGTTACGGTCAGCAGTGTCCTCAACATGTCCTTCACTCGGGGGCATTGTCAGATTGAATTATTGAAATGCTCCAAACAGCCCCAATATTGGTCATACACACAGTGCTCTGTGGCGCTGTGCAGTACGCAGCGCACAGCCGTAGAATTGTACAATTTCATACCATTTGACTGATGTTTTCTCAGAAATGTTGACACGCTCTTAAAAAATGCTGCCTTCATTTCACCAAGTGGTTGTGTTAAACACCACAAGACTGTGTTTTGTCTGGCTCACATCTGTCAAGCTTGCATGTTGCGAGAATTGATATTTAAAAGGATTTAAAAGGAAGTCAAATGTTGGAAGGATTTTTTAAATATAAAAAATAACCAAACAAGACCAATTGGCTTAATTTGCGCTGTACTAACTATATCAGACTGTGTGTGTCACCCATTTTGGCTGCAGGTAGTTTAGCATGAGCTCCACGCAAATTTGGCTCGCTGACCCTCATCTTTCTTGAAGGGATGTTTGATTGGATAAGGCCACTGCAGTCAGTTGATAAGGGTAATAGTGATGTCTATGTGATGTCGTGTTAGACGGCATGAATATGGTCAGTTGTGAGGAGCCCAGTGGAGTACAGATCAGCCCTGGAAACCCAAAGTAGAACATTTTACAATTTAAAAGGTTGTCATCGCATTTTGTCTTCAAAAATAAAAATTCTGTCTGAATAATTAACGTTCAGCTCATGTCACACCTTCAGTTCAGAGCACTTAAGGATTTTCCTAGTATTTTAAAAAGAAACATAATCCTCTAAAGATAAAGCGACACAGTTCAGCAGGTTCCTTTTAACATAATTATTGTTTTTTAATTTAGTTAAGAGAAGAAGTTACAAATAACATTCTAGCAATAACTCACATAAAGTGTCACTTGTAGATTTTTTGTATATCAAATGAACTAATTTGTAACTAAAAAATGTCTCCAATGGAAAATTACAAAAATATGTCTAAAAAATAACTATAACAATAACTCCTCTTTTTTTTTCTGGTGACCTGAGGCAGCATATGATGTGGCATTTGAGAAAAGGACAAAAAGACCGATAAAAATAAATCACTGAATGTGATTAACCTTTTACTGTGACTGGTTAAAGGAAATAATTTCAACTTTTGTTGTGTTAAAGTTTCATTTGCTGTCATTTACTGTTTGTCCATAAATCAGAGTGATGAATATGTAGCAATTCTTTATTTGAAAGAGTTTTTTTTCCTCCCTTGGGATGATGCTTTTTGGCAGAGGCTGTCTCATGGTAAAACTGTGCAAATCCCTGTATCTGCATAAAAGGGTGCAGAATAAAAAGAACTGGCTCTGCATATGGTGCAAAGTCTTTGAAAAGTCTGCCATGATATGACATTTATGCCAGCTCCAGTGTAAAGTGAGGAAAACCTCTGGTTTACGAGCTGAAATAAATGAACAATGTGTGCTGTCAGGCCCCGTCACACTGTGCACAAATGAACCAGTGGTGCATGTTGTTTAAGATGAGCTACTTCAAAATATTTCTCTCTGATTTTCTGTTTTTTGTTTTTGTTTTTTTGTTTTTAGTCCGCTGTTTGTCACATGGAAAATAGGCAGAGACAAGCGGTTGAGGGGTTGTATAGGTACATTTTCTGCCATGAATCTGCACTCAGGACTCAGGGAGTACACCCTTACCAGGTAAGCAACCAGACAGTCATGTGAACACACATCAGATTTCCTTTTTTTTAAATAGACAAGAAGAAATATGGATTTACCAATATAACAATTACTGATTCTGAAAATGTGATTGTTTTTTAAATGTATTTTTGAATAATATGGGGAATATTTATTCTTTGTCTCTGATCTTAACAAATATAAAATCAGTACTTCCTTGGCCAAAGACAGTCCAATTGATGATAGTTAAGTTTCTTTTTGAAGTGTCAGTAAAAGAAAATGGAAGGCACTTCGTACTGACTTGGCAAGAAGTGGTGGTTCCCTCAATGTGGGCAAATTCTTCCCCATGACGCAACGCCATTGGGGAAGTGCCTGCTTGGCCTCAAATTCTTTCTTCAGCATGGCAACCTCAAACACAGAGTCTGGCATAAAGAACTGTCTTCGGCCTTAAGAGGCACCAGGGATCCTGCAGCAGATGGCGCGGGCCAGAGCAAAGCCCTGATCTCAGCTCGATGGAGGCAGTCTGGGATTATTTAGAGACAGGTGCTGTAGTCCATAGAAGATGTGTGGAATAACCTCCCTGCAAAGCACCTTGAAAATAAGCACACAGCTACTGCTGGGTCATAAGTGAGGCGTATTCCTGTGATATTCATTTGAAAATACTTAAACTTATTAGATTTTTCAAGACTTGGCAAATAACTGAAATTACTGCTTGGAGGCACGATAATTTGTCTTACTTGTCAGATACATACCAGTGCACCAGGCATATTGCCTGGTACAATATGCACTCCCTTGTGATTGCCACACTTCATCGCCCCCTAATGTCCACGGGTCTCCTACATAAGAAGAATTGCCTTGCTGATAGCTCATCTAGTGTTGCCGTTCAAGTGTAAAATGTCCAATAAAGAGGAAACTAAAATGGCCATGAGGTGACCAAAAGAGGGGTGTATCAGTGTTTCTTTTTCATCAGCTGGAGTCCAAAACGTAGTGACCAAACTAGGAGCCCGCTTCAAACTCGATTATGATGACTTTCATTTGTGTGTGGTTCTTTCTGCAGTGCCCTTAAAGACAGCCGCTTCCCCCCTATGACAAGGGATGAGCTGCCTCGCCTCTTCTGCTCAGTGTCTCTTCTCACCAACTTTGAAGACGTCGGTGATTACCTTGACTGGGAGGTGAGAGCTCTGCTTCAAACGGTGAAAACAAAAAAAAAAGCCCTTTCTCATCCCTTCAAGTTCTCAGTTTTGGTACCCATTCATACATCCTGCTATGTGTGCACATCTGTGAGGGTTTTTTCTGGTTGTGCCTTGGTGGCAAAAAGAGATTGCATCAAATTTCATGATTTGATTTGGAGATGTAGGTTTTAAAAATCAAATTGGTGTGTCTGGGAACCCTGTGATGCTTTGCCTCAAGAGTGCTTCCTATTGTATATCAAGATGACATATATTTGATTACATCTCTCTAAATGAGATTGAGAGAAACTGTACAAAAAATAGAGCTCTTCTTCCCATGTTCAACAAGACAACTTGTTCTTTCTTTAATATAACCTTTTGGATGGAGAGAGTCGTCAGTTTTAACATAATCTTTGGTTTTAGGTGGGTGTTCACGGTATAAGGATAGAGTTTTTCAATGAAAAAGGATCAAAACGCACCGCCACCTACCTGCCAGAGGTTGCAAAGGAGCAAGGTGATTTGTTTTTTCTGTGACCCTCATCCTTCTCTGCTTTTAATTAGGACGGTGAGGTTTGAATAATAGTCGGAGCCTTTTTAAAGCATTTCTCTCGTATGTTGTTGTGCTCTAGGTTGGGACCACATTCAAACCATAGATTCCTTACTACGAAAGGGAGGTTACAAAGCTCCCATCACAAATGACTTCAGGAAGACCATTAAGTTAACCAGGTAAAATGACATTATTTAATTCAATTGTCTTCACTCATCCTTTCCTGTGTCCATGCCGTGCCTTTCTTAGGCCACACATTTTCATTTCATGCATTTTCTCGACCTCATAAAGATAAAATAGTCGTCTGTGATCAGATTCCATCACATATTTCAGTTTCAAACCTCTGTCATAAGTTGATTTAAAGGAATATCCCAAAAAGGTGGTATCAAGAGTGAAAGATGCGAGTTTACGCAGCATCTGTGGGTGCTGCGCATGTCTGCTGGAGGCTACTTTAGGTACAACAAATCACCATGAAAACATGATTGACCAAAACTGGACAATTAAGATACTTGAAAAGGTGGTACCCCTGTCAAAGTTGTATAAAATCGTGCTCCTCCTAAACCGGGACAACACTACGGGGCAATGCAGTTGAGGACCAAATGATTCCTGTTTGTGTACGCTAAATTAGATTAATATAGGAATAAGGGTCCCACACATGATCCAGTAAATTTGAATTGTTATCATACTTAAGCGACATGCCCAATAAAGCTCCTCTCATTCACATGTGGTTATTTTTGCACAGTTTTCATAACGTGTAAGAAATTAGGAGTAAAAGTAGTTGATGAAGACTACGTGTCAACTTGCGGTTGCTTAAAGCACTTTAAAACGGAGGTTAAACGCAGCGCACAATCAGAATAAATATTTGGTGGGCCGTGGCCCATTCGTACTTGGAATGACAAAGCCCTCTGCAAATACTCCTTTTATACCTAATGCTGGCACCCTCACCAGTCAACCTGCCAACTAGAATCATCAAGATAACCGTCACTATTTACTTGATTATACGTTTCCTCTGTATTTGCGTCTTCTTACTTTTTCCAGTGTATGACTGGTGTTAAATTTTTAGTTGGCAATTGAACACAATAACACAAAATGAACACTGTGTAAAATTGTAGGACCCTCAGTACTCCAGCCCAAATGGTCAAAAGTAAAGATAGTTATTCAACATCAGTGACAGGTCAGATTTGCTCGTGTAAAACGTTTTTTAATAAAAAGCACCTGTAGAGCAGTATTTTTGCAGTCAAGTAAAATCTGCAATTAATGATGAAATTTGATAATTTTTGCAAAGTATAAAGCAAGACGTTCCTGTTTCCGAGGTACAGTGAATGCAGCTTCATCTGTAGTTGAAGTTATGCAGAGGTACAGAGGGAGGAGGCTGGAAAACCGTGAAGAGCGACGTATGTTTTCTCCTGCAAATCAAACATCTCACTTAATGACACATTTTCAAATCTGTAGGGCCCAAAATAAAAATGTCAGGGTTGTGTTTTTGACTTGGTCGTGACCTCAGACAAATATTTGATTTCGAACAGAGAAAAAAAAAAGAAAAGCACAACTTTATTTTGTCCTGCAAAAGATGTCCCTGCTGATCCATGTCTGGACTCGACTTCACCGTACCAACACATCTTTTCTCCCTCTTAGGTACCGTAGCGAGAAGATGACAATGGGTTATGCAGAGTACATCGCCCACCGCCAGCACCATCACTACCAGAATGGCATTGGGCACCCTCTACCACCCTACAACCATTATTCCTGACAGCGAGCCGCATGACCAATCATTGGACCTCTCCGCGGACCTTTTCCCAGGAGAGCCTGCCCCCTCCTGGTCTAGCTATTTCTACTACTGTACCATTTTATGATGATAGTTTCCGTTGCCATGCTGGCCGTCTCCCAGACGTTGACATGGCAACGGGTGGCAACGAAGCATCATTTGATTACGGCAAGAAGTCCATGTGTTTCTTTGTGTTTGCCTGTGGTTAAGTTTTTGCAGCATATGTAAACCTATTATTTACAACCCCGCCCCCACCCCCCCCTACATTCATATTATTGAAAATTGAACCAATATTAGATTTACTTCATATTGCATCTTCAGCAAACCTAATCAGGTTTTTGATTCTGTGGATGGAAGGAAGTCTCTTAGGGTGGATTAATCACTCTTGCATCGTTTGGGCTTTGCTACAGTTTCATATATGCTAAGAGAAGTATTTGCTTTTTCCTTTCTTTTGTTTATCTTACTATCCAGACATGTTATATCATGTAGCAAGGCAACTGCAGTTCTCGCAGGCTGTTGCGTCTCTACTCGATTCCTCTCAAAAAACTTGACTGTCAAGGCTCTTTTAGCCTGGCAACCTCTTGTAGTGTTGTAGTTGGAACTATGTATTGGGACATGTATACTCCAAAGCGTAGGTAGGATTGTGATGCCCTTCGGCCAGCAGCTGCTGGTTCCCTTTATCGATTGTGCTCACGGTTGTGTGTTTTACTGTGTGTGGACATAGACAGATGGTCTGCCACAAGGCGAAAACCAGACGAATAAATAGATCTCCCGTAAAGATTCCCCTCAAAGATTTTTGGAAGCCTCCCCATCTAAGTAGTTGATTAGTAAGATTGATTAGTTCAGCAGACGTTTACAGCGACACCCCACAAATTTAGTTATATCTTTATTTTTGGTTTGCGTCTTTTTCAGGGATGATATTTATATACTTAGACTTACAGTGATGGGGTTATAGGCTTCATTACAGTACCCCCCCAGCCCCCACCCCCACAAAAAAACAAAAAAAAAACCTACATGTCCAATTGTTTGATTTAAGATTGAATTATCTGTTGGTTTCTGAGTTTACTGGCAGGGAATCACTTGACAGGGACATGCTAAAACTACTTAAAAGCCATATTCTCTTATTATTACTCCACACTTTGTGCTGGTTGTGTGAGTTATTTGGCTGAAAGTGTGCACATCTGCTAGCCTCTGGTTGAAAGATCAGGTTCCACAGACCCTGCAAACGTTAGGGCAGCCCGCCCCCGGCCAGGCTGCCCCCCCCCCCCCCCCCCGCCCCCCCCCCCCCCCCCCCGTCGCACCATCAGGCCGTGTCCGTTACCCCTGTCGTCCAAAAACATCGTCTTGCCTCCTCAGATTATAGCTAACCATTGTCACTCGTCCACAAAGTATGATGTAGTTAAAGAAGAAGAAGAAGAAGAAAAAAAAAAAGTCATTTTGAATGAAAACACACCTGTCGGCGCACAAAGAAAGTGATCTTATCACCATGTTTGTGTCATTTAGACGTGCATGTCGTAGTGTTGTGCAGCAAGTCAGTTTAGTTGTTGAGTCCGCACCCCGCCGCCGTCGTCCCCCCCCCCCCCCCCCGCCCGCGCCTCCCCCCCACGGCGGGTTGTGCTTTGTGGTCTGTTTGGCCAGCTGTCCGGCAGAAGAAGGTCGTAGGAAACGCAGCTGATTTTTTTATTTTATTTTTTCTGGAGCAGAATCTCAGCGTGCAGCTCTCACATTGAGGTCTGTGTTTGGAAAAGCCAGCGCTTTGTTGCGGACTCCAAAAGCCATTTCCCACCCGCGTTGTGCTAGTCCCATCCACACACACCGGACCGGTCGGACTGACGTTAGAGCAGGTCCGGACTGTTGAGAGTTCACCACGCGAAACTGCTCGTTTTGGGTTTTTTCGTTTCGCTAACTGGAAAAATTCTGAGAGGTTCTTGTTACTTGACCAACATCTTTTGTCGTAACAGCCTTTACTAACTGAAAGGTTATTTTTTTTCTTTATGCAAAAAAAAGTCAAGGGCTTTTGGCGTTCCATCCACAGTAACCCGAAATGATCCAGACTTCAGTTGTGTTGCCTTAAAAGAATGATTTTATGAAGCGATGGACCAGCAGATCGACCCTCCCCCCCGAGTGCTCCCCCCACCCCCATGGTTTGCTTTTCTGCACTCCACCCATACGCCATCTGCAGGACAAAGCCTCGTCCTCATGTCCAGTGCTTCTGCGAAGGCTTGCTCAGGCAGGCAGGAGCTCCTATCATATCCCCCGCATAGCTCCCCCACTGACCGGGGAGCAAAGCCCGGCACTGTGGCCATGTTGCAGATGACGTCCAAACCATGGGAAGAAAGCTTTACGCCTCCCGAAAAACTGTACCCCACACTACGCGGGGGAGGAGCAGTCGGGCGGTGGTTTCCTGGTCCATTTAACACAGCACAACCTGAATTTTTTTCTGCTGCAAAACCAAATTGACCATGCTTTTACATATGTCTTTGTATACACATGCAATGTACTCTGTTGCATGTATGTATGAGTATGAGACCTATGGTTTTATTCATAATATGCTTGATCTATGGCTTAGACACTCTTATTAACCATTAAGAGATTTAAAAGACAAATATGGTGCTATCAGACCTCATATTGGGGTGGTCACAGCTCGTGACTGGTCATGCGGACTCATTGATCATATCATACTTAAAGATGCTACATGTAAGATTTCCTCCTATGTACAGTGCTGGGAACTGAGTCATGGCGGCACATTTTAATTCTGGAAGAGGACTCTCATCGTCACAAACAGTAGCCCCGAGAAGCTCTGCTTCCATCAAATCCAGTGTGGGTGATATTGGGATCAATTCCCTATGGGAAAAACAGACATTCTTACTCATGACGAAGAAGGACACCATTGGGGCTACAGAATGTACTGTTAACGCTCGTTATTGCAGTTTTACAGTGATGTATGTCGAGAGAAAATCCTACATGTCTTACCTTTTACTATCCTTGATATATGCAGATCTGTTCAACAGATTTTTTTTTCTTTCTTTCTTTTTTTTTTTTCTTCCTACCAGTGCAAGTCAACACCCAGCAGGTTTGAAAGGACAAGAAGTCACATGTTAACCCCCTGCCCCCCCGATTCCCCCCTACACTGTGGCTCAACCTCATGGCCTCTAGTCTGTCAAAGAGCAATGAGTGTCGTTCAGGGGAGGGTAGCAGTAGTAGTGGTCATTCTGCCTCACCAGGAAGATTTGGATGCCGTTAACGTGTTTCGTTTGTTTTCCGAGATCACATCCTTAGTTTTCCTATTAGCTGCTGAATCATTTGACCTCCTTCAAAAGGGCAAAAGTTTGAGTTCATCCCCGAAAAGTCCGGTTGCAGAGGCCTCCCGATCGCCCGTTTGAAGCATCGATACCTCACTGGACGTTATGGAACGACACTTCTAGGTTGTTGTAGCAGATAGCGTGTGTTTTGGTTCCATACCAGGGTCAGAGTTCAGCCTCGGCATTCCCTCCGCGGTCACCCTCGCTGTCCGGGGAATGCTCAAACTCAAAGTACCTTCGTATGTCCGACTGAACCAAAGATGCCAGCGGCCATGCCCAAATGCTGCTCTTCTGGCCTGGCTTCCTGTCCTTCCAAAAACCACCCCTGCTATTGACAACATTTCTTGTTCTATGTTTTGTTTTTTGGTTTTTTTCTTCCTTTTTTGTGCGATTTTTCAACTGTCTTGACTTATTAAGTAGCCCATTTTCTCAATGAATTTTCATTGATTCTGTCTCTGGAGCCGTACAGTGCTCCAAGATGGTTATAAAGGTTGCTAATTGTTGTTACTTGTTTTATTATTATTATTATTATTATTGCTATAATTTTCAAAAATGAAAATCCCATGGTGTGCCTCCTAGCTTTGTGGGTTTATAAATGTTTTTTTTTCTTTATTTTTTCCCTAAAGACCAGCAGTTATACTTTGTATAAAAGATGGATTTTTTTCGTTATTTTTTATGCCATTAAAGATGAAAAAGCCTGTTTTCTTTACTCTGGACCCAGTAGCTGCACTGGTATACAATCGCACTGATAGATGAATTTAAAAAAAAAAAAAAAAAAGAGGAATAAGTAAATCAATAATAATAATGATAATGACAAATAAGAACTACAATAAACTTGTGTTTGAAGCTTTTATTATAAAATATAAAAAAAAAACTATATAAAAAAAGAAAATGACTGTTTTTGTACATCAAAATAAATTCTTTTCAAAGGAATATTTTGGATCTAGTTTCAGAATTATTTTAGTGGTTTTCTATGTTCTGAATTTTTGACACACTGACTTCAAAGACGTGTCGCTGTGTAAAATGACTTTGTTTCAGAGGCCTGACGGCTGGGAGGGTTGCCTGGAGTAACTCCTCATACCAACTTCTATTTCTTTGTCAATTTTTGGATCTTTGTTTTTTCTTTGTTTTTGTTTTCCCCCCCTCTGCTTTAGTACTCTGAAAAATGTTGATGGAATAACATGAACCGGGAACTTCAAATCCACCCCCTGTAGAACTAGACCCTTCTTCCTTTCCTATTGAATTGCTGTTAGTGTGATGGGACTTGAAATGGGCATTTAAAACAATAGTATGACTCCAAAAGGGGTGGGGGGGGGGGCAAATATTAATGAATAACTGAAAAAAAAAATGTAAAAGAAAATGTGGGTAAAATGGAAAGAATATATCTATATATAATCTATAGATCTATATATATATCTATATATGTATGTGGGTATATATACGTATATCCATACATAAATATGTATATATAGATAGATAGGTTATTCAAGTATGTAAGCAATGGCTGTGAAGATAATGTAGTTTTAAACATTGTTATTACCTTTTAAGATCAATTATTCAATAAAAAAAGCAAAATCCACGTAAGAGAAAACGTCTCATTCTCTTGTTTTACAGCACACACACCTCCAGCTAAATGTGTGGTTCCATAAGTTCATTCTTGGGAAATGCTTTTCTGTTTTTTCTACATAATCCCACATCATGTTTTTGACCCCAATGTGTCCAAGACACTTCAGAACAAGACAATTCAAAGTCCTTTACATAAGCAAATATAGAAAATTTGGACTCTAGCACTCCAGGGTATGTACAGTCTTTATATTGCTTCTGAAAAGTCGTTGTTTTTCCTTTTGCTTTTAGCTCCAGTTTAGCTTGACCTCCATCAGGCTCTTTGTGTTGTCGGTTTCTTTCTGCTTTACTATATTTGTCTTTTCTTCATTATCGCATTGTGTTATTTGCTTATCTAGAGCTTTTTTTGCTTTTGAAATGAACCTGTAGAGCATTTTTCAGTTTTTAAAAAAACATTTGTCTACGAATTTCCAATAGATTCTATATTCAGCATTTCAAAGTTCCTTTATCTCTTTGTGTCTGCTTCACCTTAACAACTTGATTGATGGTCTAGAATGATCTCCACATGTTCGGCTGGCCTGTAGCCACCAGTTCAGGAGCAGTGTGTGTGTGCGGGTGTACCTGACTCCTCTTTGCTGTTCGCCGATAGTTTGATGTTACGGTCCAACTGCTTAGAGATACGTGAGAAGTTCAGTCTGCGGCCTAGGGTGCAACCGAACACCCACCTGGAACTGGACAGATCAGATCCAACCGGCTCTTTACTCCATCCTCAGTCTGCTCGTGGGCGGCCGACACAGGGGTAAATTACAAAGACCTCATTTCCTTACAAGTGGTAAATCTTACTAATTCAGTTCTCCTCATTTGACCAGATAATTTCAATGTGACGTGTAACAGAGCGATCCAGAGGCCTCAGTTCCATCAGCCCTTGTGATAAAATGGATGTCCAACAGTCACTGTGGCCTATTTAAGAGCATGAATAAGGATTTGGAGGGAAGAGCAGCATATTCCAATACTTTTCTCTAGAAATACACTCACACAGGGATTCTTTGCAGCTTCAGAGGCCATTTTAAAGTCGATAAACCTCCTGCCACGACTGCAATCATGAAGTGTTCCGGGGCACAGAAAACTCCAGCTCTCCTTTGTCAGCGTGCTGCACTTGAAGCCTCTCACCCCGCCTGGCCTCTTCCAGAACAGAAAACATAACGTGGGGAGGCAGCCACGGAGCAAGCTGAGTTTTGGGATCTGCTTTGAAAGGAAAGATTGTTCTTTTTCTGGAGGGTTTGGCTTGTTTGAAGAGGTCGGGTTAAAAGATTGACGTCCCTTTCAAAGCTGCCAGTCAAAGTTGAAGCCGGATTCGTTAAAACGGCCTCCGAGTTGTGGATACATGCAAGTGTGCATTTATCTGCACATCTGAAGGTGACAAACAGCCTACCGATCATTCAGATTTGAAGATTACAGTGAAAAGATTTACATATAAAAAAGATGCATTACATATTTCTTCTGGGCTTTGTGGTGATAAACTGACCTGGATTATCACACAGGGCTAAATGTTTATTTGATTTAATCTTTCTATTCTAATCCATCTTGTCAAACCGCAAATACACTAATTTATTTCCAATATTTCCTCTTTTTTTAGATCGCAAACTTAAATTTTCTAAATAACAATTTGATTTATTTGGGTGTGATCTAAGTTTTAATTGATAAGTTTGAACGCCAGTCTTAATGAAAATTAAGACATGTTTGATAAGGGCATTTTATTGCGTTTTTGACTCATTTTCTGACTTGTTTAAGACGTTCTAGATATATATATGTCTGTGCGATTCTGAGGTTCCCTTTACATCATCTCTTTTAAACATGCTCCTGAGAAGATGAGTATTAAAGCTGCATGGTATCAGTGGAAAGAACACACTGAAAAGCCAGTAAGAGATCTGGTCAGCTGAAATCCCTTTTATTGTCAATACAGCACATATAGTGAAACTGACAGAAATACAAAAGTTTCTCTTCTCCCCCTTCTTTGTTTTACAGTGAAATATAGAATATGCTACAGTACTACATACACCTCCTTTTTGAAATGATATAGACCCATGACTGAGATCATCCAGTTATCAGTGGTTAATACTTTGCTTCTGAAATAGAAGTCAATAAATCCACTGTTTTACTCTGATCACTGGATGTTTTTTTTTCTTCTTTTTTTTCTTCCAAAAAGTGCGAGCTGAACTGGTTTCAAAATGCTCCGAGGGACCCACGTGACGACTGAGCAGCAGCTGTCAGGGTGTGACAGCGTTGGCAACGCATTTCTCACAGGTTACACCTGCCTCACGTCCAGAAGAAACAGAAAAATAACAGACACCAACGCAACCGGGCTGGCGGAGGTAATAATATAATCCCAGTGTAGATCCACAAATCCTCCCTCACAACGTGTAAAAACCCCCCTCGTGCCCCCTGATTGTCACAACCGGAATGCTCTGGACAAGCTGGAGACCGAGAGGCCGAACGAACGAGAAGCATCTTTACCTTCACAGGAGTGTCATGAAGTGGGAACAGAAGAACGCCATAAAGTTTCAGTCCTGACAACACAGCGGAGATCACACACACATCCTCACACTATAAACGAGCAGTACATTTTTTTTTACAACAGCTCACATTTGCAAATCTGCTTCGAAGCGCACTTGAGACGAATAAAAAAAACAAAAAAGAAAGAAAAAAGAAGGCAGCTTTTCCCCGCTAACTTACGGTCAAGCGTAACTATCACATTAAGAACTGAAGGTGCAACATCTGCGGGTCAGCAGTGACATCTGGGTTGCGAACAGCTATAAAAAAAAAAGAAACAAGAAAACAGAAAAAGGCAGCTCGAGTTGTCTCACGCCAACTTTCCCGCACGTGTCTGGGAATCGGACTCGTACAGAACCCGGCCAGCTCCAGGACGCCGAGTCCCAGCCTTAAAACGCGTGTTAAAACCTGTGCGTGCCGACTGCGACACGGTGAGAAGGGCACGCCGGTCCACCGGCCCTGAAACGCTCCCTTTATTTTCAACAGAACGGAGGAGAAGTCTTAAAAGATGCTTTAAAATGTTGAATAAAAAAAAAAGAAAAAGGAAAAAAAAACAAAAAAAACTAACAAACTCTCGGCGGTAAGAGCGGGCATCTGGAGTGAGAGGGCGAGTGGCCCCTGGACGCTCAGTCCACCTTCTTGCTGCGCAGCCGGAGCGTGTCCAGCAGGGAGCGGCAGGCCGAGCCGCTGTGCTGCGACAGGAAGGTCAGCGCCTTCCCGTGGAGCAGGGTCAGCAGGGTCTGGTGGCCCGTGGCCCACACCCGGTACCAGGGCCCGTAGAACGGATCCGACACGGCCGGACACAGCATGTTGTTCAGGTTGACCTCGGTGGCCTGCGGAGGAGAACAGGGACAGATGTGAGGCTCAGGTCTGGGTGAAAGCAAATCCACTGGGATGTAGATGTCATGCTTTATTTTATGGACTCTTTCATTTTATCCACGATTTTCTATCCAAAAAGGGGATTTTTAAGCCTTCTACGACCTGTCGAGTGACTACAGAAACTCATTTGACTACTGCAAAATTTTTTGGTGATCCTTACTTAACTTCATCACTGAGCAAGGTTTGATGAAAAAAATAAATGGTACGAATGCGTAAAATCGTAAAGACAAACTTTTACGTTATGGTTCTTATGATTTCAAATATTGCAGCTGTAATTTGGCCTTTGTGTCCATCCCCCCGCAACATGATTCTTTTGGTGACATGAGTCTCACTTTGCTTTAGAGTGAACTGTGAATGTCTCCTCCATAGAATATGGAGTCAAAGATTTTCTGAATTGCATATGTGTTAAAGCGTCCTCCATTATTCTGGGCTTGAAATGAGCCTGCTCCTTTACAGACTGACCTTGGGTTTATCTATATAAATACGGCTTTAAAACCTTTAAAATCCTTGCTGACTTCAGGTCTAATTCTGACTGAAAGCGGTGAGGAAAGTGATGCGAGCTGACTGAGAATGAGCCCCGCTCAGTGGAGTACAGCACAGTGTCCAGCAGAGGGCAGTGTCTCACCAGGCCCAGGACCTGCAGGAAGAGGAAGTGGTAGAGGAACAGGATGCCCGTGGCCAGCAGTGCCCACCACATGTCCCCCAGAGGCTCAGGCTTGTACACACCTGCAAAACGAAATGCATTTGAAGAGAAAAAAAAAGAAAAAGGGGGCTTCAGTTTGCGGGTTAAAGACATACGTGAGATGCAGAGTACTATTTCTGCTTCTTTCTGACGTGTATGTGCAAAACAACTTTTCCTGTTTCTTCAACGGTGCGATTTGCTGGAGCAAACCAAGAGGAAGGCATCAAACAGTCTGATATTCAATGAGGCATTTATGGCCACAGAGTTTTGATTACAGCTGCTGCTGCCACCTCAAGCGGTCGATTGGGCCGATTATCACAGCTTCCTGATTCAGATCGGTCTGAATTTGGGCCTATTTTTGTGCGTATCTGTGTCAAAGGGACGTTGGCTAAATGTGCTTTTCTGGTTAAAACCACGACGAGCAGAGCTGCTGCTGCTGCTTCAGACCTGCAGCAGAGAGCTGCGGTGTTCTTTTTAACTCGGGCAGCTTGTGATCTCTGCGCCGCAGCCTCACCACTGGATTATTGGAGCACAGCGGTCCCTGCATCTGGTAGCTATGACAACAGGGGAAGCAGGATCCACTCTTTTGACACAACATAAAAGAAAATCCAACAAAGCTCTTGTCTCGGTTCAAGTGTTTTTTTTCTTTTTTCCCTCCCGTTTGTTCGTCAGCCGCTTGAATCCGACTGGAAAAAGGCGGTTTGCTGTGTTCAGAACGTGAGAACGCTCCCCCGTTTAGAAAATTAAACATTGTGTCAGTCTGACTGGATAAACGGTTGCAACAATAACAAAAAAAAACAAACTCAGGTTAACTAATCCTTCAGCTTGACCCCAAAATACTGCTGATGGAGGCTGAATAGTCCGGCCAGAGCCCAAATCGGCCGCCACCTACCTCCTTTCCTGAAAAGGTAGAGAGGCACCAAGTAGAGCATGGAGTGCTGGATGTAGTAGATCTCCTTCTCGAATGGTAGCTGCAGGACAAACACAACAGAGGAGTTTTTTTTTTTTAATGGCGTGGCAGGTGAGACGTGGCAGAGAGCCAGAGCAAACGCCTACAGACACAGCTGATAACGGGCGCCGCTTCCTATTCAGCACATGCAAAAAAGCAAACAAATTCTTTGCTCACAATATGTTTGCTTCTTAACACCAACACCAATCATTTTCGTAATAAGACTGATGAGGATCTGATGGAAATCACCCCGCTTTCCTGGACAGAAAACGTCTGATAATATCAGATTACCATGACCAACGAGGGAAGAAGTAACACACAGTTCATTACTAAAGATGCAAAACAGTGTGGTGAGGGCTCGCTTCCCTCTTACAGACAAACATCAAAAGGTACAGATCAGGTTTCACATGTTGGCTTCTCAAAGGGGAACTAGTCTAAGCTTAGGGTGTGTGGTATTTGTGGATATCCAGTTAAAACTTTCCCTTCATTCAGGGACTGAAACAGCAGATTTAGCTTCAGTTTAACACGCATTCGGTTCTGGGGCTGGAATGGAAGCACACAATTTTCTCCATGTGGGACATCTTTATGCCGCACAGGTTGGTCTGAGACATCCGCCATGGCTGGATGCTCGCCTGCTCTGCCGGCTCCTGCTTGTTCGATTCGGTAATCTGTATCGATCGAGAGGATCAGTAAATAAACGATCCTTTCCTTTTCCTGGACAGCGCTCAGCTGGAAGCGGCTGTGCATCGCTGCCAGCTGGACACACGCCTTCTCCTGTCCAACATTTTTATGAATGACTCAATCCTCTGAAAGGGAACACAGGCTTTCACCTGGGAACGAGATGGGGCTGGGGGGGGGTTACATACCAGTCTGGTGTTGACGACGGGGAACATCAAAGCCAGCAGAGCTCCGTTCAGCATGTGGACCTGCAGCCTGGAATGGAGCGACATCACACGTGAACATGGGAGATGAAAATCACAGAGTGACACATCTGTCCGCGACCCCCTGAGGTCCTGACCACAGATTTCATGCATCACGCTTTCCACGCATTAGGCCGAATCGTTCGATGTCGACATGTGCGCGGGGAGGAGGAAACCAATCAGAGAGCCCCCTCTTGCTGTTTGGCAGGGTTTGATTAAAGTCCGGCAGTCACAGACGTTGTTCCCATTACGGTTATCCCAAACTACGTAAAAACAAGGATAACACACCTCAGCCCTGCACAAGCACGCAGACTTCCACGGCTCCATCCTTCACTGTCGGCTTTCTGAGCGTTTCCGTACTCAGAGGAAAGAGAAGTCTTAAAGCCCAGCAGCGCCCCCCCAAACACACACGAGCTGCTCTTTTTGTCGAATGTGCCAACAGAGCTGTTGTGACGGCTAAGGTCACCGGGAAAAACAGCGGCCCTGTCGTACTGTCGCTTCAAATAAGCTCAGCCGCCACTCCCGGAGGCCTCCGGACTCTTTTCCTAGAGACCGCATTGTTTCGACTCAGATTCAGCTCATTTGTGGATGGGCGGTCACCTTTGATACAACCCACGTAGATACAAGAGATCCTTAGGCACCAGAAGGCTCTCAGCGCTCTCTCTAAATGATGCCCAAACATAAAAGGAAATATCTGAAACTGAGGGGGGGCCAAAAAAGCAGTGCGAGTTTGTGATAGGATAAGTTACAGTTACAGATAGCTGACTTATTCATGGGCCTTTCAAGTCCCTGTGGTGGCTCTCTGTGGGACCCTGCTGTGCTCCAGTCCCAAATCCTGACCCTCCGGGTGAGGATGGGCCATGGGTTTATTTACCTGACCAGAGGAGCTGCGGGGGAGGAGAGTCTACACACAAACAAAGGCATTTAAATAACAGTACACTTCAACGGTCATCTAAAGGGAAACAAAAGCCCATCTGAAAGAATTGCAATTTATCCGTCCGTCACTTGGCCTTTTCCTGTTGTGAGAAGCTCCGACGTTAGGTTTATTGTGAGGGAGGAGGACTTAACGCACAGCCAACAAACATAAATACGGACCCAGAGGAGACGTAAAACACTCACCTAAACACAACCATGGCTGTTTTACATGGCGGGCAGGCCAGCAGGAAGATCTGTTGGAGGAGGCACAGAGACAACAAATCACACCGTCAGTTTGGGCCATTTCCAAATAAACCCAGACAGACTGAACTTCAGCTCCGTGTGCTGGACAGTAGGACAAGAGGGAGAGAAGAGCAGCAAACGCTCAAAGGCTTGAACAGAGCATCATGTAAAAGATCTAAAAAAATCATAAATAAATAAATAGAAGTTAATTTACACCAAAAGTCATTTCAAAAGCTTATTTGTCCTTGGCTTGTTTTGTTTATAAAGCTCACGTGTCACACAAGAAGCCAGTTTGGAGGAATTTTCTCATCATACCTGAAGCAGAAAGGCTTAAAATAATAAAAAGCTTGATTTCCTGGATGAAAGCTTTGCCCACAACCTGTTCCCCGCTATGACTGAGCAATCTGGGCTCACGGTGGAAACACAGAGGGCTTGAAAACAACACAAGACAGACAGTTATGAGAAAAAGTCTGGATTCGCCTCAAGAGGGAATTACAAAACAGCATTTTCATTTGTTTCCTGGTAGAAATGGCCAAGGTGTTATAAGACGAAATGAGCAAACAACACAAGAACTCCGATATTCTTATCTAAAACGCAGTCTGCTCTCCGGGGCCGACAGGTAGGGCAGCACCTCCAGACTGCTGAGATGGATGAGTGAAATCAGTCGTCTGACTCCACGGCTTTGTACTTCTGGGATAAGACTCCAAACTGGTCACCTCTTTCCCTCTGAATGCCCCCCCCAGGTCATTCTCCTTCCACTGCGTTTCTGATTTAAAACCCACTATAAAGGAAGCAGCCTCTGAACGAACAGCCTGCTGACGATGGCAAATTTAGATGAAAACTGGACTCTTGCCATACGGCGTCTACGGGACTGGCTGCTTCTCACAATGAGTTCCTGTGGAGACTTTTGTTTGATTTCCTTTACATAGCGAGGAAATCTGCCCTGAGAGACAACAACTTCTGCTCCAGGAAGTCCGGAGGCCCAGATGGTGGAAGAATTTCACAAAAACGCTTCAGTGTCTTTTTCATCAAACTCAATATGCGGAATCCGTCCATCCTTGTCCCTGCTTTCTCAGCTGGGACAGAAAAAAGAAAAGGTTTTAGGCTGACCAAACCAGTCTTATTTCCTTTGGGAGAAAGCATCCTCACTGGCTTCTGTTTGAATTTGGATAATTAGTTTAAGGTCATATCAAACCAATAAGAATACAACAACCACAATGAAACCTTGCAAACATTATGCACAAAATGGGTAAGAAAGCAGTCATGACATTAGTCCTCCCGATTTAGATTTCAGATTTAGTCGGTAGAACAACTGTTTTTAAGACTCAAAGTAAATCTGCTGTTCCAATTAAAAATGCAGGCAGAGTTTGGAAGAAAAGAGTTGAGTGACCCATGTCCAGCAGCTGTAGCCTTATCATAACTAAGAGGGACTGTATTTTGGGTTCTCTTGGCATTGTCAGTCCATCCAAAAGCTTTGATCAGACGCCCAACACTCATCTGAGTGGCTGTAGAGGCCTCGCTGAGCTGATGTTAAGGCTTAAAAGATAAAGGGCTTTGGTTACCTTGTCCCAGTGTATTTACAGCAGCAGCCTATCGCAGGTCTAACGACGACCTCGCGCCAAACGGAGGCCAGCGGTCTAAATGTGGCCACGGCTGCTGAGCTCGTTACCTTTAGAGGCACGGCGAGGACGCTGACGTCACCAACAAAAGCCCATTAATGAAAGCATCAACTACCAGACCAACTCCAGGCTGAAAGGACAAACTTAGGCTAGAAGCAGACGGAGATGAAAAAAAAAAAAGCAACGCCACGGAGGTTTACTCTAATAGAAAATGGCCTAAAATTAGGGATGCTGCTTCGTGAAGTCGCAATCCCATTTACTGCTGTCTGTAGATGAAGGGCAGAGCTTTTAATGAGCTGGCAGATATCGATAACTATTAGCCAAATGCTAACAACAGGTGATGCACCTCTGGTCTCTTCAACCCTGCAAACTGGGGCCAAGTGTCTCCGGGGGCCCACAGATTTTGATCCTGAGCAAATTTAAAAGCGCATTATAAGCACTTACAGTTTTTTTCTTTCTCCTGACTTCCACCTCTAAATGTGCACTCATTCCTTTAAAAAACAACTTTGGACAATAAGCATTATGTGTTGATGTAATAAATTATCCTGAAGTCTGTTTGAGGGCAATTAGCAGAATGTCCTGTTCCTAATGGTGGTCAACTCTATTATTCATGAAAACACAAAAAGTTCCAGCTAATTTGCAATCTCGTAAGCAGTTTGGGAAAAGGACCGTTTGTGTTTGCACTCCAAATTGCCAGTGACGTCAAACTGTAAACTGCAAACATAAAGCCATCGTAAAGGGGAAAAGAGTGATGACCGTGGCAGTGTAACCATTAGAAATCTAAAGCGATGCACCTGTAAGATGTAGCCCATCCAACACAGAGGCTGAATATCGGTTATAATTTAAATAATGTTACACATGCAGCTTTAGCAGCTCTATAATAATTAACATTCATTTGGGAAGCTTGCAGATGCAGCAGCCAGCTCAGCTCACCCATTAGCTCCAAAAAAAGCTAAACTTTCACGCTTATTGCACTGGGAGGGAAAACAGTGAGTGAACAAAGTGTTACTGTGTGGCCATGAAATCTGAACTGAAGGGCGTTGGACCATTTTTTTTTTTTTTTTTTTAAACAGTAGAATAACCAGAACACCAGAGGGAATATTGCTTTGTTACATATTTGCCAGCTGATTCTCAGATAAGGGCAGAGGTACACAAGAGTTCAGTGTGTTTCTGCACTGTGTTCACACTCAGTTACTTTAACACTGGTGGAAATCTGCGTAGCTCTACAGCTTTTAATTACAGGAAGCTGATCAGATATCAAAAAGGATATTAAAAAAAGACACCGATAGTCAGAATGGATAACAAGACAGTCATAAATAACACGTTATTAGTTTTGCAGCTCGCTTTTACGGCTAGCGCACAATTTGTCTGTCAGTTGTAACCACCGGATTGTTACAAGTGACAGGGACTAATCTGCAACATTGTTCCTGAGTGTACGATCTCAGTGAAACGTGGCCTTCACACAGGAGCAGTCTTATTCATGCTGAAGGGTAAAGCTCACCACCAGCGAGATTACAACGCACCAAAACAACTATGTGGCATGGAGGGAAAAAAAAAAGCCCTTCAAGTGGGAGCTTTTCTTGTCGTTCTCTCGCACTGACACCCAGGAGAGTATCAAATATCTGCGAGGCAGGAAGAGGAAGTCAGAGCTCAGCGCTGTGAGGTTTGAGATGCCGTGGGCTGGCCTGCAGTGCCATCCAGGCAGAGCACCTCCTCAACCTCACGCTTCACCAAACCCAGCAGACTCTGACTATTAACAACTTCAAGGATATTTAGCTGCTAGAGAAATTATTTGTTCTTTCAAAGTTTAACTGTCTCTCAGTTGAGCCAAATGCCCACCTAAAAGCTAAAGACTGCATATAAACTTAGCAGGCGGTCACTCTGCTCTAATAAAATCCAGATTTTTAGAACTGCAGAGTTATCTGACAAAAAGAATTTATGATTTGTGGATTTTGCTGGTCTTACACCACTAATTTCACTTTAGTCTGTCATGTTTGCATGTGTGCGTGAGTTTGTAAAAAAGGGGAAGATCCACCTCTTCACTTGCAAAATTTTCCGTGGTATGCAATTTAAGCCCCTCCGCCATCGTCAACAGGCAAAAGCTTGAATAGTTCAGCCGGCCAGCTTCGTCACTTCTCTGCTGAGGTTTCTGCCACCGTATTAATCGACCACAAAAAAAAAAAAGAAAAAAGAAAAAGCCTGATGGTGTCAGCCAGCTGCACGCTGCAGTTGCATCGTTATTAAACGGTAATTAGCTCTAATGGGTGGTTCTCTGCTCCACAGCGGAAACGCAGCCCAGTCTGAAGAGGGGCTGTAAGTTAAAACCGCCTTTTTACCATTTAATGTCGCCCCCGCAACCTCACGAACGCAACATAAAGGGTCGTAAACAAACTTTAGAAAGTGCAAACAGTGAAAAACATTTGTAAACTATCACCACAGGAGCTGAAAAATCACATTTCTGAATAAGTAACAATACAGCTGGAATGTTTACTTTCTTTTGTTTACAAAGGGCAATTATTTTACAGATTGCCAGACTAATAGCTGATAAGTTACATTGCTTTTCCACTAGTGGAGTCATAAAGTGTGGCGCTATCAGCCTTATCTGAAGCGCTGAGTCAACAGTTTCTTCTGCTGCCCGCTGCCGCTGACACTATGAACGAGGCCATATTAAACAATAAAGCTTATACTGTCCGTTAAGTTGACAGTGAGATATTTGTTGCTCTTGACTTTTTGAGAGGCTCAAAGCTGCTGCACGTGGAGAAATGTCGCCCGCGGTCCATCTGCAATCGGTTTGAAATGATCTGTATGCCCAGTCACGCAGGGCACCCCGGGGAGATCATCATGAGACTAGAGGCCACTTCATCTGAAGACATGAGTTTCTGTTTTGGAGATCTAGACAAACATTTACTTTTAAACTTGTATCCTTGGCAAACATTGGCTGTAGAAACACTTCTTAAACAAGGTTAAGCTCAAATGGTCCTTGTATGGCGTATCGGGACTGGTCAAGGTTTTGAGAAGAGAAACCACTACACAGATAATAAAAAAGGTTCACATGGCCTGCCGGCATTGCCCCTTATCATACCCATAAAGAGATAAATCAATCCCTCTGTACGCCGGCTCACACAACTTCCACACTGAGAGTTATGTGCGTGTCACCTGTTTGCTGGAGGAGCCTCGCCCATCCCAGTTTACGAGGGTAAACTGATCATCCGGGTGTGTTTGTGGGATATGTCTCACACGATTCCTCTAGTGCCCTCAGGTGGAAAACCCACCGGAGTCGGTGCTGCTGGCCACTCACCGGACACTTAACTCACACCGCGGGGGGGTCTCACCTCGACCTGAGCGGGGCCTCCCTGCCTGCTGTTTCCCATGTGTGGTGTGGGAGAGTGCTAATACAGATTCACATCACCGCTTTTCCTCTGACTGAATCAACACGGTGTTGCACATCACACACTGTTTACTGGGTGACAGAACATGTGGGGATGCACCCACACGGAGGCCTGCTGTATAGCAGCAGCTCCATGAGCTCTGCTCCTCTGCCCAGGCAGCATGGGAAAGTTTAAAGGAAACTCTCTTTTTTTTTTTATCGCATCAAATTTCACTGTAAATCTAATTTCTCAGACCTTATCGCCGGCAAATGCACTCCCCAACAAGCTCAGAGAAGACATAATGAACTATAACTCCAGACATCCTTCCAGTCCTTAAAATCTGTTTTCACATGAGGTTTCCATGAGGCCTGAAAAGGGATTAAAATGCATTAGCCGCACCCATCCATGATGTGGATCCAATAGCAGAATGTTTAGATCATAACATGAGTCAGTATTGGACACACACACACACACACTCACAAACATAAGAGTGCATCAAACTATCATAGACAGGATGTAAAAATAAATAAATAATAAAATCAACATATCATCTTTCTTTCCAGTTCTCCTTTGGAAAAGAAAAAGAAAAAAACCACCAAACAAGGGAGGGAGTGCACACATTTTGCTCCACTTACTCTCCTGATAACATACAGTCAAGCTCCAGCAGGCCCCTGTTTTTAACCTGCAACGATTGAACACCTGGAGCTGTTCCCCGCTGAGCCAGATCTCTGACGAAAGCAACAAGCTCACATCAGCTCCTTTATAAAGTGAAAATAAAGTCTGAGCAGCCTCCTTTTGGAGGCATTTTGTTTTTCGACCCCTTCCAATTCTTTAAGATTAAGATGAATTACACAAACTACAAAAAAACTGACTTGAATATTGTAACTTGACTGTCCGTGTGTTCTGTTAGAAATTAACTTTGCACACCGGGGGTTTTAAAATTGCTAAAATACAGTGCACAACCACATGGGTTCAAATCAGATCACAATCCGCTCCTGTTGCACATGTTGGGTGTCCGAGACGCTCCGGTCATCTCCACCTTAGCCTGAATTCAGATAAAACTACAAAACAAACCGTCCAGTTCTGCTGATTTTTTTCCCGCCGTCTGGTTATAGTTATTCTTCCTTACTTTCTCTCTCAGGTTGATATATACATACAATTTCCCCTAGTTTTTTGGGAGGGTGCAAAAGTTGTGCTTGGGATCTTTCAGTGGTCAGGAACTTGCCCCAGTGTCCAACCATCAAAGATAATAGCCTCCATGTTTTCCAATGAATTTCCTCCAATTTCCCTGCTTGAAGCCTCTCTAAAGGAAGCAAAGTAATTATGTAACAGGGGTTGTAAAACACAAACTATTGAACCGGAAAGTCAAAAGTCATTTCATAGCAGAGCCTCCTCAGACATATTTGATGGAGGTTTCTTGCTCACCCATCCCATATCAGAGTCCCCCAGAACTTGCCCCCTTACCTGGATCATGGTCACCACATGGCAGGGGTTCAGGAGGTAGATCACCGTCTTGGTTGCGAATTTGAAGCCCACCTCCACTCCAAAAGTCATGCAGAGGGCCACCAGCAACAGGTTCTTCCCCAGACTGTCCACTTTCGACCTCGCGGAGTCCCTCCCGACCACCCGGAGCTCTTTGGAGAGGTTCATCTTCTTCAGAGCCACGCCGATCTCCACCAGGGACACCAGCACGATGACCAGGCTCTCGCAGATGCGCTGCTGGGGGGCGATGAAGGCGGCGCAGTCCGGGCCCCCGTTGCCCTCAAACTTCGGGTCGACCCCGCCGTAGATCCAGTCCAGCAGGCTGTATATGTTATACCTGGACATATTCCTCTTCTCGTGTTGGAAAAGATACGAACAAGATGGAATAAAAGACGTCACACTGACTTCTTGACGAAACATGAACTGCGAGATTTTCCCGTCGTGGTTCGCCTCGCGGTTGAGAAATGGACATGTAACCACCGCCAACCGGGTGTGTTTGAGCCACCTAAACGGCCGAACTACCTCATCCGGAGCCGGAGGAGGAACTTCAGCTCGCGACAGGAGGCAGCTGTTGTCAAGACTACCCGGAGCTGGTGTTTGAGGGCAGCAACAAGACTCCCTTCTTCCACGTCCCAAAAAAAACACCACTTGGAGACCAAGCTAGCAAAAGAGTGCAGTCACGTATAAGCAGGTGTCTTTTTCAGCGACAAAGCAGACTGGTTTCCAGCTTTTATCCACATAATACGTTAAAGCAGTTTGCTGGAGGCTGAGTTAGCATGCGTGAGCGGTAGCACAGACACCGGATAGGTAGCTAGCTTAGCTTTTTAGCCTAAAGACAAATGACTAACGTGTTCATTTCACCCTTATTTTAGTCTTACAGGCTTGATTCAAATAAATGGATTTTAACAACAAACGGGTTTGAAACAGTGGAATATGTCAGTAGAAATTGAACACGCTTATTAAATTTAGACTTCTACTTTCTAACTAATTGATTCAGTTTTTTACGGTGAAGTTAAAGTGGAGAAACGATACCAATGGACGCTGTGCATTAGCGGAATGAGGAATGTAGAATAAAAGTCTAAGTATTAAAGAACTGGAGATGCTTTTACCCGCTTTTGTTATGTACATCTGTATAGTAAAGAAAACAAAAGTTTTAATTACCCTTGGTTTTAACAATTCATGAGGTTTAAACCGCCTGCAAGTCAAATTTGAGGGCAAAAGCTACTAAGGCTTCAACCCGCTTGCGCTTGATGATGGTGCGTTCAATGACAAATCTGGGAACCTCTAAACTATTTAGCTGCTTTCACTAAATCCGTAAAATATCACTGAGCATAAATGTGATTATTCAAAACTCCAGATATATGCGCCCATCCTACAGAAACGTTTCTGGATGAGGTTACTCTTTCAAAATAAGAGTTCGTGGACATCAATTTACTGCCAGGCAGGGCATAACGACTATTAAGTTTTGATTATGGACACCCAGGATAAGCAACGTTACGCTATCATGAATTTTGAGACTACGAGTTAAGAAAAATATGGCTTTAATGTAAGGTAATGGATTCCTCTCTGCAACTGATAAACAGGCACAGATCTTTTATTTGAAAGCCGCCATCACCATGGCGACTGATAAACATGACTTATTCCTATGTTTTTAAAACATATCCAATAGAATAACAAAACAAAACAAAACCAAAAAAATATGAAGGTCAGAATAGGACCCTCATTTTTCATTTTTATAAATGACTTAGTTTCATGGAGAGTAAATGAGAAAAAAGCATCTCTGAATGCGTTCAACCTTTCTCCCAAAGTGGCTGAACATTCTTATGCTTTTGATTTAACTTAGCTGAAATAAGGCCATCAAAGTTGGAGTGAATGTGGGGCTCAGTCTAGGAGCTGGGACTGTGGATGGCTTTGCATAAAATTCATGCGTGACTCTGTTGAGGACAATCCATGGGTATAAAAAAGATGTCTGATACTCCCTGAAGCACTGTCACAGGATGAGCACAAAACTGAACATCTTGGTCATTCACTCTATATCTCTTTCTTTGGGCTCATAATGTAGCAGAACCTTGACCTGACCAACTGCTGCAACCCCAGACCAGAGCACCACCCCCAGAGACTGTCCAGGAGGAACAAGGCATGGCCAGTGCATCGCTTAATCCTCCACTCCCGATCACTCTCAAAAAGGGTAAATCTGTACTCATCAGACCACATGTCCTCTGTCAATTGCTCATCAGTCCAATATTGATGCTCTCCAACAAATTGAAGCCATTTTCTCTGTTTATCCTCACTGATTAGTGGTTTTCTTATTGAGTTTCTTTGGCATTGTGTCACCAATTGACACAGCCTTGAGTTCCACTGTTGTTGTTTTCTTTTCAATTCCACTTCACCAAACGTTTAAACAATCATGATCATTCCGGATTTTTTTATAACCACAGTTCATCCTCAAAGATGACAGTTTCCCACTGTCCTTCCTGTTTTCAGTGATGCTTGGGGCAATTCTTAACCCAGTTTCAGTAGTTTCTGCAGTCCCCTTAGATGTCTTCTCTCCTTGATTCATGGCAATGATTTATGCTTTTAAACAAACTAACATCTCCACGACGACGGGATGTGAGTGAGGGCTGTGAAAATCTTGTTGAGGTGAATCAGTCAGGAAGTAGAGAACCTGCTGACATTTGATGAAGCCATTCAGCAGACTTTTTCCCAGCATTTATTCAAACCACTGCCCAGAAAAAATAAACTTGGCTCTGTTTTCAACATAAAAAAGGGTCAGATAGTGAATTCTGTATTCCCATAAGGGAAATTACTCAGTTTTAAAGTTGTAAGGTCTAAGGCCTTGTGTCAGGATGTGGTGAGGAGCAGAAAAGAGGGTTAAAGATCAGCTGGAAACTTTGCACGCAGTCCTCTGGGATAAAGAGTGAACTGCTCTCCAGGCAAAAAAAAATTAAAAATAAAAAGATTTCCTGACAGGAAAAACTCAGGGAAATCAAAACCCCCTCAGCTTGGTTGAAAAAGGTCAACAAGTTTAAAAAGAAAGAAAAGTAGAACAGGGATGAGAAACAGCAGCGGAAGACATGTCCTCTAAGTTTGAAAAAACTCATTTTTTTATTGGTTCAACGCTACATTGTTTGTCAGGAAGCAGACAAACCAGAAGTTCAATGCTTATTAAAAATCTGAAGGCAATATTTATGGTCAACAGAGAAAGGGTTTATTTAGATTTACCCCAATATTCTCTTTCTGTCTTTTATTAATAAACAATCCAGTCAAATCAAAACTATGTGATTTGTCTTTAATGTAAAAAAAAAAATTTAAATATTTTTTTATGTCATTCAAATATTAGAGTATGATTATTGGTGAATTTCTAAACTACCAATATAAAGCTAAAGATAACATACTGAATGCCTTTTTGTTGTAGAAGGAAGGTTTGAGATGTCACGTTTTTAATCAGTTTCTCACATTTGTTTTCACATACATGAAAGAAGGTGATCGTGAAAAGTATGTGAACATGATGTATTATTTCACAATATTGCGTTAACAAAACTGCATTAATTGTTACACATCTTGTTATAACACTGACAAGTGGCCACAGATAATTGATAATTTAATAGAAACAATGAAGGTAAACTTAATTGCAAAAGGACAATTTTAAAGCTCCCACACAGCTGCATGTAAACTTTAAGATCCAAGTCAACCTAAATGTTAACCTGGTTTCAGTCTCCAGTTCATTCAGAACCTTTGGGCCACGTGTGGTAATAACTGAATCAATAATATGCAACAGATTTTGCTACAGATTATGCTGCACAAAAACCCACATAAAGAGAGATTCACAGGATCCTGTGTCTATGGTGTTTGTATTGGGTTCAATTTCCTGCCCCCTGCATTTGAAGGCTTATGTCCAGGCTTGAGATTTAATCTGACTCTCCGTTTTGTTTTTCATTCTCAAGCTGAATCACACAGCAGCCTATTTTTATTAAACCTATGTTAAAAAGTCAAACCATTTCCGAATGTTGTCTGAACACCAGAGGGCGATGTTACCATTTTTGCTACTTGTGTGGATTTGAGCATTCATTCCACAGGGGGCTGTCTGGAGGACATGTGAGAAATCTGCATTTCAGTGCAAATTGCAGCCCTCTGCTATGCGGACCAGTTGCCATGACCCTTTGACTGTCCAGTATACATAATCATTAAAGCATACGAACAGCATATGCTTAGTTTTTTAATACAAAGGAGTACACAATACACAAATACATACATATTTCTATGACAGTTGCCTTTTTGGATTATGAATTGCTGTAACTGTGTTGACACATTTTCTTTGGCTGTGACAAGATATCTTTTATTTCTTTATTGAGTCCATAATGTGCACCGCCGAAAAATTTATGTGGGCAATAAGGGCAGAATAATAGATATGAAACACGTTTCTTCCTGGCAGCAGGCTCTGTTCTGCTATCACAGACACATAAAAAAAAACTATTATCTAACTGCAGATGAGCAGAGCCTGGCCTAAGGCGATGGCATCAACATGGACAACAAATAAAGTATTTTGTGGGTTGGAGTTTATGTTTGTCAGAATAGTGTGAAAATCAATCAACTACTGAGGGGGCAACTGTGCTCTCATAGGCCTTCTCCTTTCTTCACTGCAGAGCAAGAATCAGTCAAGGATATTAATCTAAACATCAGTCATGCATGGGGAACACCCCAAGAGGAGAATAAGCCTGCTCATCCATGCGTCTCCTGAGGGAGGTATGAAGCTTTAAGAAGGAGAAGCTGAATGGATAAGTGTGTCAGGATACGATCTCTGGAGATGTGATGCAGGCTGACTTTAGGCTCCCAGAAAATAAAATCCAACCTGAAGAAGTTGGCACCGTTGTGGGTCACTTGACCGCATTATTATCTGTGGTACAAGAACATCACACAGAGCTGACTGCACCACAGTCCAGACAGTGGCCTGAAAAGAACAAACTGTATCTTCTGTTTGAGGACAGAGGAAGGCTCTCTTTCTGAGTCACATTTTAATGTAATTCAGCTTATTACCATCTGGTCCCCCGGCCCCTCTTAGAGCAGGCACTAATACTTGTAATGTGGAGCCCATTTTCTTAATACTTACCATATTCTGCTTTTCATTTTCTCTGAATGACATTTAGGAAATGCCTCCTCCATTTCCTCGTTTCGGTAGCTCATTCTAGTTTATCTCCCGAGCGAGGAGAAGTGATGCACCCATTTGTTTCCTCCATGAGGATACCCCACACTGACTGCTGGGTTTGAGCTTTCCACTCCACAGCTCATCTAATGTACCACAACTGTCAAGTGTGCTAACAGCAACAGAAACATGTCAACAGTCAATTTTAACTCACTAATCAAAGGCACAACCCCAGCTGAAAATCATAGAATCACAGGAGGGATTTCACACCCGCACCTGG